CCTCTCTGGGCTCTCAGCTGTCCTTCAAATTGAGACAGGTCTCGCAGGAGCTCAGACGCATGACCTCTTCCAACAACAGGTTCGACAAGATGGACCGGACCAAGTCTGGAGCTGCTCGTGCCTTACAAGGACTCAAGTTCATTTCAAAGAGCATCGGATCCGACGACTGGTCGCCGGTGGAGCAGCGCTTTGACGAGTTAGCTGTTGATGGAAAACTTCCCAAAACCCGCTTTAGCCACTGCATAGGTATGGATAAACAGATCGGATGCTCCTGTTTCTCGCTCACCTTCAGTCATTTAAGCAGCTCCAGTATGATGCCTACTTTTCTTACTAGCTGGAAATTAACTTGCTTATGATCAGGAATGGAGTCCAGTGAGTTCGCTGGTGAATTATTCGATGCATTAGCTCGTCGCAGGGGCATTACCTCTGCTTCCATAACCAAGGATGAGTTACGAGAATTTTGGGAACAAATCACGAACCAGAGCTTTGATTCAAGGCTCCAGACCTTTTTCGACATGTAAGCTTTTTATTTTTGACCGCATTCTTCCTTCGAGCACTTAGTGAATATAACGAAGCAGGATATTATTAACAATATTATTATTGCTTAAACTGGGGAAGGGTGAGAGATTTTTTTGTCAGGACTCTGGATCGTCGTTAGGCGAAAAGAACAGTAGTCAAAATTAGTGTACTACTATAACTATATAGACAAAAGAAAAAAATATAAAAACAAAATTAGATTACTCTTGCTATTTTTCTGTACAGAAACACTGCTCAAAAGAGTTTCTTCGGCCGTGAACTCTTTTTAAGGTTTTATTTTGCCTTCGCAAGGGCAGGATGGCTAAACTACTCCGCGTAGGACAATGTAATGACATGGCATGTAAAGCCATACGTCAGAGGGTCAAAGAGTGCAGTTGTTGACTAAATTTTATATACCATTACCTAAAGAAAAAGTGCAAGGTAAATTGACTGGTAAGCCCTCGAGCTGGTCTTGTAATGAGGGCGAAGGCTTTGAATATGTAACAAACAGGCCAATAAATATGAAACAGAATGACGATTGACGAATCGAGTATGGGTTGAGTGGAGGGGTGAAATTTATGTAGCTAGACAGCGACAACTTTTGAAAAAGGAACTATACGGCGGAATCTGTAAGTCAAAATAATTAGGTAAAAAAAAAAAGGGCCAAAAGGAATTAGGTAAAAAGGATAACTGCCAGATGTCAAATTCGGGACACATGCAATTTCATTCGTTATTTCACTAACTTAATACAGTTATTCGACAATATGCCAGGGTGGACAAGAATGCGGACGGACGAATAACGGAGGAAGAAGTGAAAGAGGTGAGATTTATCACGAAAAGAGAACCAAAAAAAAAAAATGCAAGTCATATAAGTTCAACTGCTGATTTTCCTGGATCCTCAGCGAGTAACATTATTGAACAAACACGGTGCAGATTATCGGCTTAAGCGCTTCCGCGAATAAGCTGTCAAAAATACAAGATCGCGTGGAAGAATACGCTGCACTGATTATGGAGGAACTGGACCCCAACAATCTGGGATACATCGAGGTATCCATGTTTTACTGGGATTATTACTATTATTGGGCTGGCTGAAGTAGAGGCCCAACAGAATTTCACAGTTGATGCGTTGCAGGTGTACAACTTGGAAATGCTGCTCCTGCAAGCGCCAGCAAAGTCGGCGCACTTAACGTCGGGAAGTAGAGTAATGAGCCAGATGCTGAGCCAGAAGCTAGTGCCGACGAAAGAGAGCAACCCCATCAAGAGGTTGCTTCGACGGCTGAGGTACTTCGTGGAGGACAATTGGAAACGTATTTGGGTGATAGCGTTGTGGGTTTCCATATGCGCCGCCCTTTTTGCCTGGAAATTCGTACAGTACAAGCACCGGGCTGTGTTCCACGTCATGGGCTACTGTGTTTCAACCGCCAAAGGTGGCGCCGAGACTCTCAAGTTCAACATGGCCCTCATCCTGTTACCTGTTTGCAGAAACACCATTACTTGGCTTCGAAGCAGGCCCAAGCTAGGCGCCATCATTCCCTTTGACGACAACATTAATTTTCACAAGGTACTTCCCACAATGCTACTTCATCTGATGGTACATAATAATTATTTAATTACACTGCTCATTTTCAATAATACCGTGGGCGTCTATCCGTTTATGAAGGTGATAGCCTTCGGCGTTGCAATTGGGGTCGGGCTGCACGTGATACCGCATCTCACCTGCGACTTTCCGAGGTTATTGCATGCCACGGACTCCGAGTATGAGCCCATGAAGCAATTTTTTGGGGATAAGAGGCCCAACAATTACTGGTGGTTCGTTAAAGGGACTGAGGGTTGGACCGGGTTGGTAATGCTCGTACTTATGGCCATAGCCTACATTTTGGCCCAACCTTGGTTTCGCCGGAATAGGCTAAACCTCCCCACAACTATCAAAAAGCTCACCGGCTTCAATGCTTTTTGGTACTCCCACCATCTCTTCGTCATCGTCTACGTGCTTTTCATCATTCATGGATACTTCCTTTACCTCTCCAAGAAGTGGTACAAGAGAACGGTAAGGGTCGACAACCTTCCCTTTGTGTTTTGCTTGAAATCTTCTTCCAATCCTTTGCTGGTTTTGCTGATGCAAAATTTCTCGGCGCAGACATGGATGTATCTCGCCGTTCCAATGTTACTGTACGCATGCGAACGACTGATTCGTGCTTTTAGGTCGGGCTACAAAACTGTGAGAATTTTGAAGGTACATTTAATTTAGTTAAAAAAATCCCTATGTTTTGATTTCGGTTTTCTGGTGGCGTTTTTAATGACTTAATTCTTCTCTGAAAACTCAGGTTGCAGTTTACCCGGGGAATGTATTGGCGTTGCACATGTCTAAACCACAAGGGTTTAAGTACACCAGTGGCCAATACATTTACGTCAACTGCTCAGATGTCTCCCCATTTCAATGGTATGTTAATCATATACGATATATTTATTTAAGTCTAAAATCGGGGTAATACGAGGATACTGGCTAAGTTTCATTTACGTGGCATTTGCAGGCATCCCTTTTCTATTACATCAGCTCCAGGAGATGACTACGTTAGCATTCACATTCGGACTTTGGGTGACTGGACATCGCAGCTCAGAGCTGTTTTCGCCAAGGTAAACCTTAATGCACACAACTGTTTTTGGAAAAAGGGAAGTTGGTGTTAGTTGAACTGGTCAACTGGACATATATTTCCTCAAATATCTTTGATAACTAAATTCCCGTTCTCCACGTGATTGATGCAGGCATGCCAGCCAGCAAATGATGGCCAAAGTGGTCTCCTACGTGCTGACATGTTACAAGGAAACAACAAACCCAGGTCAGCCATCTGTAATGTCGTTTCAAAGATATAACTAGCTAGAAAGCTATATGCTTGTCAAAAATGACTTCTCGCTGACTCCGTCGAAACTCACTTGTCAATTGCAGGATGCCGAGGCTCTTGATTGATGGCCCTTACGGAGCTCCGGCACAAGACTACAAAAAACTATGAAGTCCTCCTTCTTGTGGGCCTTGGAATTGGTGCGACCCCTTTGATCAGCATACTCAAAGACGTGCTAAACAACATTAAGCAGCAGAGTGACACGGAAGAAGGAACGGTAGAGAATGGGTTTAGGAGCCACAAGAGGAAACCTTTCGTCACCAAGAGGGCCTATTTCTATTGGGTCACTCGTGAGCAAGGTTCCTTCGAGTGGTTTAAGGGCGTGATGAACGAGATTACAGAGAACGACAATGATGGTGTGATCGAGCTTCATAACTATTGCACGAGCGTCTATGAAGAAGGAGATGCTCGATCGGCACTGATCACAATGCTTCAATCTCTCCACCATGCTAAAAATGGCGTTGACATAGTTTCAGGAACAAGGGTCAAAACCCATTTTGCTAGACCTAATTGGCGTAATGTCTTTAAGCATGTGGCCCTCAAGCACCCTGACCAAACAGTCGGTGAGTATTGATTCTACCCTTTGATTTCTGAAATCCATATTCTGCAACTAATTGCTTCTTTTTGCGTCTAATGCTGGTTATTCCTCGACTTATTTCCAATTTTCTCATGTGTACTTTCAGGTGTTTTTTACTGTGGGGCGCATGGATTAGTTGGGGATCTAAGAAGGCTTTCTCAGGACTTTTCCAGGAAAACCTCAACCAAGTTTGATTTTCACAAGGAGAACTTTTAGATTCTTTTCTACTAGTTCGAAATTTTATCAATTGTATTATATGTTATATAGAATCAGTGTAATTTTTGTCCTTCTCTTTCGCGTGAGGATTGTTGATGCATGTTTATTACAGGTAGTAGATCAAAGGCTGTATTTTAAACATAGGTTTGTCAAGTATTTGCATTCACTTCCAGGGAACGTGAAGTGATGCTGTTGTAAGCTTTCATACGATCAAAAAGAATCAAGTAGCTATTGCCCCGTAGAAAACTTCCATACTCGAGATTGAAAATGTGTAGCCACAGAAGGCACAAAATATTAAAAGAAGTTGGTTTCAGTTATACAAAGGCCATTGGAACTAGTCTTCCTGGCTCTGAAGATGAAATCGTAAGAGTCACAATGGGTAATCAGTTGATCAAAGCAACATAGGTACGAGTTGCTTTGGTAATAGGCAAGAGAACCTTGCGCGCTTCTATTTGACGCTCATAAGAATACGATGTAATTGCTATTGGACTGCGAAAAACATCAAAATTACTATTGGTATTTGAGATTCTAGTATTATACGAAGCTAACACGAAATTACTAGACTCCTTATTTAATTAACACTGTTTTCTGTGACAAATGGAGGAACGTTATACAAAAAAAATCAATCAAGGGGAATCAGACACTGGCCAGCAGAAGAAGGAAAAAGTGTGATGAGGCATCAAATGCTAAATTGATGGTGACAGGTGTCCACAACACAAAAACTTGCAATAAAATTTAATGTCATCAAACTTGTCCACATCCCGCTATTTTGAGACCGAACTCTCTGGTCTACTCTGTTTTCCTCCCACTGCCACCTTACCAAGGCCCTTCTTTTCATAACCACCTTCCTTTTGTGTTTTTTGTTTCAGGCCAATATCTTAAGGCCTTGTTTGCTTGCTTTTTTAAGCATTCCCATCCCATCAATTTCAGACAACCCTTCCCCCAGGCGGAAGTCTAGTTTATATATCAGAAGTTCGAATGGCTGCGACAGAGACAAAAGTAGTGGAGGTGAAAGAAGTGGATGAACAGATAGAGCTCAAATGCAAGGCAAGGCACTGTTCAGTTAACATTATGGTTCATTCATCTTTTTAATCAATTGTCGAGTGTATCAGGCTCTGAACATTTTCCTTCTGCATGTACACAGACATACGTGTTGAAGGTCTCCATTCACTGCGAAGGCTGCAAAAGGAAAGTTAAGAAAATACTGCAGAGTATAGATGGTATTACTACTAATCTTTAAAGTCTCTTTTTTCCATCTTTTTTTCCCTCAGGTCCATCGTGGTGCTTCTCATTTAATTTCTTCCAAACATTAAATTCCTATGCAACTTACTCTTCTAAGCTTCTCCAATCCAGCTTTTACATAACTTTTGTTTATGATAGTTTTTTTTTTTTTTGGGGGGGGGTTCTGGTGGACAATTCTCGTTTTACATGATATGTCAAGTTTCTCCTCATGACTGCCCTGAGGTTCAGGTGTTTACGACATAAACATCGATTTGAGGAAACAGAAAGTCACGGTAAAGGGCAACGTAGACGGCAAGACGCTGATAAAGAAGCTAACAAAATCAGGGAAGCATGCAGAGTTGTGGCCTGAAAAGTCCGCTTCAAAAAAGAAAAAGCAAGGGAAATCTGAGAACCAAGAGAAACAGAACAACCCCGAGAGCAGAGAAGACAGCAACCAAGACGATGATGAAAGAGAAGGCGGTGTACAGTTTCAAGAACCAATAACAGAGGTGAAGCAGGTTGTGACTGTATCGGGCGGTAACCAGCCCCCACTGCCGGGTGGCAACGAAAATGAAGCAGGGAACGAGAGAAGTGACGGTGGAAAGAAAAAGAAGAAGAAAAAGAAGAAGAAGGGGAATAACAGTGGAACCGGGGGCGGTGAACGTTCTGGCGATGCACCGGCGAATCAGGGACAGGTTCAAGTACTGGAAGCGGTCCCAATTCCAAGCACAGGCAATCAGAATCTTCCAGGTCATGACATTGGCCATCATTACCCACCACATCATTACCATGCACCACCAGCGTATACGGGGAACTGTCACACGACATATGCCGGCAACAGCTACAGCACAGCGAATTATAACCCCAAAGGATCGTATTCGTGCGCCCACGTACATCCAAGCGACGAGACGGGAATGGAGCCTTCGCCGTACGATTCCGAACCGTATACATTGCGGCCGTCGGATTCTTTTGAGTTCTTAGCGACGACAATCCGAACGGATGCGCAGTCATGTGAGTACGATCGCCAAGCGTGAGGGGTGATTTTGTAGTAACAAGTAGATGTAGAAGAACACAATACGGATTTAGTGTAGTTTAATTAAAAAGGAGGGTCCTTTTTTTTTTCTGTAGGTAGAATTTTTATCTTAATGATCCTACAGTGTATGCGACTCTTTCTCCGGTGCTTAACCTGCCCCTTGTGTGTGAGGGTGTTTACCTAAAGTTTACATAATTTTTCTGACTTGGAGACTAAAAGGGATCGTGAATGTGTGGTACGCATATGTGCTTTGTATCATACTTTGTTTTTAGGCCGGGAGTGCTTCGTATTGTGCTGGTTATATCTAAAACAGAGACCTCAATCAGATGATGCTCCGTTTCATATACATACATACATATATATTCCATGAATCACTTTGATTTTTGCGGGTGTCTAGATGCTGGTCGGGCCAAGCATGATAAAAAGATAAAAAGCAAGGGAAGCATTGTAAAAGAAGAGTGGAGGGACACGTGTCAAGATAGCTAAAGTTGTTGAAAGATGGAACAATAAAAGTGGGCCCTCAGTGCATAAAGAGGCAAGTTGAGAGGTGGAAGTGGATTTTGAAGCACGGGGGCGGATCAAGTGCTACCAAATGGTGAGAGGGGTCTTTAATTAATATATAATTCACGAGACGGCCTCTTCAAAGTGTGGGGTGTGGACATTCCTCGAGTCTGGTCAATTATATATGCGTCTCCAAACAGTGCATGGTAGTGGCAAAATTCAGACCAAGTGGTGAATGCATGCAAGTGATTGGATTTGGAAAGCGGTGGATCAGTGAGGAAGCTAGCGAGCATTGTGAAGAAAAAAAAGAGGAAAAAAAGTGGACCGTATCAGCTCTATAAAAGAATCCGGGAAAGTTTTCAAGTGGTGTCTGGTTCAATCAGCAAGCATGCATATCCAAACAAGCATATTCTCATTTGAGAGAAACGCACAATTTACGCCTTGCACTTGTGGGAACCTGATTCTTCCCATCCAAGGCTTCCCCACCCCGACCTTCTCCCATCAGATTTTTTTTCTTTAACCATAATAAGATACTGGTTATACTCCCTCCGACGGCCTCCGGTGAAATTTATCTCACTTTAAATAAAAGATTTCAATTTATTTTATCTCTTCGGCGACTCACTGTTATAACTGGCGTCATTATGTTAATACTTCTATATTTTTATTGAATAATTTATAGTTAGTGACATGATTATATTAATACCGTTATTTGAAAAGATATCTTAGCATCGTCATGGTCTATACATCCAAGCATCTTCATTATTCATCATACTTGTTTATAAAAAAATTTATTAATACATGTGTGCGCGTCGATAATATTGTAATTGTTTGAGGGCTTGGTATTGCTTTTTACAATAAAATACAGATCACACAATAATTTTGGTTTCTTTAGAATGGTTTATAAGTAATATTTTAATCGTTATTTATAAAATATGAAGTAAATATATAAGAAGAATTATATCTAAACTTACATGAGATGTACTTACAAGTGTTTTAAAACATTTTTTCAAATACACTCTTTGTAAGTGGGTGTCATGGTATAATTTTAAGAACTTATCCGCATGTGCATCCATACTAGCTAAGCTACTAAAGGATACCGGATCTATTTCACCAAAAAAAAAAAAAAACCGGATCTAACAATAAAATTAGGATTTTGAAATATATGGGCACTAAAATATAATTAAATCAACAGGCAGCATCAAATTCAAGGGAGAGGTTTGGCTTCCTTTCTATTTATTATCTATACCGTTAGATCAACATTCAATGGTTGAGATTTAACGCTCTATAATAGTATTATTATAACATTGATCAAACAACAAATATATATATATTGAAGTAGTTAGAAATTAATGTGCATAACTGTAGATTTTTTTTAAAAATATTTTATAATTCTTTTATTTTTTTCATGATATTTTTATTATTTAATAGTATAATAATACTATTATAGTGTATTAAATCTTATTCATTAGATGTTAATCTAATGGTAGGGATAATAAATGCAGGTATTTCTCTCCCCCAAATGGAGGGCGTCATTCGAATGGTTGGAAAAAAGGGTGCATTCGGATTAAAGCAGGGGAAAATAAATTAAAAAAAATTTATAGATATGATTACGGGCATAATAAATTCTATTAACGTACTTCAGCAAAAAAAAAAAAATTCTGTTAACGCAATGAGGACTGGATTTTAAAAAAAAAATAAATTTAGAGACAAGATTGAAAATATTTACTAAATGATTAGAGTTAAAATTATTTTTATGTATAAATTATTAAAAAGAACACGGGGAGTCGAAGAGACATCCCAAAAACTGAGTATTAAACGTTTCTGACGGCATATTATTGCTCAGACAGTGACCATTGATTAGCAGCTCATGATTGTTGGCCAAAAAAAAAAACACAGCCCGTGATTAAATTAAGATTTTTGCTTAAAAACAAATTGTTCAAATTATTCTTTTCTACTTAGTTATAAATTCACTCGCCAAGTCGAACAGCAGACGGTGCTGGATGCCTGGATCCGGGTCCAGGACGTTACCGTAATTTAACCGTTCCCGCCAAGGAGCCAGCCCTAATTTGGATCATCCTTCCCGCGACTCCCAGAGGTCGGTTAATGGAGTTCGCGTTGAGTGACAACGCCCTGAAAACCTTTGCTCGCTGCGTCACTTGTCTCGCCCGCATCGGAAATGAGCTTTCTATTCAAGCCTCCTCCTCTCAGGTACTTCAATTTCTCTCGCTTTCCCTATCTCTTTTTCTTTCTCCCAGTAACTCATCTCTACTTCTCATCATCACTCGCGCTCGCATAGGCTCAGACCAATGCTGACCATCCCATTTATTCGTGAGTTTTATTTGATTACAATCCAGGATGAGTTTTTGGGTTACTCTACCACTCTTCGGTTGGCCCACTAGTTTTTTTTTTTTTTCCCCAGCAGAAAATCTCATTTGTAGACCTCATTGTTGCGCGTTAATAAAACCATCTACCTCTTCCTTTTAAGTCCGAGTCTTATATAAACGACTCAGGCATTCAGAATAAGCACAATTAGTATTTCAGGCCAGGCAAGTGACGTGGTGATTGCCGGCTATAATTGCCTATTTGACTGTTTCTCTTTCTTTCTCCCCCTTTCTATTCCCTGCTTACAGCTTGTTTTCCACGCTCTCAATTCATCGCGATCAGCATATCAATCCATTACCTTCAAACCAGGCTTCTTTGATGTCTACACAGTATCGGGAAACCTGGCGCAATTTAGTGTACTTTTGAAGGTGGGAGAGAGATGGTATTTCGTCACTTAGTTTCAGCTTATCTCGGAATTTTTATCATTGACATACGTTGGCCAGGCTATTTGTTCAGTTTTCAGGACCCCTATAACAAATATTGATCGTTTAACAGTGAGACTGCCTGGTCCTGACGCTTCTAAAGTGCAGTGGATACTGGAATGCTGCAATGGTAAAATCCAGATTCACTGCCTGTATGCATGCTTTCTTTTGTCATTTAGTCTGACTACTACCATGAATAAATTTATGGCATCTAACAGCAACTCTCCCTATAACAAGTTTTGGAATGCAGCTGGTTCGCTTTTGGATTTGAAGTTATCTAATCTGCACTCCTAACTAGATTATCACTGTTGAAAGTAAACTCCTTCTTGACACTGATTACAGGATTTCCTTTAAGTAGAAAAACTGTGACGTTAAAGTAGGCTCAGCCTTATCTAGCACGTCAACCGTGTCCATTTTTGTTTAAACACCCCCCCCCTGCCAATTGCCACAAGCTTAGGGTTATTTTCTGAGTTATGACAAAACGTACTTCCTATTGGGAAGCTTTGAAGCACTTCAGCAATATGATTGTTTTCAATCTGTATATTAGCCAATTCAACTCAAAATCAACTGAAGGCTTAGGTGATATAGTGGGCGTTTTGATTCGAGTGTCTATCGATGTTCCATGTAGAGCAGGGGCTTGAAAGTTCTCCTTTTTATTGACTGCAGGTATGAGGAAAACCTATTGGATTACATGCAATACCGAATCTGACATACAGCACTTATCCCTTGATAGGCAAAAATTCCCAAGTAACTTTGTTGTGAGGCCTCAAATTCTCAACAGATTACTAGCTAATTTTCAGTCATCTCTCCAAGAGATTACCATCATCGCAACAGAACCATCCTCGTTACCTTCTGATGCTGCAAGTGAAATTGGTGGAAAGGCTGTTGAACTTCGAAGTTATTTGGACCCAACCAAAGGTAAATACGTTCTGTGGATGGCTTTATGAAACATATTATTATTTATTCATTAGGTCCTTTTGACAGATAATGACTCATTGCTACACACCCAGTTGTGGATTGATCCTAAAGAGGAATTTTTACAGTATATTCATAATGGAGACCCTGTTGATGTGACTTTCAGTGTAAAAGAACTGAAGGTAAAGCATGTGAAGCTATCTTATTGGGCTGACAGGTCATGTATAAATAAGTCTACTTACTGTTGGATAAGGCTCGTTGTCACTTGACATGCTGATTTTTACTATTAATGCCTTCTTCTTCTTCTTCTTCTTTTTTTCCCGCTTTTTGTTTTTGGGTAACCTTTCTCTCTTCCCTTCCTACTGTATATGAAAAATGTAAATTGCTTTTATGGGCATGATCTTCTTTTGTCATACTGCAGGCTTTTCTTTCATTCTGTGAAGGCTGTGAAGTTGACATCCATTTACATTTTGAGAAAGCTGGAGAGTAAGATGCATTCTGAAATTGAACCAACCGTTATCGTCTTTATTTGCTTCCCTTACCCCCCCCCCCCCCAAAAAAAAAAGAGTTGAACTTCTTTTATATAAACGGTCTAGAGTTTATGATGAGTGTGGATGACAACACGTTTCACGACTCCAACAAACTCCAAATGTGGTTTGCTGCTAGGATTATCTTCCCAATTCATAAAGAGGGGTAAAATTTGTGCAGACATTTCTTGTAGTGTTTTATGATGCTAGTTAATGATGGAGATGAAAGAGGATGGGATGCAAGTGGAATAGTTTCCCTTGATGGAATTTTTAAGCTTATGGAGAAGAACTGTCTTACTTCCTTCTCGCCCCCAAATCCTTCCATTTTATTTAGAACAGAGTGGGGCATAAGAAAGAAATGATCTTATCTTTTTTCTTAAAAACTCGTAGATTACTATCTAATCATAAACACAATTGATTAGAAAAATTTTATAAGGGTTGTTCTGGAACTTCAAACTTACCTTCACTTCTTTATCTCGTTAATCCTTCAAGCAGTAGGATGGAATTTCCTCTCCTTGCCATCACTTTCCTTTTCATTTCATTCTCTCTTCTATTCTTCCAAACATAGCTTTGATGTCCTAGTGGGATAGACATTGTTGATGTAAATTATAAACCTATTATCTTGCTTCTCGTGTTTTATGCTAGTATCTGCCAAGATACTAGTATTTGACAACCTGATGTTACCCTATTCTTTAATTAGATGCGGGACTCATGCATTGCATAGAGTCTAGAAATGAGCTACACTTATACAGCCTATGAATAGTATGGCTTATCAAAGTTTTTATATTCTATACTGATAATAATGCTTATGGGTTGCAGGCCTGTTTTAATGGCACCTAAATTTGGTTTGGAAGATGGGCCTGATTCAAATTTTGACGTCACACTTGTCTTGGCAACCATGTTGGTATCTCAGCTACATGAAGATGCCTCAGAAGTTCCACAGGCATCTACCAGAATCCATGCTCAAACTGAAAAGGGTGGATCTCATGTGCGGCAAGAAAATTGTAAAACAAATGTATCTGAGCTTCCATCTGATCACACCCGTATATGGTCTGACCTATCAGGCAAGTTAAATATCATGATTTGAATGACATGGAATAGAATCCCAACTCTCATTTGCTTTGGGTTCTTTGGGGCAGGAAGTGCAACTAAAAATACTAGTGGTATGGAGGAAAGACAGGCACAAAGAGAAAAATTTTTGAATGATAATGAACAGAGGGAGATTCAAAGGATTGTTACAATGCAGATTTCAGAAGTAGCATCAGCCGCAAGAAATAATTTTGTTGAGAACAATTCGTATCCTCAATGCTAGTGTTGCCTCTGTTTCTATCCATTAATATCTGAAGCATCACCGTTTATTGTCTCACTCAATATTAGGGGCAGTTTAAAGGGACCTCAAAGAAGACCCTAAGAATGAAGACTTTGTTGAGTTTATGCATTGCAATGCTCGCATTGAATGCAATTTCTTACTGACGGCCAAAAAAAAGAATGCAATTTCTTACTGCATTATTCTGTTGGGTTTATTCATTGAAATGCTTGCATTGAATGCAGTTCCTTACTGCATTATTCTCTCTTAGATGTTGTAGACTGTTAAAAGGACTGCTGGTAACTTTAGCATGCATTGTCATTTGACAAATTGTCAAATTTAATGTACCTTGACTGATGAATTAGCTACCATCCAACTGAGAAAGATCGTGTCCAAGAAGGTCAAGGTGAGCTGACTCCACTTGTCAATGGGCTTACTTCATTGCTGCACTTGCCATATCTAAATAATGAAACTCTTCTTCCAGATGGGATGCAAGGCAATGGTCAAGGCTTTTCTCAGCATCACCCTAGCAATTGGGTAGAATCTGAAGAGGATGATAATGATGATGATGGGGATGAGAACGAGCAGTATGTTCAGTCAACACCAACATATTATGAGGAATCATAACATTGATCAAACTCTATTGATTGTTCTCTTTCCTCTGTAAGTATTCTTGCCAATTCTGGTCACCGTGATTTTCAATGGATTGGACATGAGCAGAAGGCACCCCTTCTTGCAGCTTGTAAATCATGGGCTTCGGGTGGCTTAAGACTTGTGGTAAGCGTAAATGTGTTAAAATGTACTGAAATTATCGGACACCCTCCCGTTTTTCTAATACATGCATTTTTTTTTATAAATATTGAGGCATTTTATCAAAATTTTTATCGAAGTAATCATAGGTTCGCCCTTCTCTATATTACAACTTCAAGATAATTGATCGTGTATTTTAAGGCATATTTCAAAGTAAGTGCTTCCTTCTAAGATTGTGACGTAATCTCATATTAATAAATTCTTACTGATTCCTCGCCTTCGAAATACATGCTTCTTTGAAGATAAACGAGTCTCCAGGAGTGTGATAGTTGATAGGCGAAATGGGAGATGCTAGCAAGACCAGAATAGGTGAAAAGGAGATAGAAGAGTAGGATAGGCATAGATTTGAAAAGAGCTTAACTCGGGAGCAGAGGAGATCGAGTTAAAAACACAAACGGACGCTTAAGAATCTGATTTAGCTATTGAGGGCAAGAACGCACTGCGACGATGGCGATTTGAAGCCAAACACTTGCTAGCTTGCATACACGCTTCGGCTAAAGAGAAAAGACTGAAAACAAACAACAAAAGACACGGGAGAAAGGAGGCAAATTTGGATAGGTGAATTTTTTTTTTTTTTTGGTGGTATTAGATACTGGTAATGGTAAATGCAACATAACTCTGAAAGCACCAAAAATTGGCTTTGGGTTTTAACTTGACTTTCTAATGCTACCTAAACATGATCTAAGCCTCAAATTGAAATTTTAGGCTTTCAACGTAGCTCTTGGAGGATCAAATCACATTCAGAACAGGCTCTTTGTAAGATGGTTGGGTCACACGGAATTGAGCCTGGGACCTGACGTGAATTGGCCACACATGAATTCATCAACAACATCATGAGCCTACCAGCCCCAAACCTACCATTGTGTCCAGGGCGAGAGCCTGCAATGGTAATTCAAATATCTCGGATGGGCGAAGGCCGGTCTGGGGACCCCATAAGCGACTCCTCAGTGCAAAGATAATTGGGAATCCCATAAGCGGTTCCTCTGCCTCGCATTCTCTGTAAACCACAGTTGGCTCTATACAAATCTAGCCGTCAATCCTCCCTTTTCTTTCCGTATCATATGGTATTTCGATAAAAATAAAAACAGAAAAAGAAAAGGTCACACTTAGCATGAACTATGAACGCTACCTCACTCTCCCGTCTTTCATTATCGCCGGCAGGTAACTTGTGAACAGACAAGACAAAACGAGGCTCAAAATAAAGAAAAACAGAGGAAAGCGAGCGGCGACAATCAAGAGCAAGAGACCACTGAACAAATCAGCCAACGCCACACGTGGCCTCAGGAGTCGAACCGCCATCTGTATTCTTCGCATGCTCTGCCGGCTTGAGATGTCGCATGCTCATAGGAGGGCAACTGGTGTGCAGACTGAACCAGCATTTAGGGCTGCACGTTTCAATTCCACTTTTAGTTTGAGGGGGAAAAGGGAAAGGGTATAGATGGTGATGTGCAACTCATCCCTCCCTTTCAGATTTGCACTTTTCCTCTCATTTTCTCTTACAGCATCGTCTTCTTCGCCTCTATTCTTTTCCAAGCGTTCTTCTTCATCTCCACTGTCCACCCCCAGAGCCACTCCCTCGGACTTGCTCTCTATGTTGGGTTCCAAGTCCCAATCCTTAAGCGTCAATCCTGTCGTGGCGCAAGAGCTCAGGTCCTGCTTCAAGTTCCTTGTTCCTTTTTCTCCTAATGGCGTCAAATTGGAGCATAGCCAGCGTTCTCCTCGACGGTTATTGGCTTTGACAAAATCCACTGTCCGGAGTCGGAGAGAAGAAAACGAGCTAATTTGGTGGCCTCCAGAGCCGGTCTTAGAGCTCGCACGTCTCGCCGTGGATTCTGGTGGTGACCCGGCGGCTATTCAACGCCTTCTCGATCCAACCATAATTCCTGTGAGTATGCTTTTCTCAATTGGAAGCCCTTTGACACAATAACATCGGACTCATTTGTCTTGGACAACTGAGTATGCTATGCAGCTCACAGATGCATTTATAATCCTGAGCAAAATGTTTCACTTAAAAAATGCAAGATTTCCATTTAACTGACAAGGGCTTTTTTCTCCTTCTGGAGTGGGGATGAGACGCTTACAGTAGGGAGAATGCCATGTCGGTGGAGAAGGATTTTGGATGACAGCTTTGCTCTGTTATTAACATATACCAAACACAGGCATACAATACTTATACTAGTAATTTTTATATTTAAGCATACCAAGAAGCTTCATCATCTGTTAGATGACATATAACTCCGGCTTCTTGTTTAAATTTATTATGTTATTCCCTTTATCGTTCTGGACGTTGTTCGAAAGTGCAACTCTGGTTAGCGAATAATGGCTTTAGTGTTGTGCAAGGTTCCTGACATTGAAGGATCAAAAGAAAGTCGATGTGAGCTCACTAGAACACCATATGGCAGACGCTTTATTAGTGAGGTTGGTGTAACAAAACCTCACTCCTTTTCGGAAAAGATAAGGAACAAAATAATATTCATAACAACGATCTTGAATTGCAGGAATTGAACTGGTACCTAAAGTTTCTGTTTGATGTCATTGTTGATCGGGGTCCATCTATCGGATTGAATGTGACGCTGAACCGTTTCGATCTATTCCATGGTCACCTATTTCTAGCTGTGAATTCTGGAAGGCTCGGTATCTTGTAAGTGGATATATTTATCATAGTACGCCTGCTTTTTTATTCTGTTTACAGGCGACTTCTCTTCTGTGCTTATTCACTGTGTATCTAAAAACGTAATTCAATTTTTAAGCTTAATTTTGCAATATCACATTTGGCAGATTCCACGCTAAGGAATACCCAGAATATGATGAAGTTTTCCCATACAATATGGGATTTTGTCAGCAAGGTACTTTAGCGAAAACAAAATTTTAAGCTTCTTCACATGTCTTTGAATAGTATGAATGCTTCAACAGATTAAAATGAAAATGTAAAAATTTTGAAGTGCTACAAGTGATTGTCTTACAATTTTCTAATGCTCAAACCCTTAAAGCATTTGGTTTTCTGAGTGGAATGTATTTTCAGGGTCCAAAGTGAAATATGATGATTCAATGAACCTGCGAAATATTCTTTGGCTGGCTCCATTGCCTGACAATTCCAGCAAACCTTGGGTGGCACCAGGTAACATCCAGCCAAGCTGCCTTAACTCTACAAATTCTGAATTTGTTTTAAGCATATGCCTAAGCCTGAACTATGGTGGTTAACAAGGCTTCAAAATTGATTTATGCTTTCTGTTTTTTATTCACAAGTCACTATTGTAATAGCTCATGATACCCTAGGATAAATACACTTTTGTGGGTCAAACTCATTTTATTCACCTTTGTTTCTTTTGTGGCGGCAAAGAGAAATGGGACACTGAAGGCTTTTGGCTGGATCCTGTCTCTTTACGGCATTATGCATAGTCTTGAGTCTTCATGCCTACAGTTACTTGCAAATCTTGAAGTATGTTCAGAGTCTCAAGACAGAGAAATCATTGTCTTAACTATCAGGATGGAAATGAAGAAACTTAAGGGGGTATTGCGGCTGAAAGTTTTGAAGTCCAAGCATGAACTATCTATGTCTCTACTTTTTTGTGCTTGGATGTTTAATGTGGTTCTGGATTTAATATCAAGTTCAACTTCAAGTTGACTTGATGTCAATTTAATGACTGTCACAAATAACTTCTAAGCAAAAGTGAATATCCTTTTTTAACCCATTTCCCTCATTATTGCGTGTATTTAATTAATTCTACTCAAAAGCGAACGCAGAGTGACTAATTTTTCTAGCAGCGGATGTTTATTACAGTACTCCGCCAACAGAATCAAGTAGCGGTAGTTGATATTGGATGTCTGGCTAAGAATTTTTCCCCTTTTCTTTGCCTTACTGATTTTCCCCCTCGTTTCTCAGGTTATGTAAGATTTGATCTTGTGCTCTGAGATGGATTAACACTACTAATGATATATTTTGATTGAATAAAATTGTCAGGTGTTCTTGTGGTGCTGGATGCGAGGCCTGGTGGAATCATATACAGAGATCTAATACCTGATTATGTAAATTTTGCACGGACCATATATGAAGGTTTTGTTTTCATATATTTTCTTCATTGCTTATTTATTAAGATAGATAGCATGAAGTTTGATGTTGGAAGGATGAGGTAATTGATTGTTATGCCATGTCGGTGCAGATGATCTTGGGGATGTTGCTGTCGATGTGAACTGCTTGAACGGGGGATCTGAACTTCCGAATTATCAAATTTTCATGTGCTGATACTCTTTCGAGGGGGAAGAGTATTGTTTGGTTTTTTTTTTTTTTGGGGGGGGGTCCTTACCTTGACCTACTGGACCTATGAAATGATTATAATGCTTCTATCTATTTGAGGCAAATCAACATTTCCGATTGAGAATTTTTTGCTGTTCTGGGAATTTTCCCGTTTGCGGTTATAGGAAATCCATAGGGTGATTGAATAATGGAATCCACGATGAAGCTCCTCGTAATATGGGTTCAAAGCTTCTGCATGATAAAATCATGTACGTTCAATATCCGTCAATTCCCTAGGAAGTTTGTCTCCCTGTGTTAAAAAACACAGAAGTTTGTTGTGCTCAGCATCCAACAATTTTCAATCAAATGTCTACGACTTTGATGGCCTTGTAACTTTATGGCCTGAGGAAACAAAAAGCCCGTGTTTTGTTTCCTCGAAATCTTGAACTCGCCTGGATATAAAAGCCGTGCTCGGAATTTACCTTGTTATATTTGCGCAAATGAACCGTTTTCCAGGTTTGTCTTCTCTGTTTTCTCTAATTTTTTTTCAAAGTCAACCTCCTCCTAAATTTTAATAGGACTATAGATCTATAACACGTTGAGGATCTGTTTTATAGAGTCTGATAACTTTTATATGCTGTTAAATACTTTTTGTTTTCGCATAAAATAACCTGTCATAGTATAGAAACCCGTTCTTCAAAGAGTCGAACAGCCTGTTTGGGTGCCCTCAAAACCATGGTTTGGGAGGTAAAATCATGGTTTGGGTGAGATGTCACCTAAACAGTATCAATTTTGAGCTAATAATTTGAAACCATAGTTTGGGTCAAAATCATAGTTTCAGGAGAAGTAAATCCATTCTACTTCTAGCTTAAATTGGAGAGTATAATTGTACCTATCAGAGTAGATTTCAACAATAATATGATTTTAACGTCCCTAAATTATTTTTTATAAACATATTTAATTTTATATCTTATAAATATATATATATGCATATTAATTATTTATTAATTACATTATCTTATGTATTATTAATTATGTTAGTAAAAAATATATTGTTAACAATTTTATTCCTTCAAATTAAAATATATCATAAAATATATTAATTATCATATTAACTTATGCTTTTTAGTAATTTGTATATATAAAAAGTATTTTTGATAATAACTATCCAAACAGTTTCACTTTTCAGAATTACTTTTTCATAAAAATTTATTATTTACATAATCTATTATTCAAAAGCTATTCTCCAAACTATAGTTTGGTTTCATCCAAACACCTGAAATTGTGAATGCATAAGCAAGTTCGGTGGAAACTGGAATTTGGAAAGTCGACAAAACCCTGAGACCATAGAGTAAGAAGGTCGCTCATCCGCATGGGACGGGTGGGCAGGACAACGCTGACAGGCTACTTGCAAAAATTTCTGACGCCCTTAGATTTAGTAGGAAAAAGCGGAATTTCCGTTGCCGGGAATCGAACCCGGGTCTCCTGGGTGAAAGCCAGACATCCTAACCGCTGGACGACAACGGATTGTTCGGCAACTCCCCAGCACAAAACAGGATTAACTAATATCAGCATTTTCGCCGCCGTCACCACCATTATGTAATTTCACTAATTTGATATTGGGCTTCGGAGTTTCTCACTTCAAATAATAACTAACAAAGGCACGCAACAATCCAAAAATGCCTTTTCTTTTTTCGCTTCAACGAAAAATGCTCTCTCATTGAAAAATACTACTTCATCCGGTCCTTAATATAGGACCCAATTCTTGAGTTAGTTTTGGTCCTAAATATAAGACTCATTTCTCATATTTATCAATTTTCTCTAAATTACCCCTATAGATATTCTCTCAATTATAATCAAGTAGAAGAGAAAGAGGGGTATTAAGAAAGATGATTATGGTGTTTTAGAAAAAATGTATCACTTTTCTTATAATTAACTAACTTACCTAACTTTTTTAATCTAATCAAATTAGTTAAATGAGTCCTATATTAAGGATCGGAGGAGTATAAAAGATATGGGGAAATATTACGCTCAGGGAAGGTCTTGGATAGATTGTATCCCGTAGCTCTCGCAGCCAAACATAATATTAAACTTCGTATTAATCACTTCGGATCCTTTGTTGAAATATCGGCTCATGTTCACTACGACTTCATTTTAGGGGATATCAGCAAAGTAGAATTAGCACCTCACTTCTCTGAGATTTCAATTTTTGAACATTGTTCGAAGGTGATTATGGCCTACAGTGATGAACCAATGAGTGGGAAAGCAGTAATACTCGTTGGATAATCATTCCAGTCAGACTAGGATGGTACAATATAGGGAAATGCGCTTTGGTAGGAACTAAAATACCTTTCCGTGATCCGCTTCCATTACTGCTTATTCGAAGGACTGCAAATGTTTCAGAGTCTTTCACTTCTTTGTCTTCTTTTCCAGTTTCCAAGTAACATGGTGACAACTTCCCTGCTAATTATACCAAAGATGTCCTCTTCAAAATTTTCTTCCCGCTTCCTGCCCTGGTGCCCTCTTTTCATTCTCATTCTGAACGAGGAGAGCGCGATTTTATATTGTAAATTTGTAACTCGCGTTATATTTGGAGGAGTATCTTTTTCCATTGGGCTTTGCAAGTTAGATGGCGTCTGCTGGTCAGAAAAAGTTAGACGGCGTCTCGTAGTTGTCTTCCTTTGCTTGACACACGTATCAGTATTATGAATCCTGAGGGTTGGCTTGCTCAAGTCGTATCATAATAGAATAAGATATGAATCGATATGGGAATCATACTGTGGTCCCATAGGAGCACATAAATCCAAATTGTTTGGACTCACCCGGAATTTTTGTACTTATTTTTTCTTCGGACGCGAATCCGCTGAGCTCAGCCTCCGAAAGCACTCGTGTGACCGCACCGTTTTTTGTCCCGGAAATAATCCAGTGATGGCGGAAATCAAAGCCGATACAGCTCTCCGGCACACTCTTGTCGTTTCAGAGCCGGGCGTTTCCGACGAGAAGCCGCCCAAGCCAAAGCGCGTCGCCTCGCTCGATATCTTCCGTGGTCTTACTGTTGCGGTGCTTCTTCTATCTCTCACCCTTTCCATAATTATTTAAACAATTCTTAAATTATAGAAACGAGAACGTTGGGTAGTGGCTGAGCTGAAAATCTACTATCTTGTCAAAGTGAAAATCATCGTATGACCGTCAAACCAATTGTTTAATTAGAACAATAGACTTAATCTTCTTTTCAAAGTTTCAAAGAATTATGATTTGCTGGAAAAACTGCCATCTCGGGATCACCTGAACATATGTACAGATGTACTTAATTCGACAGGCCAACTAACAATCCTAATGACATTTTTAAGGTCATTTTACTTTATGAATATGGTTTACATAAGTTTCCTCTTTATAAACCTCACAACGTGTTATGGTAATATGCGATGTAGCTAATGATCTTGGTAGATGACGCGGGCGGCCAATGGCCTGTGATTGGTCATGCGCCATGGAATGGGTGCAACCTTGCTGATTTTGTAATGCCCTTCTTTTTGTTCATTGTGGGGATGGCCATTCCACTGGCTCTCAAGGTTAGTCAATTGTGTTGTAAATGAGGAAAAGGTCCTAATACCGAATGATTTACGTAATTTCAATTTCCCTCAAGTCTTCATACTTCTATTTTTAACTTTTCAGAGAATACCAAATAGACTTCTTGCTGTGAAAAAGGTGCTAATAAGAACATTCAAACTCCTCTTCTGGGGTCTGCTTTTACAAGGTTAGGTTTTCTTCTCAAAAGGGAGGAAAAGTAACGCAAATAAATAATATCTTGTTCTCGAGCATTTAAATGACTCGTGAACATTTTCTGTTGGATTTAAAGCCTTGAAAAGGCAATTAATATCTGAAGTTCTGAAAAAACGACCATGTCTAGGAGGGGATGATAACAATGAACTATCAAATCAGTGTTTGCACAAATTTCGTAAATTATCACTATCTTCCATTAGGCGATCAAGTGGAAGTCATCATGAATTGAAAATTGATGTTGATGATGAATTTCCCGATAGCCCGCATTATGCTATATTTTGATGATAAAACCGAGCTTCACGTGCAATGAAGGTGGTTTCTCACATGCTCCGGACCATCTATCATATGGAGTTGACATGAGACGCATAAGGTGGTGTGGCATTCTTCAGGTGATTTTAGTCCTTTTTTGCTTCTTGTTTACTGCAGAAAATCTTAGCCAAAAACAATGAACACAACTGGAGTAAACTCGGGGATTTGCCCTGTGTAGAGAATTGCCCTAGCATATTTGATTGTAGCGCTGGTGGAAATGTATTCGAAGAGTGAACAAACTGACGATCAGGCAACCACCGAATTTTCAGTATTCGAATTATACTATTGGCACTGGTTAGTGTCATATTATAGTTGAGGATTGATTGGGAATGCTGTTCTCCTTTTGACATTTTATCCACCTTTAAAATTTCAGGTTGTTGGCAGCATGCATACTTATTGTGTACATGGCTTTACTTTATGGAATGTTTGTCCCAGACTGGAAATTCACTGTCCAAAACCCTGACAGCATTTATTACGGCAAAACTTTAAGGGTAAGTCTTCGTTATGGTGTGAAGGAAATGATATGAAAAGTTTATTTTTATTCTTGGGTATTTCGGAAAAACTGCTTCGTTATGGTTGAAATGCTTCAAATTTTGCCCTTTTTACCGACTCTCCCTTCCCTTGTAATATGTTTTCTCTGTAATTTTAGGTAGTCTGTGGCGTTAGAGGAAAACTAGATCCCCCTTGCAACGCTGTGGGATATATTGACAGAGAAGTGCTCGGAATTAATCACATGTACAAGCGTCCAGCTTGGAGGAGGTCTGAAGTGTGTAGCCACTTTCACCCAGAAACTTTTTCCCTGGCATTCCTTTGCAACACTTATTTTATGATCATTTTGCAACATTTGCCATCTTTTATTAACATGCTACAGGCTTGTAATGAGAATTCCCCATATGAGGGGCCTTTCAAAAGAAGTGCTCCTTCCTGGTGTTATGCTTCTTTTGAGCCGGAAGGAATCCTAAGGTCTGCATATGGTCCTTATATTTTTAATGACTGTATCATGTCTAGATTTGGACCAGGATATAACTGTTTATGCTAATGCTATAGCCTTTCATAAATGTAATCAAACTAGAGAACGTGGTTTATCCTTTGCGACTGAGAAAATAATTTGAGGGGCTTCCAATCTTTTTAATTTTGCTTATTATTTAAAATTTTGGCCACTGTGAACGAGCATACTGTGCAATGTTGGACTACTTATTCTAATGCTATGCAACTGCAGCTCAATATCTGCTGTTCTCTCCACAGTTATCGGATTGCATTTTGGACATGTACTAGTACACTTGCAGGTCAAGCCTCCGAACCAAATAATAATCAATGCTTCATAACAATTGATCACTGCTTGAATTATCTCTTTCTTCCTTCATTTTAGGATCATGCTTCTAGGCTAAAGCACTGGCTTCTTATGGGCTTAGCTCTCCTTATTTCTGGACTCATTCTTCACTTCACTCATGGTGTGAACTGTCAACTCTGTCACGCTGCAACTGACTATGCCGTCATCTAACCCGTTTATTCTGATCCCATCCCTTTTCTTCTTTTGTTTCTACTGCAGCCATTCCTCTAAATAAACAGTTATACACGCTCAGTTATGTTTGTGTAACATCTGGAGCTGCAGCATTAGTATTCTCTGCCTTTTATATTGTGGTATGTTTTTCTTCATTAACACTGATACTTTTTCCGGCCTCTCTATCGTTATAGATTTCATCTTTTTGCTTGCTTTTGCCGAGCCATGTGGTTAGTGTTATATTGGTTTCCCGCTGAGTAGGGTTAACAGAAATTTGCTACTCTGTCTCGCCAGTTCGATATTTGGGGTTTGAAATGCTTCTTCTTGCCTTTCAAATGGATTGGTATGAGCGCCATGCTTGTCTATGTTATGGCGGCTGAAGGAATCTTTGCGGCATTTATTAATGGGTGGTATTATGATGATCCTCACAATACGCTGGTATATTTATCTTATCTAATTCTCTGTTCACTTTCGTCTTATTGTAAAAGGCTTCCCGTCTACAGTTCTGGGTATTCTTGAGATATTAAGGTGTCGAAATCCACATCCTAAATTATTCTCTGTAATCTCAATACAAAATGTTGCTATCCTTAGGGCCTGTTTGGTTTGAGTGGAGGGTAGGGGAGGGAGGGGTAGGGGAGAGGAGGGGAGGTTTCATCCTTACCTTGTTTGGTTTGATTAAAAAGGAGAGGAGAGGAGGATATTTAATGATCCCTTGTTTGGTTCAAGGAGGGGAGGGGAGGGGAGGGATAGTAATAATCAATTTACCATTTTACCTTTACATATTAATTTATATTTTTTATTGATATATTATATAAATTAATTTACATTTTAATTTAAATCATATAATTTAATAAAAATTCAGTTTTATCATATTAATATGTGCATTAAAAAATTGGTACAATAATTTTTTATTCTAATTAATATAATAATATATTTAAAATAATCAAATTAACAAATTTTATATGCTCTAAGAAAAATGAAATTTTATTCTCTTTAGGCTATCTTTTTTTCCAGCTTTAAAAATATTTAATAAATAATATATTTATAAAAAAATTAATTTTATAATATTATAATTTTTTATTTAAATAATTTTTTATAATATATTTTTAATTATAATAATATATATTTTTTATTTTTTTATTTAGGATAATATATTTTTTATTTAAAATAAATATTATAATAATAATATATTTTATGAGTAGAAGTGAAATATTAAAAAAACTATGAGGGCATAATAGTCTAAAAGTTTGGCTCCCCTCCAAAAACCCCTAATTTGGAGGGGAGCCAAAATGGGGGAAGGGGGGAGGGGAGGGGAGGGGAGGGGATATTTTAGTTCCCCTCCCCTCCAAAATTTTTAACCAAATGAGGGGAGGGGCTCATTTGCTCTCCCCTCTCCTCCCTTCCCCTCCAACCAAACCCTAACGCTGTGTTTGGCTCGATGGAGGGAAGGGGAGGGGAGGGATTTTAATCAAGGGAAGGGGAGGGGAGGAAAGGGGAGGGTAGCTACAAAGAGGAGAGGAGGGAGGAGGAAGGGAAGGGAGGGATTTTAATAATCTCCTGTTTGGATTGATTGGAGGGAAGGGGAGGGAGCAATTTTAATAATACCTTATTTTGTTCTAATAAAAAATTGACTATTTTAACCTCATAAAATTTAAATGAATTTTCTCACTTTTTTATTTTGTTAAGATATAACTATATATATAATACAATTCACCAATTTTGATTTACAAAACATAGTCACACACTTATAGAATATCAAGATAAAAAGTCATGCGTGATAGATTTCAATCAGAGAAAAGACCTTGAAGGTGAAAGAAAATACCAACAACCTCTTGGAATTAGAAGAAGAGAAAAAAAAAAAAAGTTTACAAATGCTCACTAATTTTGGAGACAATTATCTTAATAACCTCTTGTTAGATATCCAAAAAAACTCTCTTATATAGAAATGTTTACGACTGATTAGAGGTTAACAAATCAAAAGGGTATATAAGGAATTAAAATATTATCTCTCATCTCCCCTCCAAAAAACCCTACTTTTGGAGAGGAGACTAGAAGGGAAGGGGAGGGGAGAAGAATCCCTCCCTTCTTTAAAAAACATCTTAACCAAACGAGGGAAGGGTAGGGGCTCCCCTCCCCTCTTAAAAAATTACATCAGCCAAACAAGGGGAGGGGAGCAACTCCCCTCCCCTCCCCTCCAAAAATCCCGTACCAACCATAGCGTAAGGATCCTGGTGCCCCTCGTGAACAGACGTTGCATAGGTCATTTAATTAACAGCCAAACTATGGATCTTGCTTTATCTAAGGAGGTCTTCCCCTGCAACACTCCTGGGAAGGCTTATCCAAATTACGTACATTTGATCTGCTCTACAGCTGCGTGGATAAATTTCTTCACCTAACTATGGATACTTTTCTGCCTTGCTCTTTTCAAAGTATTACTCGTGTTTGACTCAGTCTTCTCCAGGACGTGTATATGCTCGATCAAAATATGACTGACCACTTGCAAATTTATCGATGTTGTGATTTGTTGTTCATGAGCAGATATATTGGATCCAAAAGCACGTCTTCATCAAAGTATGGCACTCCATGAGAGTGGGCATTCTGCTCTATGTTATCTTTGCAGAGATTCTATTCTGGGCTGTCGTTGCTGGCATTTTTCACCGACTGGGTGTCTATTGGAAGCTTTGAATTTTATATTGGTGTGATTTAATTTTCACTCAGAATGCTGCTGTATTCAGTAGATCCGTGAACCCCTGATGCATCATAACCGCACTCGTTCCATGTGACTATGCTTTAGAAAGAATATAGAAGTTGTGAGTTGTGACGCTTTGGTCAGTGTGGTTATTTTTTTTCTCTTTAAGTAAATGAAAACTAAAATATTTGAGTTGAAAAATGACTGCAAACGCAAAATGCATATTGTTTTGGCAAACCATCAAATTACATGCCTTTTTAGGTGAATATAAATTTAATTAAATTTAAATCTGAAGACTGGTCAATTAAAATTGGTAGTATCATATTTCAAGAGTCCATGTTTTCCTATTATTACGTTGTTTTCATTCAATTAACATAAAATAAAATTATAGTAAAACTTATTTTCAGTTTCATTTCTACCCATCTGAAAACTTTTTTCATCGTCACAACAGGCCTGAAAAGTAACGCCGACTCAAATTTTTAATATCAGGATCATAACAAGTGAAGGCCCAATTTTGCAATGAGGCCCAACAAAGGTTCGGCCCATATCCGAAAAGGACAAAAAGAAGGAGGGAATTTTATGATTTCTTCCCGAACAGGTAATTGTTGTTGATGTTGTTGTTTCTTTTTTTTTTTTTTTTCTCCCCAATATTAGTGATAGCAATGCATTCTACAATTTATCCAGCGGTAAAATCTACCAAACAAGTACCCTTGGCTCGTCTCTGTTCGTTATTCTTGCTTTTCTTTTCGCATTCTTCTGTTGAATCCCTTAGTTTGATTGCACCACGAAGGTTTCTGTAAAAGTGAAATTTGTTAATGGCGACCTCCATGGTTGAGGATACCAACTTTGAAGATGATCAGTTGGCTTCCATGACAACCGACGACATCGTCAGAGCTTCTCGTCTTCTCGACAACGAGATTCGCATCCTCAAGGCTCGACCTCTCTTTCTCAATCTATTAGTTTTTAACTTTTGGTTTTCGCCTGCGCATTGAACTCTATCTATCCAGTCATGCTGCTTCGATCTTGTCTGTTAGGGTTTACTTAGGGTTGATTGCGTTGATCTCGTCTCCCCGTTTTCAGGGGAATAAAATTTATTCCTTTTGGAGAAGCTTATATCTCGAGGCTTTGTCTAGTTTCTAAGAGTCTCTATCTTATGAGAGCAGAGGATACCTTTGCTGTCACTTTTGGTTTTTACCATTTTTATTGTAATTTTCTAAATTTGGCTCGTTTTACGGTGTTGTAGGAAGAGTTGCAAAGAACTAATCTGGAATTGGAATCTTTCAAGGAGAAGATAAAAGAGAATCAGGAGAAGATCAAGCTCAATAAGCAATTGCCGTACCTTGTAGGCAACATTGTAGAGGTAATTTACTGCTTTTGTTTATATTTTGTTTAATATTATTTTTTTAAATCTTTAAACCGTGCTTCTATCCTAGCTTTTTTGAATACGAATACTGGTCATTCAGGTCGTATATATTTTGAACTGCTGTTTCTAAGAAACGAAAATTGATGGAGCTGTGAATGGTATACTAAAGAATTCTTAAAAAAATTAATATTATAGCCTCCTACGTTTGAGTGCTGAAAAATGCATCTCCATTCCAGAATTGAGAGATTTTGAATGCGAAATGAATATGAAAATATCCCTATAAGATTTTGCACAAGGCGTATCTTCTTCGATGGGGAAGAGACGAGCACATCGCCTTTAAAGTGGTTTTTTTAGAAGTTTTCCAGCATGTCTTAGAGCATATATTTGCTTGTTCTTCACCATTCGTTATGTAAAGCATGATTTCAGCTATTCAAGAGGGTGTTTTGTAATGATTTCTATTATAACATTTATCGTTATTAGTCCAATCTTGAGTTGCTTCGTTTCTCTATCCTCTAATGTATAGAAGGATGGTGAATGCCCTACTTCCAATCTCAGCATAATTTGCTGATGCCAGGGGCAGTTTCATGGTGGAGATTGAACTAGGTTTCTTGTTATATTGCACTCTCTTTTTAAATTATAATATGATATTTTTCTGCTTTAGATATTGGAAATGAACCCAGAAGATGAAGCTGAAGAAGATGGTGCCAATATTGATCTTGATTCACAAAGGAAGGGCAAATGCGTGGTGCTAAAGACATCTACTCGACAGGTGACTCTGCTGACTCTTTTTTTTTTTTTTTGGGCCAGTGGAAGGGTTGTGTGTGTGGGTATCAACTCCAGGATCTAATAAAATTTCTTTATTGCTTCATTTTCATATAGTTTTCTGCCTCAAATGTATTTAGGACTAATTTTTTTAATTAAAAAAATCCCGTAGTGCTTGTTACAGCAACTTTGAACTAAATGGTGTTTCTTCTGACTGCAGACAATTTTTCTTCCTGTTGTTGGGCTTGTTGACCCGGACAAGCTAAAGCCTGGTGATCTGGTCGGTGTTAACAAGGACAGTTATTTAATCTTGGATACTTTGCCTTCTGAGTATGATTCACGAGTAAAGGCTATGGAAGTTGATGAGAAGCCAACGGAGGACTACAATGATATTGGTGGGTTAGAGAAGCAGGTGAGGTTAATTATTGGAATGGTTTATGAAAAATGCATTTTTTTTAGTTATGGTGAGGTTATTGAAGTTCTTTGTTCTTAACAGATCCAAGAGTTAGTGGAAGCCATTGTTTTGCCAATGACCCACAAAGAGCGTTTCCAAAAGTTAGGAATTCGTCCACCAAAGGGAGTGCTCTTGTATGGTCCTCCTGGGACAGGGAAAACATTAATGGCCCGTGCTTGTGCAGCACAAACAAATGCCACTTTTCTGAAGCTGGCGGGCCCACAGCTGGTCCAGGTATGACAGTCCCTGACTTTGTGCTTCCCTACTTTAAATTTCTTGGCAAGGCTGATATTTTGTAATACCATTATTACTCGTTGGTTACTGTTGTAAGTTCGGATAAAGTTAGTAATTCGAATCTTGATGATTTCAGTAGAGCCGAGCAAGGCTTTTAGTATTATACCAATCTTTATTCTGTTTTGACTTTTGCGATTCGAGTTGATATTTGACTCTTAGAGGTTGGATCCAGATCGTTTCATCTATAGCCCTTACATATTTCTGATACTAATGCTTGGATATATTTTCTATTCCTCCAACCCATATTTGATAGAAATCTGTATTTCTTCATCACAAAATACAGTACATCAAGCTTTTGTGTGCATGGATTTCTTCAATGTTTGTAATTGTCTCTATAATGGGTTTGCACTTAAAAATGGTCTTATCTAATCCTGATATTTTTCAGATGTTCATTGGAGACGGGGCTAAACTTGTCCGTGATGCCTTTCAACTGGCAAAAGAAAAGTCTCCATGCATTATTTTCATTGATGAAATTGATGCCATTGGCACAAAGCGTTTTGATAGGTATAACTATAAGGAGGCAGGAATTTCGATTTTTATATTTTGGACCAACAGCGGGATTTTAGGCCTATACCTGTGTAGATTTGCCGTTGAATTATTTATGCAGTTTGACAATCTTTTGACATGATATTTTGTGCCTGACTGCAGTGAAGTAAGTGGAGATAGGGAGGTACAGAGAACAATGTTAGAATTACTCAATCAGCTTGACGGTTTTAGTAGTGATGAACGTATTAAGGTTTGTCTTTGTTTCTTGTTGTCCTGACTTGTGTTTTGATAGAGTTCTGATTTGTAAAATCTACTAGAAGTTGGCCCCTTAAGCCCATTTTTATTTCCATTTTTGATTCCAAGTTGGATCGCCATTCTCATTCATCTCGTAAAATGTAGGTGATAGCTGCAACAAATCGTGCAGATATCCTGGACCCTGCTCTTATGCGTTCAGGTCGATTGGATCGTAAAATTGAGTTCCCTCATCCAACTGAAGAAGCAAGGGCCCGAATTTTGCAGGTTTCGTTTCTCGCAACTTTATATGCACGCACTTTTATCTTGCGAAATTTGCACTGATTGGCTTCTAATTGATATTTTGTAGATCCATTCTCGTAAGATGAATGTTCATCCAGATGTCAACTTCGAGGAACTAGCTCGATCCACGGATGATTTTAATGGAGCACAACTAAAAGCTGTGTGTGTTGAGGCAGGCATGCTGGCTCTTCGTCGAGATGCTACAGAGGTTTGTTCTTTGCCTTGATGTAATATATGCAACAATAAAGGTGATAATCGTGATTAATCATGTAATTATGACTACTGTGTACGCATTGCTCTTTCAAGTTCTTCGTTATTTTTCGATTGATGCCTGCTTTTGCCATAACTCCTAAGTTTCGAGTGAACGATAAATATTTATCGAGAACATTGTAGCCAAAGCATATTATGTTGGATCTACGCTTGTGACCCAATGAACATTGCTTTGTATTTTGTCGGATCCACGCTCAAATGTACATGTCGTTAAACATGTCGATTAATTCACATAAAGCAGAAGGGCAGAATGAGAGAACAATTGGGCTGTTTTTTTTATGGTTTTCTAACTGTTTTCTGTCTAATTGCAGGTGAACCACGAGGACTTCAATGAAGGGATAATACAAGTCCAAGCGAAGAAGAAATCAAGCTTGAATTATTACGCATAAGATGGATTCTGTTTTTGTTTCATGTGCTCAAGCCCAAGATAACGGTGACGATCAATATTTTCTTGATTTATGTACTGACCTCATGTTATCTTTGTTTAAGAGAAACGTAATTCAGCCTGTTTGGCTAGGCGTTCTAGGCACCATAAGCGGCTTATAAGGCTGAAAAGCACGGTTGCAAATTTCGATGCTGTTTTGTTTTGTTTTTTTTTTTACCAATCAATACTGTTTTGTTGAGTGATTGGGCAATATGATTTTTATATGAAAAGCTATAATAAACTATAGGTTAAAACTAACAGTTTATGATTTATAGTTTATGAGTTATAGCTTTTGAAATATGGAGAGAGAAAAAATTAAGAAATTTATTATCTCTTTTGGTTCTTATTATAAGTCTTAAATAACTAATTTATAGATAATAAAAAATTAGTTGAAAGTAATAAATAATTTAGAAATATACTTTTATTTTTAAATATGCTTTTAGAAATGTATTTTTATTTTTTCATGTTTCATTTTATATTTAAATTATTTTTTATAATTTTTTCATGTTAAATTAATTTAAATGTATTGTATTATCTCAATTTTTTTTTATGTCTCACTTTATATTTAAAATATTTTTTATGATTTCTTTAAAGTTTTAAAATTCAATTCACTTATTAAATTTGATTTTTTTATATTAAATTATTTTAATTTTATTGTATTATATGAAATTATTTTTTTAATCATGTTTTATTATTTATTAAAACTCATACTTATTTTGGTTATTTTATAATCAAATTTATTTTTATTCAACCATAATTCAAATAAATTTTTATTAATTTTACTTTTGTAAGCTAACTTTTCTGAATTTTAATCTAAATATAATTCAGCTTATCCCATTTAGTTTTTATCCAATTTTACTTTTTCAAAAACTATTTTTCTAATCGTTGATCCAAACAGACCCATTAACATTTATGAGCTATAGAAGGTATGCATGCTGTTTCGGGCACTGATTCAGATAATATATGTATGAGGTTTTAGTCAAGACTACTAAACAAACATGATTGTGGGATCGTGTTATAAGTTCCATATTGGGAAATCTTACAAGTGTTATAGGGTTTATAAGTTCAAGAGACTCTCCCTCTTAATAAGCTAGTCTTTTGGGATTGGATTCTTTCTTTAGACTTATGTTCATCACATTAGTGTTTTCATTGAGAGTTAGCCAATCGGAAAAGGCCACCTGCGAAGGGTTCTGACTTGTAAGAAGACCGAGTGAAGTGCCGTAAAGTAGAGCCGTTGGCTTTCGAGAGAAGTGCTTTGTTATGAACCCTATATTAGGAAATCTCACAAATGTTTTAGGGTTTATAAGTTCAAAACGCTCTTCTTCTTAATAAGCTAGTCTTTTGGGATTAGGTTCTTCCCTTAGACTTGTAGTCGCCCTAAGGCTAATCTACATGTCTCGCGGAAAAAAAATTGTTCAAGGACAATTGCTGGGGAAAAAAAATTGTTCAAGGTATAACTAGTCTAGAGATTCAACTGGGCAAAACAGTCGGTAATGCTCCATGAATCTGAGCAACGGCATGCTCCTATTTATTAGCTGCCTTTTCATATGAATGATGTTATTTTAATCACCCGACCTAACAAATCAGGCCACCGCCAAGTCACAAATATCTCAGCTAAATTATTACCACGCGAAAAAAAAGGAGAAACTAAGGCATGTGAGATGACATCCAAACAAGCGAATTCTCCGAAAATCCAAAGCGTACACGATTCGATCCAAATACACACACACTCATAACAAAAGTAACATAGGTTCTCACCACCTCTAGACATAACTAGATGTTCTACGGTAAGCTGATTAACAGCTTGAAGTTTGCTATCTCAGCCCAAGAACTCTTTTAACACTTGATTTCCTTCAATCCGTAGGCAATGTAGATAAAAGTTGGATCGGTAGCACCTTCCTTGTAGTATGCAAACACGACGGTGCTGTCATCGTGCATACTCTCTCCCACAAAACTGCCACATTGTGGCCAATCAGTCAGTATAATTTTATGTGAAAAGATGGCCACTATTAATCAAGTATCATCGCCCAAGGACACGATAACATCAGGGAATGGAATCATGAGACTGTGAAACTTACAATTGGAGATCACTGAGCTTCGAGAGGAGATATTTGGTTGCCCCTTCAATGTGCTTCTTGAACAATTCTTGCTTCTCCGGCTCTAATTTGGGTGTCAGCAACTTAATATATTTCTTCATGTAACTAACAAATTGCTTCTTATCAAACGCGGGTTGTTCCTGAAAAAGCAAATTTCCATTCACACACAACACTGGCAAAACTTAGTTAAAACAGAATAAGAAATACTGCTTACCTGAAGCCTGAAAGTGTCGACAATATCAACCACTTTGACAGCTTGATCATCTACACCTTCATCTTCACCGCCTTCTGCCGAAGGATTAGCGCCAATGTCTACATTGATTGCCCCTTTCACAACCCACTGCCAGCAGCAACATTGACTTGGTAAGCCATAATATCCTCCGACATCAAAAAATTAAAGCAGGCAGAGGAACAGAGGACCCATAATTATGCAAATAAATGCTAAATAATTCCCAACCTTTCCCTCCACCTCCCACAGCATTCCATTCTCAATCTCCTTGTATGGGAATGAGTCCGAGAGAAGCTCATCACCTGAAAATTCATCACATGAGTGCAAGTATCTAGAGAATATTATGCAATCAATGGTATTTACCTAATCCGTCCGGCGATAATATCTATCAGTCGAAAAATCACATGTCCGCAACCAGTCCATTCCTCGTCAGGTCACACATACTATAATATGTCTAAAGAAATGGATCCTATAAAATTTTATGAAATCAAAATATAAACGTAAACACGAAGATATAATGAAGTCGACTCCAGGCAACAGCTTATTGTTTACGCGAACATCAAATTCAGAGTAAAAACAAGTTGCTGACTCAGCCAAAGAAGACGATCGAAGATCAAAGATTTACCGGTAAGCATATCCTGATAAACAAGCATGGTTACTTCTTCTTCTTCTTCTTGTCTGTCTCTCGGAGAGCTTAGGAATGGCAGGGGCGGTGAGCTTTGATGGAGAAATTGTCAATATGGCGGTGGGATTACTGGTATTTATATTTGATAGACCCCTGCTTTCCTCCCAATTCTGTTACTATTCCGTTTCCTATCAATTGTAATGAAAAAACCTTGAGTTGGCGTTCATCACTTTGTTAATTAATCATTAAATCATGCTTTTAAATTTTCCCGAAAAAGATATTTTTATGCCATTTGTACAGGAAAAAGGAATTTGGGTTATTTTCGTCGGTGAAATATATACAGTTATATTAATATTAAAAAAGATAGTTAGATTTAAGGATGATACTACTTCTGATCTTTAATATAAAAACTTGTTTGATTTTTATTTTGATCCTAAATATAATATTCCAATCTACTTTATTTTTCATATTTATCTATTTTTTTCCAAGCCAATCTTTATAATAATGATAGTTCTAGCTAATACATTTGACTAGTAAAGATATTTTAGGAAAAGTAATAATTAGTTATTACAAATAAATAATTTAACTAATTTTTTTAATCTACTCAAATCAATCAACTAATTCTTGTATTAAAGATCAGAGGTAATATTTAGATTTGAGGATAGTATATGCAATTATTCAACTAAGGGCGCCTCCGTTTTCTTATAGACGCTGGAATTGATGTGGATTGACTACTATAGATTCACATGTTAAGGGCATGTTTGGGTAGCATAGGAAACTATTGTTTTGAGACCCAAACCACCAAACAAGAGGAAAATTAACAAACCATGGTTTTGGACAAAAACTATAATTTCAGACTCAAAACTATAGTTTTAAAAAAAGTGAATCCACTATGCTTTTGGTTCAAATTGGAAAGTATAATTGTGCCTATCAGAATATATCTCAATGATAAATTACTTTGACACTCCTCAATTATTTTTTTATAAACATATTTAATCTTATACTTTACAAATATATATACACATATTAATTATTTATTAATTATATTATTTTATATATTATTAATTATGTTGTTAAGAAATATATTATTAACAATTTTATTTCTTTAAATTAAAATATATTATAAAATCTATCTTTTATATAATTATCATATTAATCTGTGCTTTTTTTTAGTAATTCGCACATATAAAAAGTGTTTCTGATAACAACTATCTAAATACTCTCACTTTATCAGAATTACTTTTTTACAAAATTTATTTTTCATAAAATCTATTCTTCTAAAAATCTTTTTTCCTGAAGTTATTTTTCAAACTACAAACACCTTCTAAGAGTCTGTTTGGGTGACCCTCAAAACCATGGTTTGGGAGGCAAAACCATGGTTTTGGTGAGATGTCACCCAAACAGCATCAATTTTGGGCCAATAATCTGAAACCATGATTTTGGAATCCAAAACCATGGTTTCAGGAGAAGTGAATTCATTCTGCTTCTGGCTCAAATTGGAAAGATGATTGTGCCTGTCAGAGTGGATCTCAACAATAATATGACTTTAACATTTCTCAATTATTTTTTTATAAACATATTTAACCTTATATCTTATAAACATATATACACGTATTAATTACTTATTAATTACATTATCTTATGTCTTATTAATTATGTTGGTAAAAAATATATTATTAACAATTTTATTCCTTCAAATTAAAATATATCATAAAATTTATCTTTTATATAATTATCATATTAACTTATGTTTTTTTTAGTAATTTGTATATATAAAAAGTACTTTTAATAACAACTATCCAAACACTCTCCAAAAACTATTCTCTAAACCATGGTTTGGTTTCATCCAAACACAACCTAAGTCTAACTTACGGGAGTTCTTTGGTTTTTTGCTTCTTACAGTTAAACTTTCTTCGTCTGATGTTTTGTAATCAAAATTCTCAAATAAACCTGGTGCATTTAGGGAGTGGTTAATAATTAATACTGTGCCCTGGAGCCATAATGGAGAGACGTCCTCGTGGATTGGTGGAAGCGGCTTCTGGTTTGGACTCCCAGTGGCTTCCGAATATGCTTTTTAGACATATTCTTTTCAAAGATGGCGTGCTTCACGATAAGAACGAGAATAAAGTGAATGGATCCCTGCACACACCGTTGACCATCCTCAGCACCAATCTTTCCCCGAGCTGAAAAATTTTATTTATCAGATATAACGGAAGAAACTAGTCCCTCATGACATGGTGAATTAATATTTGAATCTTTGTTAGAAAAAGTATCCACATTTAGTACCTGACAGTATTTCAAATAGGATTATCTCTAATAAAAAAAATACTTATGTTTTAGTTAAAAAAATTATTTATTGCATCATTTTGTTCTTTCAGTCCAACGAAAGAGAAATCTTATTCCATCCAGACCCAGCAAAGCCCATGCGCATACACCTGCGTCTCCTTTAGGGCCTGTGAGTAAAATTAATTTAAAAGTGATTTTATGATATATAAAATAAATATACGATAGGAGTTTTATCTCAATTTATATAAAATAATTTTAAAAAATGCTTCTTCATATTTCTAAACACTCTTGTTTCATCGACAAGCGGTTGTTCTCTCTCCTGATTTCTTTAACTTCTTCGTCATTATTCACTGAAGACTTGTTTGCGCAACTGGAAATTGGTTGTTTCAAGAGTGATGATAATTTAATTCGTTACATTAGCCTCGTTGAGAATCAGATCACAAAGGCACCTTGGGGGACTAATCCTATGTCCACAAGTAACAGAAAATCTATTTTTTCAAATATATAATATAAAATATATAACAATGCGCCTTAATGATGATATTTGTCATAAACTGTAAGGTTTGCTGGCACCTTGAATTGAAAAACAAGCTTATTGTTTTATACGGAAGAGAAACAGGGGCTCGCTCATGAATGAATGGGGAGACTATTATTGTTGGCACCAACTGATACCTTAATTCAATTCAATAATCCATTGATTCCATTCTGTACTTATAGTGATGATGGCTCTACCAACTGATACCTTCTTCAATGATTGTCACGAAGCGATGCTGCTATTGTGTTTTTAATGTATTTTTGCTTACCTTCTACTTTAAAGCTTGCTTAGCTCCAAGACACCTTATTTCCAAACCGTCATTCCCGTGAGATTAGTTAGCACATAGAAAATAAAAGGTGAAATTTTTTTACCCCCGCGGTGTGGATCTAAAAATTGCAGAAAGCGTTATCAATAATTAGGGTATGTTTGCTTTTTAATTTTGATTGAAGTTTGCTGATCAGAAGTCTTTAATAAAAAGTCAGTTTGATAAATTAAAGATTATATAAATAATATATAATACAATTATTTTCAAATATATTAAAAACATATAGATTTTATGATATGTAATTTTTACTACATAAATTTTTTTTTGAAATGGCATTAGTCCAAAACCCCACTTTATTTTTAACACAGATTCGAATGTCACGAGAATTATTTTTTTTCCATTCTACAATACCCATATTATTTTACTCGAAACAATATAATTCATTCTGAACAGGTTTCCAGACATGAATTTTCACCCATTTTCTCAAAAGAATTTTTAATCTTATTATAATTTATTTGTCACAATAAAATTTCAGCCAAGATGTAAAAGAAAAATAACAATATTATGAACGCGTGAAACGCTGACAAAAAGCCCACAAGATCAATGCCAACCGTAGATAAGTTGCGGTTGGACAGCGTTTATTATCTTACCCAGATACTGAATGATCCAACGGTAACAAATGAAGACGCCGAGATAAAGAGATCGATTGAGAGGGACGGACTCAGAAAGCTGATTTTTCCTTTTTACAATCAGATTGCGTTTGCCCACCAAAAACGATCCTCGTCCTCCTCCTCCACTCCTGCAACAATTCAGATCTCAGTTTTACTTGGATACTTTCACGTTTTCCCGGCATATTTGCGTGTTGGCGGCGTACATCCTTACCGAGACGGAGAGAGGGCAGATATTAAATCGTGTTATCTCTGCTCGCAAAATTAGGGTTTCGAAGCTTCTGTTGTGGTATGGGTCTTGGAATCGATGACGATGTGGTGGTTGATGATGGCGACGGGGATGCTGGCGCTGGAGGCAAGTCCTTTGGTTCAGTGTCGTGTTCAATCTGCCTTGAGGTTGTCGCCGATAATGGAGACAGATCGTGGGCCAAGCTTCAATGCGGTCATCAATTTCATCTGGGTAAGTAGATTTGTGGCGGAGCTGGGAATTATTCTATTGCACTTTGTCTGGATTCATGGAATTTGAGCTTGCAATAAGTATGCAATAGGATCAGAAATTCTCTTTTGTACTTGTTTAATAAGAATGCCATCAGAGTAAAATAGAGGAACTATGAATGTGCGAATTGGAATTACTTGGACTAGAGTTGTTGATTCTAATTTCACCATGGATCGAGAGAGAAGAATAAAAATGTCAGCCAAGCGTGACCCTTGTTGTTTGTTGTTATGCTCAATGGACCTCTTCCTTGTTGGGTTTATGATTTCTCACTAAATAATAAATAAGGTCTGTATGACATTTGGTTGCATTATTTGTTGTGCCTGCCTGCCAAGCGCGACACTTGTATGACAATGTCGTTCTATTTGTTGTTCATGCCATTTGATGTCACGATGAATTGTCTCTTCATTTGGAAGTAAACTTTAGAATGGATATGAACATCCATGTTGAATTTCAAGGTATGAACTTCAATCCTGGCGGCATAAATTCATCTACGTTAGATCGAGTTGCTCAGGTTTTGACATTTGAGTGGTGAACCAAGTTGCTAAATTCATTTATTTTCTTCTCCAACATATACAGTTGATAGAAACCTGTACCTAAAGTTTTGGAAGCTTGAAAATACTCTCGTGGTCGAAAAATATGAACTCTAGCAGAGCCTCCACGTTTCTCCTCCCTTTTCTTCTATTTTTTGAACACCCATTCCAAATTTTATAAAAAAAAACCTGTGATTTGAGTGCGGGCGATAAAAAAACCTCCACGTTTCTCCTCCTTTTATAAAAATTCCACCCGGGGTGTGTTACACTGTTACCTATGAAGTATATGGATTTTTTTTTTCATATTTTTCTCCAATTTCATATTCTATTCCATTCTTTCTCACTTCCCTAGTGTTTATAACCCCATACCTCATAATTAAATCCTATCCATAAAAATTGAGATGTCACATTCCCAACATAGGTGGATGCAAATGAGCTTCCCACATTTTATGGAATTTAAAGCTCCTTGGAGAAGCATTTATGGCATGCCAATCAAGGATTTTGGCCTTTCCCATCTTCTTTCCATGGCAAAAATTCCATCATGCCAAACAGATTCTAAGAGAAGAGTGGAGGGAAGATCAAAGGAATTGGAGGAGAGGGTGACAACAAAATAATAAAATAATAATAATTCAAATGAGAAATCATAGGGCTATTTATAGAGCCCTTGATTTAAATAATAAAATAATAAAGCCTAATTCATAATAAATTAAAGAAAACCTAACAATATAGGTCTTGTTTGTCATCACGATTGAAATCACTGATAAGCACGTTTCACGTAAGTCGAGATAAAATTATTCTCACATACTTATCTCATATTCTGCAAATTACGAGTAAAAAGCTGCTTAAAGATATTCCAAACGGGCCTATGTAGTTACAAAAACATAAAAATAAATTTAATAAAACCCTAATCTCTGCTAGGCTTAACATTGGTTTTCAATTTCCATCTTAGCAAATTGGTATAGGACAAGGGGGAAAGGAGGAGGTGGAGGATAAGAGAAGAATGGAAGGTAGAGTAGTGGCTATTTATAGAGCTTTAGATATAAATAATAAAATAATAATAATTGAAACTGATATAAACCTAGAGAAGATGAGCTAGAGCCTAATTCAACTTCCAAACAAGTTAAAGAAAACCTAACAATAAAATAACTATCGAAAAGTAGCTCCATCCCAGTGGTCTAAAGGTGAAAATCTTGGTAATATTCTGAACCATATATGAGCCTTACAACAAATATGATTAAAACATTTATAGCTCCCACATAAATATCAAACGAATTTAGTTAAACTGTAAGTTCTTCTCCATGAGATATATGTTTTCAATTTTTCATTTATGTATTAACTCGTATGCTGCTTTAATGGGGACATTTATAAGAGTTCATTATAACTGTTAGAAAGCATTGAAGCACTGTGATATCGCATGATTGCATGTGATTTCTTAGAATTAAATTCCTGACATGATAATACCCGCAACATATTCTTATGCTAATGTTTATATGCTTTGAACTGTTCAGATTGCATTGGTTCAGCATTCAATATAAAAGGGGCAATGCAATGTCCCAATTGTCGGAAGATTGAGAAAGGCCAGTGGCTTTATGCTAATGGCTCTCAGTCTTACCCAGAATTAAGCATGGATGATTGGGCGCATGATGAGGATCTTTATGATCTTAGCTACTCTGAAATGGTATCGGTCTCTATCATGTTAATCATTGATTCTTAATGATGTTATTGTTACTATTTTCTTCTCCTGTTATATTTTATGCTTACAAAAGAAACTTTACCAACATTATTATTTCTTCTAGTTCCTTTTTTGGTGAATCATGCTAATGGCATGTGTTTGCTATGTGTTGTTATGAAAATATCATTACATATATGAATTTGTTTTTCTTGTTGTATATTGTAAATTTTTCCCATATGCCTACTCTTCTGGAAGCTGATAAAAATACGGCCCTTCTAATTGCTAGCAAAGTTTTCTCTGTTGAGCAATCTTTGTTGGTTCTTTCTCATCTCTGTCTACAAATGCATCTTCATTTGTCTTATAACAACCTCACCAGTACGGATTACACCTTGACGGCTTCTGACTTGTAAACTGATGTTGAGTTCTTTCAAAAATTGTTTGTCTAAAGAGAACGTATGTATGTTCTCGTGGCACTGTCAAATGGTTACACCACATCCCCCCCCCCCGCCCCGGTCCCCAGAAAAAGAAAAGAAAAAAAATGAGTACGAGTTGTTGAAATGGTAGGGTTTGCCTGTATGTGTGTGAGCTATCTTCTGCTAATCATGTTGACTTCTATTGTTTTTTTTTCCCCAACAGTCTTTCGGGGTTCATTGGTGTCCATTTGGGAGCTTGGCCCGACTTCCTCCATCTTTTGAGTAAGTCTGCCGACTAAGATCTGTTTTTGTGATTGATTTTTTGGGTGATTGCCCGTGCTGCCTTTTTCTTTGTTTTTTATTTTGGTGTGCATTTCTTTTCCTTTTTTTTGGGGGGGGGGGGTTGTTCTTCACTGTGCTCATTCCTCTTTTTGGTGTTGTTTATCCGACTATTTTTTTAACAATACCGAATCATGATTTTGAAGCCATCACAGCATTGACAGAAATAGAAAAGGTGGTTCCTTAGAAGCTTCATAAAGCATTTTTCTCTTGAGATTTTAATAGAGGAAAAAGTTTAACTTGTTCTCTCGTCCTTTCAAAGATGCATAAATTACACGGCTCACTGATATGGAAGAATCAGTTCTGGACTTCTGGTTATATTTGGCAGTGTTCTGTAGTAGCTTTGCAATTATTAGATTTTGATCTACATTCTGTGGAGTTGTATAAAAAATGATGACCCTTTGCATTGTCCCTTTTTTGGCTCTCAGTTTTACAGATACTCCTCCTTGTGTTCCTTAAAAAAGAAATAAAATAAAATAAAGCACTATAATCCTTGTTTCTGGGAAATGATGTGCTGCTTGTCAACTCTTTAATGTTGTGTTCCTTTTTCCAGGGAAGGGGAATTTTCATCAACTGCATGTAAGATTCTTTTCCCTGGGTATCAGCATCTCCTTTTTGTTGTAGTTGAAGCTTGCATTTGACTGAATATGCTATGTTGACTGGAATGGTGGGATGCAGATCATGACATAGTGGGACAACATGCTATATTTGCTGAACATACAGCATCTGCTAATCATCATTGTCCATATATCGCGTATATTGGACCAATACATCCATCTTCGTCCAACTCTGCTGGAACGGTTTCAGAAGCTTCTAACTTTACCAACCCCTGGAATGGCCCATCTTTGCCTAATGACATGCCAGCTTCCTACACTTTTCCTGCCGTGGATCTCCATTATCACAGTTGGGAACACCATTCTGGGCCTTTCTCTACTGCCAGCAGTCGTCTAGCTGCTGCTGATCAGCCTTCGATATCACCTGCCAGCCAAAGGCCAGCCAGGGGTGGTTTGGATGTACCCAGATCAGGATCTTTTATGCATCCTTTTCTTGTTGGGCACAGGTACACCTTTTGTGATTAGAAAGGAAGGATTGTTTTTACGAATGATCGAACTGCTCCAATGTGATTTGAGATGTTGGTGCATAATCATTACAACCCCCCCCCCCCCCCAAAAAAAAGGAGAGAAAAAAATCCTAGGGCAATTGACGTCTGATGCATGTAAATTTCTGCAGCGCTGCTGCGAGAGCTGGAAGCTCAGCTGCTTCCTCAATGATCCCTCCTTATCCAGGCAGCAATGCTCGGGCACGTGATAGAGTCCAAGCTCTTCAGGCGTACTATCAACAGCATCAACCAACTAATTCAGTTATGAGGACGCCTATGTCTTCTGGAACCCGAAGATCTAGCAGTCATAGAGGATCAGCACAGTTAGCACCGGTGGCCTCATCACCAGACCAAGGTGGCGGCTTCTTTCTTGTTCCACCAGGTTCATCAGGACGCAATTTTCAAGAAGAAAACCACCTACCAAGTCGCTTCCATGCATGGGAAAGAGATCCCTTGCCTTCCTTGTCGTCAAACCACGTTGATAGAGATTCCGGTTGGGTAGCGTACCACCAACCCCTTGGTGGGTCAGACCCAAGCATGAGACCATTAGGATTTCGATTAAGGCACGGTTCAGAGAGAATGCCCTCGCAAAATCGGTGACATGCTTGTTTCCCTGCGAAGAAAACTTCCCACTAGTAGGGAAATATCAAAATTTTATATATGCTTGAGAAATGTTTAAGTAATGCTTTGGCCTTTAGGTCTGTCATGTCATGGCAGGCTACAACTCCGGCTGGCCCTGGAATTCACCTGGCAGACAGGTGGCAGTGTGATTGATGGACATTATCTTGCTCTACTTTCTTCTCCTCTGGGGGCATAAAATAAGATGTTGTCTAATTGGAGAAATTGGGTATTTGGGAGTTTGGGGCATTGAGACGACTCGTTACGTTGAGCGGACGAGGCGGAGCCGCTGCTGGATTTTATACCTGACGTTCGTGCAAATGCTGTGTATTCAGAATTTACGTACTGGATCTTTACCTGCATATCGTGGTGAGGGTGATTGTTGACGGTTGTGCAAGAGCTGGCCCATTGTATGTGAATTGCATGCATGAATGATGTTCGAGTTCTATGTTGGGTTAAAAGAATTTAATCTTTGGATTGAAAAATATAGTCTTCGTATTTTTTTGGTATGAATTATAGCTCGTCACAAATTATAGTCATCGTCGTCATCACACCGGTAGGCAACTAAAATGGGTTAGTAACGATTGTAACGGAGATAGATAGGGTCGGTTGCAGTCTTAGGAAAGCTGATCTTAGCTGGAATTGCCCCGTCTCTCTATAGACCCCGCGTCTTGGCGCAATGCCTTGTGATTTAAATTAACAGTCTTTTAATTTTGTTAATATAAGCTACAATGTTTCTGGTGCTGATAATTTTTGCAGTGGAAACAGTTACGCTGATAATAAATTTTAACATTATAATTTAATTCTTTAAGTAATTTTCAAAGAAAATTCCATACCGTAACATAAGATTCAATTTCATTGCCACATTCATGAAGACGTTTGCCTTTATTCTCTTTTCTTTTTTCCCCCTTGCAGCCACGCAGAACTTATGACCTCCTTATTAAGTTGAAGATGTTAAGTTATAAAAAGCGTCCTCTCATTAGTCGAATGTTAAGTTATAAATAGCGTACCTTTATTGTAATAAATCATTAAAAGAGCTAGGTTAAAAATCATAAAGCATACACTTTAGATTATTAAAATTGTCGTAATAAAGAAATGAAAGTTATAAGCCAAAATATTTTCCTTGCTTGGGGACGTGGTGGCATAATCTAATGACATCAAGCAAAACTAATTATGAAATGACAGAGATCTCTAACGATCAAGACTAACCAAGGACATAGGGCATAGAGAATATAACACCCCAACCATCATTAGCATCCCAAACGAGTTAGCAAGAACCAGGAAAGAGTTCATTGCAATCATCTTGATAATCTAGTTATAATTCATATAAATTTTGTTTTGTTGGCAAATCAAATGCACCATCTGGCCCTTTATTTAGAACTCAAAACCAACATTAAAAGCAAGCTGCATACGAATTCCTAAAGCTTCACATAAAATATCTAAGACAGTTCCAGCCAAAAAGACCTCATCTCTCAATAGCGATATCCAGAGTCAGCAGATCTGCTGCGATCAGACTTCACCTGCCAATAAATCATCCGCGACGTCCTCAAAATACTACTTCTGAGATAAAAAATTCATAATCAACTCCAGAAATAAGCTTTAAGGATATTGAACATACCGAAGACGAACGGGATTGCGACAAGCTTTTACGGCGAGGACTGTAACTTCTATAAGGTGAAGGCTGCTTATTACACAAAGAAAAGTACCTTACACTCATGTTACGGAATAAATTTAATTCTCACATTAAATACCATTTGTGTTCAAACCCTCTTTTGGCTCCCATTTCATAGTCCTATTTTCTAGTTAGTTCTTGTATGGCAAACAAAATGCAAAAGGCAAAAGCAAATGTCAAAAGAGAAAATTAGACAATCATGTATTTTCGTTCCTTTTGTCTGCCTCTAAATAATACCAGGCCACGCAAGTTAGATGACATTTAGAAGAAAATTAAACAATCATATATTTTTGTTCCTTTCGTCCCCCTCTAAATAATATCAGCTCACACAAGTTAGATGATATTTAAAAGAAAATTGGACAATCATGTATTTTCGTTCCTTTCGTCCCCTCTAAATAATATAGGCCACGCAAGTTACATGACACTTACAGATGAATTTGGAGATCTGGATCTCGAGCGGGATCTGCAAATTTACGAAGAAACAACCCAATCAAATATCCACAATGATCCATCAAAATGCTTGATCCACAAGCCGAATATCAGTTCGACATCAAAGTTGCCACAACGATAGGAAGAATCAAATCTACCACAAGTCTAACGCAGCTGCCAAGTGGAAAAATCAATAGGACCCAGTATCTCATTCTAAGTCTGATTTAGCTAAACAACCTATTCCTGGCAGTGTAGGATTCCTTGGATAAGCCAGCTTTTTGATTCCAACTCATCCATATACAGTCATCCGGTCTACAACATCAGCAGACCATGACTATCATCAATAAATCGTTATCAACTGTCAGAGCATTAAGTTGGTGCACAGGCGCTCATCAATAAAACTGTATTACCTCAATCACAAAGTTGCAGGCAGGCATTTGAGTACCACATGCCATCAAGATCCTAACACGCAGTCCAGACGCTATGCAGAATGCCACATTCAGATAACAAACAAGTCAACCTAGGGAACATTGTATAACCAGTGGCCAACCTGACGAAACACTTCACAATTCCCTCTCCTCCCCACTTCCCAAATATGAAGAATTGTGCTGACAAGTCTAGGGAGCAGCATTAGGTTTTATAATAACGAGTCGATGTCACAATAAAGTTTTTCATATTGGAAATACGATTTTAAAACTACTATAGGACACACATGAAATGAGAGCCCATTCAATATGAGACACTGCGACCGAACAAAAAAGGTTTGCAAGACCCTACATGGAATATAAAGATGAAGGCAAATATTAAAGCACAATCCATCTGGAAAAAGAATCCGTACATGATATAATATAGATCGATAAAGCAGAATTTAAGGTCTACTCTGATAATTAAAATCATTAAAAACATTCTATCCATATAACACCTGAAGACGCTTCTTAGTTATTCCCGTCTAGGAACAAAAGGTTGGAGAAGAACCAACCGGCAGGAATCCGAATGAATCGGGGAAAACGTGCCAAGCATTGAAAAATTTCATGGAAGTCAGGACTATTTATACATATACAAGTGTCAAAAGTAGAACAGCTTCCAAAATTGCAGAGACAGAATGCAAGCTCAAAAACATGTTACATTTGCACAAGAAATCAGCTAACTCCTATTTTTCGCATCATAGTCTTCATCTTTCTGTACTGAAGATAAGGGAAGGGAAAACTTATCGAAGAACTCAAACTGCAGTTCTGCCTATCAAAACTGACAAAATAAAAGTAAAAAGACAGCCATGAAAAAAAAAAAAAAAAAAAGGCACCAAGGGCTTTTATACTAAATACATCAATCATTTTAATGCGTAATCACCATAGAAGCTTCAACCAGAAAAACAAGTGCACAGGAAAAGAGGCAAAGTAGAAACTTACCTTGAAAGAGATACTGAACGTCTTGAGCGTTTCACCTTCGGTGACAAACTGCAAAATATGAAGGCCAGTTAATTTTTCAATTTCACAATCACAATAGAGACAAAATCATACTTAAACGGTGCAGCAAATCAACCTTCTGCTCCTGCCTCTATAACTGTAATCCCGACTCCAGCTGCGGCTTCGACTTCGTGACCTATAAGGACTGCGGCTATAGCTTCTGGAATAGCTCCTCCTAGAATCACGGCTGAGACTCCTAGAATAACTCCGTCGATCATATTCTCTCACCTAGATCAATCACCAACCAAAGAAACAGATGATTAAAAAAGTAATCACATAAGCAGGAACCAGGATGGAGCCAAAATGCAGACCATCAAATACCCGTATGTATGCACGAGAAAATGCATTCCGGAATTCTGAATCATCAAGCTTCCTGATCTGTGAAAGAAGGCAGTAAAAATATTGGCATATTAGTGAAGGGAAACAAAATCGCCTGTTATAGAGATCGTGGTCCCCATAAAAATCCAGAACAAGGGGGCCAGGCAATTAAAAAATGAAACCGGAATACTCACAGCATACTTCATATCATCATAATTAGTATAATCCACGATCCCAGTCATGCCTGCATAAACATTGAATTTAACAGAAAAAAATCATCCTCTCAGAAAGTTCAGCAAAAAAATGATACGATATTTTATTGAGTTGCAAGGAGCGAAAAAATAAGGATGTTCTCAAGTAAATTACAGTACCCTAAAATAAAGGCATCTACTTCAGTCTTTGATCATTGAACCATTCAAAATTAACAAAAAGTAAAACTTCAAAAACACTTAGGATATATTTAGTCTTTTGCTTGTTTCGCTGCATCAGCATTCAGAAAATTCCATCCAAATATCTATCTCAGTTCCCAACCATTTCTCATCAAGTTCCGAATGTTATGGGTCTCCCGACCATCACTGATTGGCTTAGACTTGCCTCATCTAATTGAAAGATGAATACCTAATTCTTACAAATTATTCTTAGCAGACAAAAGTGCAATTAAAGTAGGATGAGTACATCAGATTCTATTCCACTTACCACCACGCTCCCGAAAGACTTCAGAGAAACATACATCACCAGCTTTACGCATGTGATCCTAGTCATTGAACACTCAGTATCAGTGGCATATTACACGTTAACTATCATCTAATTCTAAGGCTTAGACAATAAATATCAACCTCTTCCATGCAATTAATGCGGAATGGATCAAACAATCTTAAGAAAAATGAACCATCCATACCTTCAAGTCTTGCCATGAAGCTGAAGGGGGTAATCCAGTGACCAGAACTGCAAATTAAACCAAAAAATGGATCGTTAAAAGCAGTTTTCATTTTTTTCAATATAAATTGAAAACAAAATTGAACTAACACATGAAACTGCAAAGCTTAGGCATATTATGTAAAAATCACTTTTATATTGAAATCTATATCATGTACAAATACATACCGCGATAGTCCGAACGCCTGGAAATTCCCCGGCTACCACCACTACCACTATAGCTGCTGTAACGGTCAACCGATGAAGAATATCCCCGCCCACCATGCGCAAATTCAACCTATAGGTGTGAAAGCAGCAGTGGTTCAACAGACATTACACACTGTCACACAAACCAGAAAAACAGAAATTGAGAAAAGAAACTGTACTAACTCGCAATCGGAAACCATCAAAATTATAACCATCTCGATAGCGAATAGCATCTTCGGCATCACGACGATCCTCAAACTGCAAATATCATGTTCAAAAGATATAAGATGGAAGGAGAAAAAAGTGAGAAATATGAGAAAAACGCCTCATGTACTTCTGTCATGAAATCTGGACATACCTTTACAAAAGCATAACCAGGTGGTCTTGGAGGGATTTTCAAATCAATGTCAACAAGAGGACCATACTGAGATCAGAAGGTGAAGACAGAAGTTAGTGAACGGATAGTTTGTAAACTTAGATCTACAACCATAATCGGAAGACCAAAAAAAAAAAATTATATCAATAGGAAAACATTCTAACGAATAATTATATTTTTTTTCCCCAGGCCCTATGACATGGCTTACATGCTAAGCTAACTGAAAGCAACATCATAAAAAACGACACTTTATGCTCATGAAGAGAATATGTTTTATACAAAGAATACATTGCAAGGCATATTTGGACGAAGCATTTCAGCTGGAAGGATACTGTATAAAACAATAACCCAAGATTATAAGTCCCAGCATAGATGTAAATAGTAATAACTATTTGCACCTTGTAGAAAAGATCCTCAACTTCTCTCAAACGAATATCACCAGGAAGATTGCCAACATAAATAGTGCGACTTGACAGGCTACTCATCCTTCCTGCAAAACAATAAAAATCATAGAATTGCATCTTGCCACCACAAACGAAGTATGGACATATGTTTATATAATCAAATTCTTCCAACTAATAAGTTTGCGTATACAGATTGACGTAGGTTCTTAGGGTAGTAAGATGACAATTAAAATCTTCCCACTCGCAGAAGAAAGAAGAATAGTTCAAGATATAACAAGAACTGGAGCGTCAAGGTGAGAATGGCAGCGCATACCTGAGCAGAAAATTCGAGGAGCAGAGCGGGACAGCGTGAGGATGGATCAGATAGGTTGTGGTCTTGGTAGGTGGTGCTCGAGACGCGAAACAGGAGAGAATCCGGAAGCTCGTTAACTTGGAGGAGATGGTTTCCTGCTTGGGCGCTTCTGGAAGCTCTAAGAGTGAGGAAAGCTCATTTGCCAGTTATAAACGGAGACGTTTCTCAAGGTTCCAATGTCGTTGTTACACGTGCACGATGTTCCCGTGTGATTAAATGTGGGCCGTCCAAACCTTCAATGATTCAACAGTGTTGTCTGGATTTTTCCTTTTACAGTGGACCTATATTCTCGGCCCAAAAACAACACTCTGAAAACTTCTTTGGATTTTTTTTGACCAGCAACTTCTTTGGATTACTACTGCCTTCTATTACAAATATTGGTAATAGTAATATTAAATATTTAACATTAATATCAATAAATCTATGGAAAGTAGGAAACATTCGTCCCTCTGGGGGACTACCAAATGGGGCGGGGGGCTTCGAGAAACGCAGTGGCTTGGGCAATATGTAATCAACTTCTTTCATGCATAATCAATTTGTCCACACGATATTCACTTATTTGAGTTAAATTTAACTTGTTAGGATTAGCCTCGTGAGGGGTGTAAAAATATTTTTAAAATTCCTGCATGACAAGCAACGGTGACGAATGGGGGGGGGGACAATGTATCGTGTATATGTATACTTGTCGATATTGTTACCATAATTGCTTAGAAACATATTTAAAGGGTGTTTGGATGAAACCAAACCATGATTTGGAGAATAACTTCTAGAGAATAGATTTTGTGAAAAAATAATTCTGAGAAGTGAGAGTGTTTGAATAGTTATTATCAGAAGCACTTTTTATATATACAAATTACTAAAAAAAAGCATAAGTTAATATGTTTATAAAAAAATAATTGAGGAATGTTAAAGTCATATTATTGTTGAGATCCACTTTGATAGGCACAATCATACTCTCCAATTTAAGCTAGAAACATAATGGATTCACTTCTTCTGAAACTATGGTTTTGAGCTCTAAAACCATGATTTTGGTCAAAACCATAATTTCGGATTATTTCTCCAAAATTGATGCTATTTGGGTGACATCTCACCCAAACCATAGTTTCAAGGGACACCCAAACAGGCCCTAAATAGTATCCTCTAGTATTCTGTAGAAGCTAAAAATGCATTATCTAAAAAAATATAGCTAGAGTATGGATTAGGAAGATAGTTTGCATTTTCTTTCTAATTGATCTTGATTTATTTTCTTCTATCATTTTATAATTTTAAGTAGTTTCGTTTATAAATAAACTCATCGCTAAACTAGATCAACTATAAGGAACCAGGGTCCTTCATTTTTTGAGTATTCAGTGGTCATTCTTTTCTGTAAGAATGTAAATTATATTTAGGGAAAACAACTGTTTTTAAATGGATAAGCTAGCCATATAATAATTACAAGCTTGGCAATCATCGCTTGAATTGGGAGGCAGTGGTCACAGACTCACAGCGCTTAAGCTGAAAAAGGCCTCTGATTTGAACTTTTCTGGTAGAACTCTTCTCTCTGAGATTTCTCTTTTTCGTTTTTTGCATTGAATCTTCTTCTATTGGATTTTACACACAAGGGTATCTATGGCTAGCGGCATTTTGGGTTCAGTGACATATAAGTGGTCTCGACCCAACATGAAAAAACCAGTGTCCAGATCATTCACGCGAGGCAATTAGAAGAAAATGAAATCCAAGAGCATGATTCAGCTAGTCACGTTGGAGTTACAGAAAATTCAAGTGCAAATCATTGGTCTTTCTTACCGTATCCATTTTGTACTATTCAATTATCAATCTTCATTAAATTTGGCTTCAGAATTATATTCTTTACTTGATTTCTTTGTGCCTGCAATCTAGATCCCTTGAATTCCGATATTTCTATCATCTCCTTTGTTCTCAAACATCTGCTGCTGAAGTTCTCGAACTTCTTGGTACTAAATACATGATTTCGTATTATTTTTCATAATTTTATGCTGAATTTTCGTGTGAAACAGATATGATCGTCTCAAAATTTCGAGCGATCTAGAAACATTGCTGTGATCTCTGGAGGTTGATCTTTCTGGCTTCTACTTTCTCTCGACTTGTTCCTTTGGTCATACTCTGGGAAGGGAGCGATAGGAATATATCATCTATAGGAACTATTTTTGCGTTTGAAGGAAACAAAGATTGTCTCGCAACCTATTGTAGTTAATAATCATATCAATCCGAGTCATATAAATTTTATGCGTTTCATTGGGGTATAAAAATTACAATTTTTTCAGGCTTGTAGTGAAAAAATAAATCATTTGGGGAGAGTTACCTTCATCTAAAAGTATTATTCAAATAGCAGACGGTTCGTAAAGAACTACATTCGTTTATTATTACTGCTAGACTGGCAATTAATTTGCTTTAATTTAATGACTGTGATGGTTTAATTTCATGTTGCAAGCACAGGCTCTTACGCTGGCAGCGACGCAGCGTCAGGAGCTGCAGTGGTAGAATTCTATGAACTTTTAACAGGATCTTTTACCGCATATCTTATAGGTACTGATTTTTGTAAAACTTTATATATCTAGCCTTTATTTGCAACCAAACAATAATTGGTGGGTGGAAATTATCTGGAGGTGCGCGGATTTGAGAGGGTTATCATCCTTCGGCAGAGAAGGAAAGAGGGGAGGATTATTATCCAACGTCAAAGTGGATCGGTTCAAGCTGCCTCATTTACATTGGCTGGCAATCACCATGGCATAAAAATAATTTTCTGAAAGGATAAGGATCTCGATTTGAAGTAACCCACGAAAGAGTAATATAATAATTCGAGTGATGGCAGTCGAATCAGCGATTCGCATTTTGTAATATTGATTAAGGCTTTGAAATGATGGTACGAGAAAGTTGACATGGTTAGGGCAGAAGTAGAAGTAAAAGTTGTTTCGAAACCAGAAGCAAGTCGGAACGATTGGACGTACAACCAGAAGCAAGTTGTCATTGAGGAGAGTGACTTTCAGAGTTGACCGAAATCCAAACAAAATTTGTGACAAATCATCCGGAATGTGATTTTCTCCGTCTGAAAAGAATGAGGAGTTATTCCTGGGTTAATTTCCTGGGTCTCCGCCACGCCTACCTCCTAATTCTGGCCGCTTATCTTCTGCTGCTGTTTTTATGCCAGAAACGGGAACTAATCTCGCTTTGAGACGTCGATAACAGGGTATGAAGAAAGTGGACATTTGAATTGAAGATAAGAGATGCAGCATCGGTTCTCTTTTTGGGAAAAAATCGTCAGTATATACGAAACGAGTACAATTTCAACTGGGGCTTTAGTTAAGTTTATGTGGAACCCCGACCAAGAAAATGCTTCATGCGACCATTCACGTTTACTTGTTTGTCCTCTTTGCATGGCATAAAGGCTGTTCGAGAACAGTGCGTTCATCGGGAAAGCCGGGGAGTGTGGATGGGCTCCGGCAGAGAATGGTCATGGATTCATATATTTCCCCATTGACTCGGCCTTTCTTTTATACTATTAAGAATAAGAATCCAAAAATTTGACGATGCTGCACCTGGATACCAAGGGATGTTGGACACGTTAATCCCTCTCGCATGTCTCAACTAATTTGTTAAAGGTCGAGCCTGCAGAAGATGCTTCAGGCAGTTGGTTAATGGGCTCTTTCCCATTGTCGAATTTGATTGTGATTTCCCTCTCTGAGGTTATTATTTCCAAGAATGCTCGAACTCACCCGTGCATTGTCAGTATGTTAACTGAAGGATGAGATAAATATTGAAATGCCAAAAAGTTAAGACAGGGAAAAGGGCAAGGAATAAAGGTTTGTTTAGATTAGCAGTAGAAAAAAGTAATTATTCTCAATTTAATTTTTAGAAAAATAAGATTAAGTAAAAATTAAATTGGGTAATACAATTTATGTTTGGATTGACATTTATAAAAGTTAGTTTGTAAAGTAAAAAAGTTGTTTAGATTATTATTAAATAGATAAATTTAGTTTGTAAGATGACCAAAATGGATATATTTTTTTTAAATAATGAAAAATGATTAAAAATATGAATTTATGAAATATAATAATTTTAAATTATTATAGTATGAAGAAGTTATATTTAATGAATAAGATATATTTAAATTAGAAATAATAACAATGTGAAAATTTTTGAACTAAATAATATTACATAATTAATTGGATGATACTAGAGCTGGGAAAGTGGGCTGGCGGTGCGGATACAAGCCACCCCGCCGCGGTGTGGGTTGGCATTTTACCAGCCCAAGCCTGCCTAAATTTTTTTTTAGATCTATTATATTAGTATGAGTCAGGCTTAGTTTGAAATGTTGAAATTAGGCTCCGAGTTTTAAACTTAAGTAATGGGTTCTAATAAAAAAAATATGAGAATTAACTTATAATTTTAGAAGATATTTAAGAAAAACTAACATATATTTTTTTATAAATAATTAATTTAACTAGTTTTCTTATCCAAATTAATTAAGCAAATCTTTTATGTGTGTGTATGTATGACTATATGAGAATCACAAATTCATCTAATCTTATGAAGCCGTGTATAGTAACAACAAATAGATCTAAAAATAAAGATGGACGGTGCTCTTTATATAACCATACACACATATATATATATATATGAAATGCTTAATTAATTATATATGTAATGATATGAATGAGATAATGTCCATATAAAATTTGAAGGTCAAAATCCTCTAACTATATTATATTATGTATTAAAAAATCAAAAAAAAAAAAACGGGCTGGCCAGCCAACTAACGGGCCAGCCCGTGGCAGAGTGGGCCAAAAGCAGTGCGGGCTAGAGTAGCCCACACCGTGGCGGGTTGGCTGGCTGGGCCCGTGTATTACCAGCTCTATATGATATACTCCGCATAGTTTATGTAAACATAAAATAAAAAATAATATGAAAAATTAAAAATATTATAAAAACTGTTAAAAATTATTTTTACTGAAAAAAATATTAAAAATAAATAACTAAAAACTAATTGAAAATATATAAAATATATAGAGAAGCATAAAAATATCATAAATATAAAAGTAAAAATATCTTTTAACTTTAAAAGCTACTTTTGCCCAAGCCATAAATAAATCTTAGATATTTTTACACTCATATTAAAAAAACAGTTTTTGATAAAAAGCTTTTAAATTTGCAAACTTACTTGTCACTTTAGAAGTTACTTTTTCCGCCCTCAAAAACGTTGCCAAACAGGCACTAAAGCGATCTGTTGTCTCCTGATGAGGTGACCTGCTGGCTTGCCTTGTTCCCGAAGATGGCCCTTCAACCGAAAAGGACTGGAGATTATTATGGAGCTCCGCTCCAACTCTATGGTAAGTAGTACGATTGGACACTGGGTTAGGTGCAACCTTTGAGCCCTCAAAGCCTCTTCAAGTGTTAGTTGGCCTAGGTTCTTAACGCTCTGCTCCATTCAAGGCGCCTATCCTACTGCTACAGCGGAATTATTAGGACGGTAAGTAAAACAAGGATATCTCTCCCGTTCCTAATTCCGTTTCCATCAATACTCCCTGTTTCTTTTTTTGGATTTTGCCTCCATTTTCTAAGACACCACCCATTGTCAATTTGACGTCTAGTTTAATTTCCGTAGTCTTTAGACATCACGCCCTTCGCCCTACCCTTCCATTAAATATATCGGTCTAAAAATAAATTTATTTCATGTTTACCTATTCCTTAATTATTATTCATAGACTTAACATCATGTTTTCATACTCATTAATACAGCTGCTTGCTCTCTTCTCAAATAAGTTCAACATTTTTGCAATGCACAGTGAATCCCTGGAATATCTTTTTAAATTGTGGATGATTTACAAAGCAATCATTAAAATTTAAAATTTAGAGGGCAAATCCCATCCAATTTACTTAAACACTGCAGTTTGCTTATGTTACGGAGAAATTATCATACAAATTGTTGCTAAATTTTGAAAACTTAATAATTAAATATTGCAAATGGAAGCTCATTAAGAAGCAACGGATCTCAAGCGTGGAAAGGTATTAAATAGGTCTGGAGTAATATCTCGGCAGGACTTGGTTGGAGAGTAGGCGATGGAAGAAGAGTTCGGTTCTGGAAGGACGTATGGGTCCCCCATCATGAGAAACTTAGCACGTACGCAATTCGAGAAATTGGCACGAACAGGAGCCAGGTTACGGTGTCTGAGTGTATCTCCCCCTCTGGTGGTTGGGACTGGCATAAGTTTGCGGAACTGCTACCCTTCTCAGTTTTGAACGCGATTGCTAGTGTGAAACCCCATGGACATATGGAAGATACTGTTGTGTGGAGAGGGTCCTCGAATGGTGAGTTCTCAGTCAAGTCAGCTTATCGTGGGCTGGATTTTCCGATTGTGGTCGGGCGACGCAGTTTCTGGAGGAAGCTATGGAGACTGCATGTCCCGGAACGCTATAAAACATTCTTATGGTTGTGTGGACACGGGCGATTACTCACCAATTGTGCTATAGTACCGAGAGGGCTCCGAACGAGTGAGGGGTGCAACATGTGTGGGGAGGGGAGAGAAGGTTTATTGCATGCATTACGTGATTGTGAAGTCGCATCGAAGTGTTGGCAGGAGCTCACTCCCACCCAGATGCGTAGACAGTTCTTTCAGATGGAAAGTGGTTACCACTGGATTGAATGAACATTAGCCAGCTAAGTTTGGTTGGAGGTATTCGTTGGGGCATGAGTGTTTGAAGGCAAAGCGCGAGGGTTTCGGTCAATATTGACACAGATTCATGGGATAGTGAATTGGGTGAACATCTCCCTAAGCCGAAGGACGCTGGAGGGCATGGATGAGTATCGTTGGAAAGCGCCTTACGTGGGAACCACCAAGGTTAATGTTGACGGAGCTTGCGTGGGAGATGGAGAACTGATGGCATGTGGCATAATAGCACGTAACCATGATGAAGAGGTCTTGAATGGTTTTATGTTTCGCATCGGCCGAGGCAGCAGCTTGCAAGCGGAAACTATGGGCGGTGGTGTGGGGTCTCAAGAGAGCCTGGGACTCGCAATGGAAGAAGGTCGAGGTTGAAACGGATTGTTTCGAGGTGGTGACAACTCTGGAGACGGGATGGACCGATGACCACCCAGAAGCAGGACTCTTCACAAAAACTCACAGGTGGCTGGAAATGGATTGGGACGCGACAGTCATCTGGGGTAGACGAGAGGCTAATCATGTGGCGGATAGGCTTGCCAAGGAGGCTCTGAGTATTACGGATGGACTGATTACGTTCTATAACCCCCCTTATTTTATTTCTTCTGTTCTAAAGGATGATGTGGCCCTCACGGGCATTAGATAGTTTGTTTTTTTGTTTGCTTTCTTCTTCTGCACTTTTTCCTCATCGAAAAAAAAGAGGAAGCAGCCGAGTCTCAAGGACCGCTCAGGCGATGGTCAGCTCAGCGGAAGCACAATGGGTCAGACGTGTAAATATGGAAAAACGGAAGGGCGTATGCATCTGATCAGGATAAACTAAGGGCATACTATAGAAGCCTCCAAAAGAAGCAGGGGCATGATGGAGCTAAGGACTTGTCATCACGTGATTTTTCCAGGCCCACCCGAACCAGTAATGTCACGCGTCCCCCTTCATCCTGGAGTCTTTGGGTCCCCGGGTCCATGAGTAAGAGAGAACCTTATCCCCTCATTTTCGCTTCCGATCCAATCGCCACGTCATAGGCTTCCGCTTTGATTCCCATCAACGGTTCACGTCTCTCCTCATCTCCATGACTTGTTCGATCTTTAATTCCTCCCCCCCTTAAATTTCCACCCTCATACATCCCGCTTCTCTAATCCAGAATCCATATCCAGGTTCCCACACTGATTACTGCTGTGGTCTCTTCTGCTCGCTAGATCTGCTGTAAAACCTGTCAGCGCTATGGGCCTTCTCGACCAACTGTGGGATGATACTGTCGCAGGCCCTCAGCCTGAGAACGGTCTCGGAAAGCTCCGAAAGCACAAGACCTTCGGTGTCCGTACTGGGTCTGGCAAGGGTATGATAAAGCTTTTGCTATCTTCAGCCGCCTCTGGATTTTTTAACACATAATTTATCCGAATCAATAATATCTGAATTCTAACCATGAATCAGCAACGGAATCATTCTAACCTGACACCTCATATTCACTAGTTGCAGATCAAGCTGTGTCCAGCTCATTCTTACCGTGAAGAGCACTTTATTAGCTCACTATAAATTTTGAAATGACCTATTGAGCTAAATATTATAGAAGATCGAGAGGTTGAAATAATAAACATTTTATCAATCAAAGTATATATAAGCAGGCACCTCAAAAGTTCCTCAACATTTCTGCTTTCTTAACCTAAAAAAAAAAAGGTTCTAACTATGAGGTTTGCCGTGTTATCAGAATCGTACGAGGGAAGCGGGAGATCGTACGACGAGGAATCGGTGGAGGAGGCGTTGAGAGTGACACGTCGCATCATGATCGTAAAACCACCAGGGTACCAGAGCGGATCGCCTCCAGTTTCACCTGCCGGTTCTACTCCACCGGTCTCTCCGTTTTCGGGTAACGTCGCTATTTCCTGATTCTAATTCTAACTATGACCAAGATCTGTGTTATTAGACCTTGGATTAGCGAATGCCTATTGCCCAAGATTAATTGTTCTTGTGGGAGGGTAGTGTAGTCATTTTGCGGCACCCTCCGTCTTGAGAGATGATGATGGAACGAGCAGTGTTAGGTGCACTCACCAGGCCCCTGTTTTTACTTTGTCTTCATTTTAGCCAGTCGACGTGAAATTGACGTGTCCATTGTCGTTATACGCCTACATACGCATCTATTAATTGATCAGAGCCAGCTAGCTAGGGTAACTTTGTGCTTGTCTGAGGTTAGTTCGATAAAATAACCAAATGCCTTCAATATAGGGGTAAAACTGTATATATGGGTGGTCATCTCATGAGATATTCATGCTTGCAAGTGAATCCTTGCCAAGCGTAGCTTTTACAACGTGAATTGCCATCTCAGTATGGTTGGAACTTGAAAAACATATGCGTTTTCTGTTACACCAATTACAAGTAGCACAGAATGTAAGAGGAAGCTGGATGATCGATCAGATGTGTTTTAAACGCAGCAAGGAGAATATATAAGCGTATATATGCTACTGATGAGTGTGTTTCTTGTTAATTTATTAGGAGCAAAAGAGTCCTTCCGGTTTCGCAGAAGGTCGACCTCAGATGCGTATGAGAAACCGAGCCAGAACCGATCTTCAGGCTCTTCTCCTTTCGATGTCTGATAAATTACGTACTGAGTCTCTTTGTTCCATCTTCCCTTGGCTATATATATGATGCAAAAAATGTAATTAAGGGTAGGATTGTATGTATGGTCTAAATCTGTGTACATAGAGCCTCTGTACGTTTCTCTCTCCTTGTCTTTCTTTCTTTTTTCTTGTTTTGCCTTCATTTCTCTGCGAGTTTTGTGGCCTGAATAAGATCCCACTTCTCTTTGTTTATGTGGACCTTGCTGATCCATTGTTAATGGTCTATATATAATAATGGGGAACAAGAGATAGTGGCTTTGTGCATGCAAGTGACAGTTTAAAGTTATTTGTCCTCGAGGATGACTGCTGAGCCACTTGAAGATTTAAATTATAAAAGAAGGAAAGCAATGATTCTTAATTCAGCAAGCATTATTCAACGATCAGAACTAACGCCTGGTTGGATTGGGCACAAACGATCCCAACGCCTCCACCATCTCGTATTGTGAGAAAATATGTCTCTTTATACTCTCTCAATAATCCTCTTTGTATATAATGTAGGTAAAAGGACGTTACCCCCCAACATTAAAACAAAAAAACAAAAAAGAATGAATTTGCTACTGGCAGTGCTATGACCTCATTTCTATTATATTCATGCTCGTTCAAAATTTCAAGTGATTCATAGTGTTCCATAGGCGGAGTCAGAAGCTTATTATGACAAACCGGCAAGAAAATTTTGGATCGAGGTATTCTAGGTACGAAATTGACGCTGGGGGGGGGGGAGTTCATCAAATCTCAGGTATCATCTATCCTTGGTCATTAAATTGATGCAACGCTTTAAGTGTGGAGAGAAGTGTAAATTTAACTATGTAAGCAGGGGGATAATGCATGAGTTAACCACGGAATGCCGAAGCATATGTTTAATTTCTGGTGCACTTTAAAAATGTGATTTCCGCAATTTTATTAATGTGCAGCTGTACTCTATTAGTTTTATGGGCACAAATATCTCGTGGGTTTTACCTTTACAGCCGAGTAGCCGGTGAATCCGAGGAGGGTGAAAATTCCAAATGAAATGGAGTGGGTTCTTTTGATCAAATCTTAATTCTTCGGATCCTATGGTTTTTGCTTTCTGGTCAAACACGGCGCTATCCCATTACTGACTGCTCACTGTGTTAATGTCATCATACAATGGAAGGAAGGACCGGAACCAGTTTCTGGACCTCTGTGTTATTTAAATAGTCTAGATTTAAATTTTATAATTAATTACTTTTAAATAAAAAACTATTTTTTTAAAAAAAATAATTAAGATATTATCACTATTTTAGATTTTACACAGATTAATATAATTGGTTTGAATAAATAAAAATTAAAAAATTAAATCTCGACTATTCAAATGAGATATAAATAATTCAAACCTGATAAATTTATAATACTCATCAAAAGAATAAGTACCGAAAATGGTTCCACCAGTACATGCAAATGCCGAAATAACATGAAATGTGATCCGCATTTCATACGCGCGCTTACTCTGTCCCTTAATACTCTTCCACTCTTTGAAATGGACAATTGCTGTTTACCAATGTCTTAAATCTTAGTTTTCACATGACATCCCAGCTTCCCTCAGATATGCGTAACTGCAGCTTTCATGCAGTTCTCAGCTTTCGGAGTTGACACAGTTTTCAAGCTGCCTATGGGTTTGTGAAATGTGAACTAGAAAGAGAGAAATTTAGGATGCTGCGTCGCCAGAGTTGAATACTCCACTGTACAGAAATTGACCAAGTCCTCCTTTTCTTTTTTTTATTAACTAAATAAACATCCCCCAGGGTTTCACCTGCATGAATGGGCTTTTGAACCATCATCCCAACAGGAAAACTGCTGAGCAGCCTTAACTTAAAAATGATTGAAGTTCTACTTTGTCTGGAAACATGACATCTCTTTTTTTTTTTTGACATCTCTTTTTGAACTCACAAAATTACACTCTAATTTGCAAAAAACCTAATTCTATAAGCGTACAAACTATAAAGCAAATATCTCTGTTCCTGCACAAAAGAATGCATGCCTGGGCGGTTCAGTTTATGAAAGTCTCAGAGCCGTCACAAAATCGGCAATCTTCAATTTATAAATGCTGAAGGCTCTCCCTTCACAAATCTCATCTACTTAAAGATGTTTCCACTCCACACAAGTTGAGCTTGCCGCATTCCTGCTTGAACCCAAAAGCTTTTGCCCAGTGACTACACCTTTTTTGGGGGCTGTTAAAAAAGACTAATTAGACGCTAATTTACATTTAAAAAAAAAAAGAAAAAAATCTAAAACCAGATATAAATTCAAAATTCAAACACTACAGCAGCTGATTGATTATGATATACATGCCTTCTTAAGATTCAATTTTGAACCACTTCCGGACGCTCTATCCGCGGGTTTCAGTATCTGGAAGGAACATACTAGAGATTCATCCACGCTCAACAACGCACCAGCATTATCAAACTCCCCGCCGTAGTTTGGGGCAGAAAATATTGTGACTAACCTTCGTTTAGCAAAAAACTCGTATCCATCCTCCACCACCTACAGATAAGTTTGTAAAGAGAAGAATGAGACCTTAATCAACAGAAGATCCATATGCACGTCAGACAATAAAAGCCGGTATAGAATTCAGCCTATTAAAAAGAAAATAGAAGATGATGTTCGCGATTCTTATCCGAATTCCAACTATTAATCTACGCTATAAGTAACACGAGAGTTGATAAACAAAATCCAGAGTGGGTATCAGTGAGACGAGCATGACTCAGTAAAACATATCGGGCAGCTTTTCAAGGTTATAAAGCAAGTGATTTTGGTAGACTTAAGAAATAGCTATTTCTGAAGTGGTCAGCCGATGCACAAAGGGCAAGAACGTAAGCAAGGAGGCCTGGAGAGCGATGAACTTCGTTCGTTAAAAATGGAAACCACCTTTGAGATAAGAACAAATATAACAGTAATGTCACTTGTTGAGTTCGCTCGTGAGAATAAAGGAAGTGTACCTGATGACCTCTGCAAATGAGGTCAAGGTCATTCTTATCCAAAAATTCTTTGAGTGCAACAGGCCCAAAAGTACAAGACACCCCCCGGTCGCTTTCTGCCCAGCCCTCAATAGTGGGATCAGGATCAGACCAAAGCAAATCACAGAGGAGACCACTATCAGGAATTTCAGTAGGTCTTGTAATCTGTTTTATCTGATCCAAAGTTTGCAATTCTGGAGAGAGACCGCCGTGCATGCAAAGTATTTTGCCATCAATGAGTGCGGCTACGGGCAAACAGTTAAAGCAGTCAGTAAATATTTTCCACAACCTAATATTGAACCTCCTTTTACATTCATCGTAGAACCCATATATTCGGTTTATCTTAGCTTCTTCGTGGTTTCCTCTCAGGAGGTGAATTTTGTCGGGATATCTTATTTTGTAGGCCAAAAGCAGACATATTGTCTCCAAGCTTTGCTTCCCTCTGTCGACGTAGTCCCCCAGAAACAAGTAGTTTGCAGCGGGAGGGTAGCCGCCATATTCAAATAGCCTCAGCAAGTCTTGGTACTGTCCATGGATATCACCTACAAGAGAATCCCTATTTTAGAATTCAGGAACAATGGAAGAGAGTCACAAGGATATTGAGATGTATCCACTGCAGATTTCCCGCATCACATTGCCCTTTTATAACATTCCTTTTATTTACGTAGGATAAAAAGAGGTTTCTGAAGAAATATACAAATTCTCAGGAACGTTGATGGATCGAAAAGAAGACCCGAGCAATGCATCATCCAAAGGGCTAAGGCTAAGTAAATATTTCTCTATTTGTTTCTGAATTTCTCTATTGCGTTAAATTGACAAAAATCCTACCAACGAAAAAATGATGAAAATTCTAAAAGCCAGTTTTTCAATTTCTCAAATCTATCTCTCTCTGGTTTTTCCCCAGCACGTCTTCTGAATATGAACTGTCATCCTCACCAGCTTGAAAGCAAAATTGATTTTTGTTCGCAATTTGGGAGCCCTAATTTTGACCTAGCAAAGCAATTGAATGCCCAATCTGCCCCTTGATGAAACTGCATTAACACGGACCCCAGTCCTAAGATGGCGATGTATCGAATCTATTTTACGAAACTCTGTAACAGTTCAAAATGTTTTTTTTTCAGGAAAGAAAAAAACACATCTATTTGACAGGCACGAGGAAGGGAAACGAGTTGTTCGATTAGACAGAAACAGAAAAATCGCGTGATTGATTACGGGCCGAGAACAGGATCTGCAATAACAGTTAGAGGAGGAGGGATGAAGAAACTAACCACAGATGCGGATAGGAGCATGAAGCTCGAGGAGATTAGGCTGGGAGAGGAAGATTTGGCGGGCGTTGACGCAGAGTTGACGGATCTCCGACTCAGAAAGCTGGACCTGTTTTCCGCCTTTACCGTCGAGGAGCCTCCGAATAACGTCGTCGAGGACGCCCCTGTCCATCATTCCCTCCATGGTCATCATCATCATCTTGCCGTCGAAGGAAATCCCAATCCCAGAGTGCAGGGAGCGAAATGAGGCGTTTCGGGCGGACAAATAGTGAAGCCAGAGTCGCGAATGGAAGAAGGTAAATAAAGCTAGAGAGGGTGAGCAGGCAGAAACAAAGGAGCTACAAAGAGGGACAATAATATGATCCAGAGGGAAATAAATCAATGCGTTGATAATAGCATATCAAATATGGGAAGGAACTGAGATGTTTAGGAGTGCAAATATGGTTGTTTTCCTATTTGCCCTTTTTTTTCCAAAAAAAAAATTTTGTTTTTATCGATAGTCGACTCTCTCTCTCTCTCTCAATATTGTGATTTGTGGGACTGGGTGCAACTGCCAAACAGGCTAATTACGGTTGAATCCTTCAAAGGCGGGGAGCGGGTACCAAATGGCGCGTAAGAAAAGAGGCGCGTGCTAGCTGGAGGTGGTCCACGTGGAACGAGGTGGTTGGTAGAGGTTTCCCTGGTCAAAATTGCGGGTGACATTCGGATTACGGCACCTTGTAAAGGTGGGCTCGTGACGGAGGAGACGAGTGAACATTGCAACAGCAGTACCAGCAGCATTTCCCCGATGAAGTGGGGCGGGAAGGAAAACGCCAGTTCGCCGGGAAAATGAAGGAGTGATTTGGAGAGGAGAAAGAGAAAAAGTTGGGGAAAGCGCGTATTTGAAAAGGTCCGCCTCGACTTCTCACCCATCCCTTCCGTCTAGGGGCCCCACTTCTACTTTTATTGCATCCGCTCCTCGTTGCTGCCTTGTGTACTAATTATAAAATTAGTTAATTAATTTTAAAAGATTAAAAAAATTAAGTTAATTTTTTTGTAATAAATAAATATTATTTTTTAAAAATATATTTGATAATCAAATATATTGGCAGAACTACTATTGTTAAAAGGACTATCTTAAAAAAACATATAAATATTAGAAATAAAGTGAATTAAGATTTTATATTTATGATTAAAATAAAAATCAAATAAAATCTTATTTTAAAGATCAAAAGTAGTATTTGAATTGAAAAAAATAATCCAGGCAAAAAAAAATTGAAAAAAAAATAATTTTTTGTTCTCAGATCGCGGATTGCTGAGGCCTGAGGTCTTTTTCCTTGGTAAATGTTGACATCCGGATTGCTACAATGATGATGACATGGGGGTGGCCTCCTAATTGATATCATATATTTTTTTTAGTTAATACTACCTCTTATTTTTAATATAAAATTTATTTAATTTTTAATTTGATTTTAAATATACAATTTTAATTTATTTATTTTTCATACTTATTTATTTTTTTAAAGTAGTTCTTGTAATAATTACACATATTAGATATTCATCAAATAATAGTCATAACTAATAGTCATGATTAGTAAGAGTATTCTAGTAAATACAATACTTATTTATTACAAATAGCTAATTTAACTAATTTTTTTAATCTCTTCAAAGTAGTCAACTAGGTCTTATATTAAGAACAAAAAATAGTATAATATATCTTTTTAAAATATTTTAATTATCTTTTTTAATTCTCTCCTCTGCTCTTTCTTTTTTTCTACTTAATTATTAATAAAAAATATTAATAAAGTTAATTTGATAAAAAATTTAATAAACATATGAAATAGATTTATATATAAAACTAATATCATTTCCCAAATTAATTCTTACTTATTTTGTTGCTTATGTTATTTTGCAGATGTTTCTTACAACATGACTTCTTAAAAATCTTATATTATTAATTATATGTATTGAGGTTATGGAAACTAGAACTTTACAAATTAGTAAGGCATGGTTGAGATTTTTAAATTATATCAAGATATAATAAGAAAAAATCGAAGTTAATTTTTTTATTAAATAAAATGGAGCAAACATGATTCTTAACGTTATTCCTATATGTGTCTATATATATAATTTTACCCCTCCCAGCTATATTTTCCTCTATGCACACCACTTTAAGAATAGAATTTAAAATATGATGCTTAGGATATCCAATTTTTTTTTATTTGGGCCAATTTGGTGCATATTATAATTTTGGCAAAATATATATCCACCCACATAATTGGACTGTTAATGAAATGCAGCCCAGATCCAATAGATTGATCTAGCCCAGATCCGGGCTTAAAAATCGCAAAAACCCTAAATTTTCTTCTTAGCGTGAGCCGCGAGGGGCAGAGGGAGGTCGTTAGCTCCGCAACAATGGTTCGTTCTCCCGCTCTTTTTCTCTCTGAGTCTTCGTCTTTCTCCTCTCTGTGCCCGCCGTGACAGTGTTTTCTTTTTTTCTATCTGTGCATAGGGGATCGATCTTAAAGCCGGCGGGAAGAGCAAGAAGACCAAAAGAACGGCGCCCAAATCCAATGATATCTATCTCAAGCTCCTTGTCAAGGTTCATGTCACTTCTTCTCATTTGTATATTTTCATTTGCTTGGGGAAACCAAATAGGAAATTCCTGCATGGTGTAAGAACTACGTTTGTGCTTGTATTGCTGTATTCTTCCTATGATGATAAATGTGATCCCAGCTCATTACGAGACCTTCACTATTTGAGGGTCAGGGAATATACCTACCTACATTCATCTGAGTCCGAAGCATTCTCCTCTCCTTACAATTTTTGTTTTCGTTCCTGATCGGTATTAAAAGTAGCAATTTCCTACCAACCATACTAGAAGCATACTACAATTTGTTCATATAAGAGCTCGCTAAGCTCTTCGTTTGGCATAGTAAATGCTTTCAATAATCCAAGAGTAGGAGTTGAAACAATTTTAATTTGAATCAAGGCAATTTGGTTGAATGATTGGCAGGGCAATAGCTAGGAAATCGAAACTCTTTTTCATTCATTTTCCTTGTACACTGCTATACTCGTACAGGGCAGCTACTTGCCCTTCTTGTAAGCTCTGTTTTGATCCCATGTCTCAGTTCAGCATTTTGTTGATTTTTTTTTTCTTGTGACGATGCCAATTTTACACTTGACTACGAATAAGGCTTCCAATGATGTTGTTTAAAATCCATGCTAATGCTGATCACGGATGATTAATAATTTTAATTTGTGTCACTGAGGGAGCCTGTACTTCATCTCATAATTACGGTTCATTTCTCATTTTTCAACTGTGTAAAAGATCTTGTGTGTCAGAGAGAACTGATTCGAGTAGATTTATTTCTTTTATCAGCGGCTATTTGTACGTCAAAGCACAGTTAGAAGCATTTAGTTTCCTTGAAATAGTCTGATTAGATGTTACATGGCCAGCTTTTCCGCTTTCTCGTCCGGAGAACTGAAAGCAGTTTCAATGCTGTAATACTCAAGCGTCTTTTCATGAGCAAAGTCAACAAGGCTCCACTTTCTTTGTCAAGATTGATAAAGTTCATGAAGGGGAAGGTTTGTTCTTCTATATCTGAGTTTTGGTAATCTTTGAGATAGTAGTATGACTATTTTGGTGAAATCCATTTGTATAGGAAGACAAGATTGCAGTGTTGGTGGGGACTGTCACTGATGATATACGAGTTTATGAAGTTCCGCCTTTGAAAGTTGCAGCACTCCGGTTTACAGAGACAGCGCGTGCAAGGATAGAGAAGGCTGGCGGTGAGTGCCTGACTTTTGATCAGCTGGCCCTCAGGGCTCCTCTGGGACAGAACACGGTATGTGTGTGTATGGAGGGTTATATATTTGGAATTGCTAAGAAAAATCAGCTGTTGACATTTTATTTTTAACTCTTTGAAATAGGTCCTTCTTAGAGGCCCCAGGAATTCTCGTGAGGCTGTGAAGCATTTTGGTCCTGCTCCTGGTGTGCCACACAGCCACACCAAGCCTTACGTGCGATCAAAGGGAAGGAAGTTCGAGCGTGCTAGAGGACGGAGGAACAGCAAGGGATTTAGGGTTTAAGCTCACATTTATTGTACTAGCCTCATTTCATTCAACTTTTGTTCCGTTACCTCTAGAATTAAAATTTTTTGCCAGAGCTAAAGGCAATGAATTGTTTTCCTGTTTCGATATACCTTTGTGCGTTGGTATTATTTTTCTTTTTGCCATTTCAATAGGTGTTTTTGTTGTGTTTGGGAAGCGTGCCTTGCAACTCGCCCTTAATCCAATATTTTATGATAATTTGAAATCTGCCAGGAACTGCTCTTTTTATTTTTGGGTGATGACGAGTGCTTTTCTTTTTTTTGACGAAAGAAGGGAATATCTATTCATGTCAGAATAAGATTATGTATAACAGCTGGTTATGAAACCAGAGCAAACTACAAACAAACGAAGCAGTTAAAAACTCGGCAAATAGCAGGGGGGACTAGGCTGACGGAGAGAATTTTTAGCCTGGATGGTGTAGGTAGCAAGAGTGTAGATTGCACGATGGCTTCCCATGGGTTGCATCTCATCAGTTGTGAAATATTTTTTTTTCTTGCTTCCAGCAAATAAGCTTTCCGATTGCCGCTGAGATGATTTGATTGTTGGTGCGTGAATAGAAACAACCCCCATCACCCCCCCCCCCAAACCCAAAAAAAAAAAACCAACAAAAAAATAATTTATCATTAAGAGCCATTTTTAACCCAGTCGTGTCATATCCTAATCATCAATATTCTTTAGTCAAGGATCAATTGAACTGTTCTAAATTCATGACTAACAGGTTAAAAAATAGTTACGTCACTCTCGAAAACATCTTATCATTGTTATGGAAATTGGAATGAAATTGTGGTTTTAACTGTGAAAAGTGAAAACCCGTAGCACTAACACGTGGAAAGAGTTGAGCAAGTACAAACTTATGATGAATTATATAGACTAGAGTCAGAATTAGAATGGGGATGAACTTGAGGTTTGCAGTGGGAAGCGGAAAACTAAACATAAGAGGCTAGCTTGAATGAGGGAAAGAATAAGGAGGTGTAGAATTGTGTAGGGTAATGTACGCAGGGCAAGGAGTCTGTACGTACACATCAAAAAATGAACATATTAAAGGGGGGGAAAAGAAACTAATGAAGCGCCTAGAGATTACTTAGTGAGCACCCTCCTAAACAATAATACATGAAACACCAGTTGAGTTCACTGTGAAGAGAGCTTTTTAGGACTAGCTGGAGGGGAGGACATGGTGGTGGGATTGTAAGGAATCCTAGTTTCCCTAATCCAGTAATCTGACTTGAAATACCTCAAGGGCGTGAAATCCAGAGCATGCTGTGCCGTCAGATTCTTGATCCCGTTCCACTTGACGCGATGCCTGGTGTTGGCACCTGGCCCTGTGTTATTGAACTCTCCGTACCAGCATGTCTTGTAGGACGTGGAGTTTGCGTCCCACTTGAGAAACCCCTCTGGGTCTATCAAGTCATCTATGAAGGTTTCCATTATGATGGTCCTTGAGAAGTTCTTCCATGGACGCGCCAGGTACGCCTTGCTCTCAAACCTCACTTTATAGAACTTTGGGTCCGATACTATGGACCCTCCTTGGATCACCAGCGCCGACGGTTGGTGCCTCTCCTTCCTCCCTTGCGCCGTCACTATGCACTGCTGGTTCTCGTTCGGCTTCCTCACCACGAACGTGCAGTTCTGCATCACGACGGCGGCATCCCCGAAGACGAAGTCTATGGTGCCGGTGATGACGCAGTCCCTGTAGAATTGACGCATGGTGTGCGCGTACAGCGTGTCCTGGTACCCGTCCAGTTGGCATCTGTAGAATATGGAGAAGTCGGCTTGAACCCTCAATGCCACAGCTTGATGTCCGTCGGGACCGGCCGAGTTTTCGAACCCCATGTTGATGGCAATGAAGTGGTCCCCTTCTACCGACACCGTGCAGGTGTTATAGGTGTTGACCCCGTCGGCAAAGTTCTTGTTGCCGGTGATGCGGGTCTTGTTGCCGCCATCCCCCACGAACACAACGTACGTCATGTCCTTCTCCACTTCCACATACTCTTTGTACTCCCCTTCCTTGATGTAGATCACAAACGGCTTTTTGTTCTTCTTCGGCACATGCTTTAGCGCGTCCTTGATTTTCTTGTACTTCCCACTCCCGTCTTTCGCCACGACCACATCTGGCTTCAGTTTGCCTTTGTGTTCGCTCGTCAGCAGTCTCCTAGCGGCAGGATTTTCATCGATCCACGTGGGGAACTCGAAGTCGCCGTCGGGTCTCACGCCGTCTTCGTTCGCACCTGCCTCGCCATGATGATCTTCGCTGCCATCCTCCTGATCATTGAGCAGACGCCTTCCTTGCTTCGTGATGTGCAAACTGGATAAAGCTTCGGCCATGTCGTTGACGATGGCGAGGCCGTTGCTGCTCATGTGCATGGCAGCGGTGAGTGCCTGCTTCATCTTCTGGCCGGCGTCGCTTTTGGCGTCCTCGAACCCTTCAATGCAGGTTTCCTGGTAAGTGATGGCTCCGCTGAGCCAAACTTTGAGGTTCATGAGAATCTTGTCGAGGTTGTAGAAATCAAAGGACTCGAAGGTTCCGAGTGATTTCCTGAACTCGCCAATGGAAAGTTCCATGAGGTGCTTGCAGGTCTGGAGGGCTTCCTTGGCGCGGGGATCGTTCTCCACCTCGTGCAAGGTGTCGGATTCATGAAGACCCTTCTCGATTTTCTTGATGGTGATGTTGAAGGCCTTCATGATTAGTTCTTTGGGATCGGTGCTGTTGCCGGCCTCCTCCTCCAGGCTCTCCTCGCATTCTTTCTTGTAGTCGGCGGGGGCGCACAGGCTCTGCACCGCTTTCACTTTGTTGGACACGGTCTTATCGGAGGAAGACTTGTCTTCCTCATCGGAATCTGATTGCTTCCACGTCACGCCAACCGTCACGGCGACCACCATGCCCACCAGTAAAACCGAAGACACAGCAATGATGGCTATTCTCCTTTTGTTCTGTCCATCCCCGGACATCTTGGGTATATTAAGCAGCTCCTCCCACCAGGTTTGAAGGCCACCCTCCTATAATCATGTAACAATAACCATGCAAAATCAGCTCATGATTTAAACAGCATGTACAGGTCATAATCATCAAACTACTGCTACTAATCTGGAAATCAACATTCTTTCTTTTTGATGCAACGAATTTACTAATTTTTAATTGTCCGTACTATCTAGCCGGGCAAATGAGAAAAGGAGCCGCCCAAGCTGCGAAGGCGGTGGTACGTAATCGTCTGAGAAAACCCTATGAAGCGTACGTTTTTGAGGTTTCCCCCCATCCAAACACGGACATATTTATACACCAAACTAGGGTTGAAATTTGAGAATTGGATATGGGAGATGCGAAAATGTTGGGGGACGGGAGAAAATTTAAGGCAGTGAGTTGTAATCCTAAATAAGATGAAACACACACACGGGAACCACACAATGTTACAGAAGCCAGGACAGGGGAGGGGAGGGGAGGGGAGGGGGAGACCTCATTTGACGCCTATTCAGCTTCTCTATGACCACCACTTGTACATATCAGGTGATCATTGTCCGGTGATCATTGCCTCATTGGCTTCTGCTTTTCCTTTTTAACAATGATACGTGTTAAGCCTCCAAGGTTTATTATGTGGCATGCGTTTGTTTATTTCAACGAAAGAATATTCTAACGTTCACCAGGCCAGCGGTTCGGAATCCCTCCTCATCCCTTCCCATTCTTTTCCTTCTTTTTTTTTTCTTCTAATTATTGGATTAACATTTCAACGGTTCATATTTTAACTTCTTATAAACTATTTATTAAATTTTTTAAAAAATTTAGTGCATTTTAAATCATTAAAACTAAATTTTAATATAATTGGTAATTTATTATTTATTCTTACAATTTAATATCTTAATAATAGTTTTAAAAAGGATTATATCTCAACCGTTAAAATATTAATCTGAAAGTTAGAAGAAAGAAGAGGAAAAAAGAAGAGGAGTGATTTCAAACCGCACTAGCAACGCGCACTCAAGTTACAGCAAGGATTCCATTTGTCTTTCTTGCATGCCTACGCGCGCAGTCATCTTCCTTTCCACGGCCATACATATAGTCCCTTCGACCAAACTCGATCTTTCAATGAATCGATCGAGAAGGCAAACAGAATCATCAGTTGCATGTTCATCTGAACTGATTTATTTATTGAGCTTTAATCGGCAAATTTATCAAGATGCTATAAACAGTAAAACAACTTATCAAAAGAATTTGTCAACGTGTTTTTCACAATTTCAAATTCGTTCCCACTCTAAACGAGTTTAAGTATACTTCTCTTCATCATATAGGGTTTCAGTAATTTGTTTTACTGCTCATAACATATAGCTTTGATCTGTCAACCATTGCTGATGGAGATGAAAAGGTAGATCACAATAATATGGCTTTGAGTACGTACTGTCTATCAAAATATACACATGTTACCCAACAAGACGAGAAAATCAGTCGACATGAATAGCATTAAAGCCAGATGCTTGGCATTGGGAAATATTAGAAATTCCATAAATAATTGAATCGGAAGGGAAATCAATTGTGTGTGTGTGTGTGTTGAGAAAGGAGCATCAGCACGGAACAGCATAAAGTGAAATTCGAAACCCGCGCAAAAAGGAAGCAATAGCAGAGATGCCTGCTTCCATTGTGGATTGGGTATTCCATTGGAGGACGGTGGTGACTCGCCATTTTTCATGGTGCAGTAATATTACATCCAGAGGGAGTTGTGCTGAGTGGCGGTGGCGATTTACCAACTAAAATTATGTTGAGGTCTCTTGTTTTGGATGTTGATTGGTTGGAAAAAGGTGATTCCACAACTTTGGTCTACTCTGATCTTAGCTGTTTCGTCCAAAATTCGTTTGTTTTCGGCTGAAAAATGAAAATTGCTTGAATCTTAATTATCACGAAATGCTGTTATCAGATCATATATGGACACTCCACTAATGGTTACGCGTCTGAACGCAGTTTCATTGCAAACCCAGATCATAAAATAACCCATGATTTTAATTATTGAAATATCCCCGAGTCCAAATTCTACTTTCTCCAATAAAAAATACATTATATATATATATATTAAAAATTAACATTGAATCACAAAAATTCATGTAAATTCAACCTATGTTATTTCTTACAAACACCACATCTCAGGCCACTCAAAAATAATATAATATGAGGGCCTAAATCTAAAGAGTCAAAGCACTACAAATAATAACATCTTCATCCTCCAATGTTGTAATTATTGGACTTCTCATATGCTAATAACGTCCAGGCGCCATCAATATAATACTCAATTGGTCAAACCAGCCGTGAACCTAATACCCGTTGCTGGCAACCACGAACCGCCGTCAATGAAGTGCTGAACAGTGAAATCGTTGGCGGCGGCGGGATCTTTAATAATGTGAAAACCAGGCCACTTGACCCTCCCCCCCAGGGCGGAACCAGGTCCGTAGTTCTTATACTCGCCGTACCACAAGGTGTTCAAGGCGAAGTTTCCAGCCCACTCGAGCCACCCTCTGGGCTGCACAAGGCCACTCATGTAGGTGTTGATGTACACTGTTCTTGAGAACTGCTTCCATGGCCTGCCCAAATAGGTGGGTTGAGTGGCCAGAACAAAGCTGTCCTGGATTACAAACCCCGTGTTCTGGTGTGGGCTTTTTCTGCCCTGCGCCGTTATGGTGACCTTCTGCAATGGCAGCGGCACTCTCGTGTACAACTTGCAGTTCTGCAGCACGGCGGCTCCGTTCCCGAATATGAAGTCTATGGTGCCGTAGATTTCGCATTCACGGTAGAATTGTCTGAGTGAGTGGGCATACAGTGTGTCTTGGTGACCTTCTATGCTACACCTGTAGAACGCTGATTGGTCTGAATCCACCCGCAGAGCCACAGCTTGATGGTTCACTGGTCCTGCTGTGTTTCGAAACGACATGTCCCTTGCTATGAATCCCTTTCCCGACACAGCTGCAAAAATTCCGACATTACCAGCCAGTAAGAAATCAAATTACGCGATGGCAAGTCAATACAATATATACATATATGTGTGTGTGTGGTGCTTATGATTAATTACGTACCAACTGTTGCGGTTCGAAAAGTAGTCCATCCTTGCATGAAATTGCGGTTGCCTGTGACGATGGTCTTGCCAATACCTTCTCCTACGAGCATGATGTTGGGCTTCGTCCTCTTCAGATCCACGTTCTCTTTATAAATCCCCTTTGTCACGTAAATAACATACCTCCCTTTGCTCTGCCTTGGAGCTGCATCGACGGCTTCCGAGATGGAACGGTAATGGCCGCTCCCGTCCAACGCCACAACAGCGTCCGCATGCACCCCTCGCGGCGGAGATCTGAGCAGCTCCTGATCTCCCTCCGTCATCCATTCCGGAAACTCCGAGCTCTGATAATTTGCTAATCGGGTTTTATTCGCCGGAGACCTAAAGGGTAAGCTGTGCAGTTGAGTGTACAAAGCCAAAACGTTGCTTATAAGCTGGGTGACTTGCGTCAAGCTTCCGCTGATGTAACCCTGAAGGCGCCGGTCGGTGCCCTCGAAGCCCTCGAGACACGTGTCCTGGTTGCTGAGTGCTGCACTTAGCCAAGCCTGGAGGTCTCCGTCATAATCAACGCTTTCATCACCCGCACGAATTCTCCTCATCTCGCCCAGCGACCAGGCCAGCTCCGACACAGAGAAATCAAGGAGCTCCTTGCAGTCTTGGATGGCTACTTGCTCGCGATAACTAATGGAGAAAGTGCTGAACTTGGAGATTTTGTCAATGGCACCCATGGCCTCGTTGAGAGTGGCTCGGAGTGCGGCAGTGACAACTGAAGATGGGGTGGGAGGCCCATGCTTGACGATCTCGTTCTGGATATTGGTGAGGCATGTGTTTTGGTCTTCCACGTCCATGCAGACCTTGGCAATCATGGCGTGGAGGTCTAACTGGTTGCTGGTGTCGGAGGGGACTTCGTCCAAGAAAGCTTCAATTTTCAAGCAAGGTAAAAGGATGAGAATGAAAAGAAAATGAAGGGGCTGGGCCATGTTGGATATGTGGCAGAAAGGCAGTGATCACTTGTTGAAGTGAGGGCCTTTCCATTCGGACTTTTATACACGAGGGGCGAATCGGATTGTTTGCCGGCCGCCAAAGCAAGTGAAGGGCTTTTCTTCTTGGTTTAACATTCCGGATCGCTTTGGCTTTTTCAAAGCCTCAAGTTATTCTAATGCTTTCTTTTGTGGAGAGCGTCGTCGGATTCTGCTCGCACTATATATGCACCGTCCCTTGCTAGTTTCACTTTGTTGGCAAGACGTGCCGTTTCGAAACCCAATCCTTGTCATCATAGTTTAACTCTGTTAACGGTTACTTGTAGTCCTTGACAGATTTTTAGGGCATCGGGCATGTTATTTTGTAAAGAAAATCCAACACTTTATTGGAGGTAATTTGTGCTTGCCGTGCGTATTTCATGCATGAGTTATTGGAATCGAGTATTGAACTTTTCAGAATCACAGGTGGTCTGATCCAATCCAAACACAACGTGTGTAGAAAATAGATTTACAAATTTAATACGAGTATATAAAAAGCTGTTATGTCAGGCAAAAAGTTCCTCGTTATTAAATTTTTTTTTTTCCTCAATCGGTAAGCATTCTAAAAGCCTGTAGTAACACAATTGCAATTACCGGGCCTTACTTGCATGCCGTTTCAGCGTCGCCACGAGCAGGCGGAGACCCCGTTAATTGTCTTTACGTGTGTTTAAGAATATCCGGAGGACATATAAAATAAGTAAATATTATCTCCAATTCTTAATATAAGAACTAATTGACTAATTTGAATAGATTAAGAAATTTTGTTAAGTTAAAATATCCTTTACTAATTATGTATGTTAACTAGAACTATCATTTGATAGAATCTTTAACATAGGTAACTAATAGAAAAACTATTTTAGGAAAATAAATACGAGTGATAATGTGGATTGACGTATTATACTTAAAACTAAATTAAAAATCAAACTAAGTATTATATTAAGAATTGAAAGTAGTATTATATATTTTTTCCTACTTATTATATTGTTTGGGAGTCTGATATGATATCGTTAGAAACTAAGTATGAATCTGACAGAAACTTCCAATGAGATCCTAGTTAAGTAAATTAGATCCGCAATATAAACAATGCGGTCTAATTCACATCATTCTAATCCTAAGAGGCCAAATGAGCATCCACAGGCAGTGGAGCAAATATGAATTCTGCTAAAATATATATAGAGAGAATTCATATTTGCTCCCCTGCCTGTGCATGCGCAATCAACCTTCACCTACCTACTACCTTCTTTCCCTTGTCTGCCATTCCTTCCACAGTCTGTAAATATACTCCACTTTGTTTTATGTGCTTACCATTTACCCTTAATTACAAACTTCATTTCAATTTTTAAGAAACGGATCATTCTCCACTTACATCTTAAAATCTTTTTGTTTTGGCCTCTCGTGTTTCATATATATCTAATATAATTTTTTCGTTAGTAAATTGATCACTAACAAAAAATTATTTCAATTAGACATATCATAAAACATGAGAGAACAAAACAAATCAGGAAAACGTCTGTGAAAAATCAACTCGAAACAACCTGAGAACAAGTCAGGTCCAAAATAGAAGGTTTCAGCCCGCTGAATCTTCTAAGGCCCATTTATGTTATGGGATGAAATTCGACTATTGATGGATATTCATGGGCTAAATTTTCACCAAAAAAAAAAAACCAAAAACAAAGAAAGGAAGAAAGAGAAAACAGCATTGTTCTCTCCTCCAGAGGGGCTGTGCATGCTTGCAGCATTTGAAGGTAAACAGCAAGGGCACAAGCTTTAGGTGAAATGGTATACATAAACTCTTCCCATCGGAAAAGAATTTATTATCCTCCACCTATTGCGCGTTTTGCGCCCATGTTATGAGCCTTCAATATTAAAAATCTCCAGAAAACCAGAGCAACGTACCTGGTGAACATAACCCCTTCGTGATTGTGTGACCAGAGCATACCCTATCTGCACCTGTGAATTGGAGTGCCCTGTTATTCTCGTGGGAGTGGTTCTTATTTATATATACAGTCTCGGATGAGATACGGACCGGTGATATTGCTATTATGACGACATTTGTTCTTTTGATCGTGCACAGCATGTCAACATGAGCCCTCTACATGACCACATCTTTGTTCCCAGCGAATCCCTCCTCACAATTTGTATTTCTTAGTTGTATGCTTTTACGTTACACAGTACAGTGGGGCTAAAATCATATGATGCTCTGCCACAGACATGGATCACAAATCCATAATCACATCACGCGTACATCTTGTTTTTATGCCAGTGCTTTCAAGGAAGGACGAGCAAAGAACACGAATCATAATAACCGAGTTTTAGCAAGGAAATGTGAAGCTCAATATTGTTTGGGTCTGACTTCGATGCCTTCAAGGATAAGCCCTCCTTTTAATTGATAGCCCAATTCCGTCACCCTTATCTTCACCTCCTCATCACTTTTCCGACAGAAAAATTCCCCCACCTTTATCTCCATCCACCCGTCTCCTCTTTTGCGTGGAATCCCAACCCTTTCTTCTTCAATTTCTCTCCTTTCTCCGTAAAACAACTCCTTAATCATCTTCGTCTGCTCAGGTTCATGCCACAGATATGCCCTTCCGCTCTTCACTTGGCTTCCCACTTGGACTCTCACTCTGGATACTGCGGATTCAAGCCCATATGCACGCTCCGATACCTTCATTATCATATATGCTCCATACCACGTGCTCGGTGATAAGCTTCCTGTTCTGATTTTTCCTTCTATTTCCAGCCAGCCCACTGTTCTTAGCACTGCCACCACTGGAAATCTGCAAAATTTAATCTTTCATTAGACGCCACGTATCCATTCTAATTAATATCCATGGTCACCTTACCTTGATTCGCGCAATGGTATCCAGCTCCATAACAGAGGGTCGTCGCTCCAGCTTATGCATAACTCCCTTGCGGAGAGAATGTAAGTTATCTTGCCAGACTTCTTGTCTAAGTTGAAGCTCTGCATTCGGAAAATGACCACACTACATTGAAAAGAGGCGGTGAAAACACGGAAAAGAAAGGAAATAAAGCGTCGAACCTTATTACCCCCATCGATGAGGAGTGGGCGAGACAGGGCGAAGAAGAGGTCCTTCTTGGAGGAGAAACGGAGGGGAACGAGGGCTCTGGACACAATGTCGTCGTAATCAGAGGGCAAGAAGCTCTCCCACACCATGTCGGAGACAGAAGCAGATAGGAAGGTGGAAGAGACGACGGAGCATCTGGAAGCTTCTGCGGGAGATGTGTATGACAGGATAGCATGAACACAGTCTTCCGGCAATGCGTCCATGGCAGAACAAGCTGAAATCTTCCTGCGTAGAAATCTACGTTTTAAAAAGCAGATATTTAAAAGTCAGCTCCAATATGACAGCCATAAGCTCATTAGGCACCTAAGCCTAATTAGTGCCTGCTCTCTGCATTGGGCACACTCGAAATCGTTAGGCAATATTAATGGAGATGGACACAGCGAGTATAATGCTACTTCCATCCTTGGTTTAACAACCACATGACTGATACAGATACCTAAAATTAGTTATTTATAACGAATGTGTGTGTTTTTTTTAAATACTTTTATTAATTATATATATTTTTAACATGTGTAATCATCATGCAGATTATTTGAGATAAAATGAATAAATACTACATCTGATTCTTAATATAAGAACCCATTTGATTTTTATTTTGATTTTAAATATAAAACTACAATTCATTTTATCTTTCATATTTATCTATTTTTTTAAAGTAGTACTTGTAATAATAATAGTTTTAGTTAGTACACTTGAATAATAGGAATATCTTAGGAAAGATGGAATCTATTTATTACAAATAACTAATTTAACAAGTTTTTTTAATCTACTTAAATTAATCAACTAGCTTTTATGTTATGGACTAGTGGTAGTACGAGGCAAAAAAAATTAGGTTCTTATATCTAAAATGAAATTAAACTTTTAAATAGCTTTTATATTAAAAAATTGAGTTACTACGTGCGGTGGAAAATAAGATGCAGAGAAAGGCTGCGTTTGCGTACAGAAAACGGATACGGAACTCGTTCCCTTATTGATCGGCAGGAAAAATGCTTTGTTTATTGATTCACGCTATGTTTATTAAAAGAAAAATGCGGAAAAACGATTTTCGCATGAGTAGGCGTTGCTGTTGCAAGCTGGTATATGAAGACTGGAATTTATCAATTCAATATGCTGATAGAGAGGCCATAGAATGCGCAGACTACTTGGCCAAGAAGGCGCATGATGTTGAGGGACAAATTGTCCTCCTACCAGATATCCCTCCATATTGTCGAAGCAGAATTCTGCTGGATCAACGCCATGTTGTAGAGGGATCGAATGATCATATGTAAACCTTGAATCCACCTTTTCAAGCTAATGCTTGCCTCTTGTATATAAAAAAAAAACTTAACAACCACTGCGTTGACGGCCGCGGAGGCTGATCACCGTACCGTGCTTCCTATATTTCAAATATAAGACTTTTTTTTAAAAAAAAAAATTACATATTACTTCAAATTCTTAATATAAAACATAACTGATTAATTTGAGTAAATTGAGAAAATTTATTAAATTAGTTATTTGTAATAATTAAGGGTTATTTTTCTTAGAATACACTTACTAATTATATATATTAGTTATAACTATTACTTAATGAATTTTTAACATGTGCAACTACTACAAATACTATTTTAGAAAAAAATAAATAAATATAAGAGATAAAGTGGATAAAATTCTGATGTTTAAAACTAAATTGAAAATCAAACTAACTCTATATTAAAGACAGGATGTAGTATATTTCACCGTGCATGGAATATCAATTTTAATTATCTGTTGATATCTATAATATGGGGTGAGTATTTTGGTGTATTTTTATTAAAATTACAAGCAAACATATACTTCGCCGGCCCTTAATATAAGACTTGTTTAACTACTTTGATTAAATTAAGAAAGTTAGTCAAGTTAGGTAATGATCATAAATATAGCATATGTTTTCCAAAATACCTTCAGTCAAAAAATTATTTTAAAAATCTAAAATGATAGAATTGACGTATGTGTGGAATTAATGAGTAATGAGTATTCACTCACTTTATAAAATATATAAGTGTATTATTAATGAGTAATAAGTATTATTGTATTAATTATTTAATAGGGATAATTCAAAAAATAATTGATAAATATGTCTTGTATTTAGAATCAAGATCAACCTTATAATTATGTCCTATATTAAAAATTAGACAAGTATTAATTATCCTTGTAATTTCATAAAATGCCCAGTATATTGAACTATAATATTTTTTAAAAAAATAATACACTTAAAACATTGATATAAAAAAAGAGTAAAATACATTAACATCCCTTCTATTTAACCTATATTATAAAGACTTCCTTTTTATTTTGGAAACATATATGAACCTCCCTTAGAATTAAAATATATATTGCACAAACCTCCTTTCTTGTTTTGAGATTAAACTCCTATCCACCAATCCGTTAATTGGCCGTTAGATCATAATATTGACCCATTATTTTGACCAAATTGCCCTTCTTAATACAAATACCACTAATAATTATCATTTAACGACATATCATACATTTTTATTTGAAATTAAAAAATACTTTTAATAAATATTTTTAATATTTTTGTTATACTATTAAATTAATTACCATATTATAAATTTTATAAATAAAAATGTTTAGTTTACAATAAATCTTGTTCATTTATTTAAACTTACTTGTGATGTAATTTTTTAAATATATCTTAGTAAAAGATGTTTTGTAACTGTATATATATTTTTTCAATAAAATTATAAAGTTATGTCTTAATTTATTAAATTTAGTAAAAATATTAAATATATTATTAATAAATATTAATATTAAAAGATAAACTACATATTTAATATAATGAGGGTAAAATACGAAACAAGGTTTATTCTACATATTTTCACCTTAATTAACTTCTTTGCTCGATCCAAATCAAAAGGCCAGTGCATGCTTATTTTTAAGATGAGTGTTCATCCAAATTCACAGATCACAATGGAGAAAAGGAATTGTAAGGAGGAGAAATCAGGTGAAAAAAGGAAACGAACCAAATTAAGACGCGTGGCAGTGCACTGGAGAAACGCATGGATATTATTAAGCTGATATTCGATGAGTCTAATTAATTCATGCAATGATAGTTAGATCATGGCCAAGGCGAGCCATTGTACACATTAATTAATTATTAAAAAGCTGCTAACAATAACCAACAAGCTTTTAGTTAAAATGATAGGTGATTTTATTTCTCTAAAAAAAAGAACACAAATTTAAATATTAAAAAATTAAGAGAATTTTAACCTTAATATTATCAATTTGATAAAAATTAGTCTTTCAAATTTAAAATAACTCCAAAACACTCTTGAGTATTGATACTCTGAGTCATACCTTTTTTTGACCAGAGATACTCTGAGTCATACCTTAAAAAACAGCTAATAATATAGAATAATAGGAAGGTGACGTCAACTGTTGGAGGCAGGCATGAAGCCGTGAATTCTGAGATATTTTCAGAGCAGGGCAGCAGGCAGTATGATGCTTTTTCCGTTTTCGACCTCTTTTGAGTCGAGGCTGCTATTTAATTCATGGCCGGCGTTCAAAAGCCTTGGCCTCTTCATACTGGAGAGCATATCAAAGGAAGTCGTAATTGTACGCTCCAGAGACACACAGATGTAAGTCCTTTATATGCGTAAAACACGAATACAGTTAGTGGTAGGCCGGATAGATCATAGAGACAGAGGCGTGGGAAATACAATATATGAACAGTGGCGGTGACTCAAAAGCGGGGCACACGCATTGCAGATTGAGGCTTCCCATTCCCACCCTATCTACGTGGAGTGCTTCCATTAGATCCCGGGCCCGGTGCTCCTAGCCCGCACCCACCCCTCCATCATTAGTCATACTGTTACACGTGCTACACGCCTTTTTAGAAAGAGTCTGTTCAAATTTTTTGTTGGGACGAGTGATTTTTCATTTTTCAATTTCTTGACGGCCCGCTCTCGTAACTACTCATATACTGTATATACTGCCTACAGCGTAACACAACCACTATAATTGAATATGCTATTAAGTTGGAATTAACGGCATTCCGTTCAGGAGGGAGGGGGGGGGGGGGAACGCCATTCCATTACATTACTTCCCCCCATTCCATTACATATGTGCATATATATATATAAAAGGACATCCTTTTAACTGTAGCTAAATTTTTATATTTTCATTTTTTGTCTCTTTGTTTTTTTCCCATTGTTTTCTATATTGTCATATTTAATAAAATTTCAAAACGCATATATCTAAAAAAACAAGATTGTGCGTGTGTGTGAGAGAGAGAGAGAGAGAGAGAGAGAGAGATCATTCCCTAGAGCGAATGAACCCAGCCCAAATTCCTCGAGTATGGGAGATGAAGGCTTGGTTGCACCGCATCTTACGACCGGTGGCACCGACTTGAAGTTGGGGGGCAGGAGCGCGGGTTAGGGGTTGGGGGTCCACCCCAAAATATGGGTCATGGGACGATTCAGGGTCTGTGTCGCAAATACTATCTACTTCATTTGTGAGGACTGCCTGCACCACTCGTTTGAGATTGGACATCGGCATGTAGGTGAGTGTGGGACCTTTCTCTCCTCTTCACATTGTCTTCCTTTCTTCACTGCCTACTCATCTTCTCTCCTTCAGCCCTTGGTGCCGACCACTGCAACATTCTGGATCTATATATATTTTAAAAACGGAATCTCTTCGTCTCTGCATGGGAGCTCTATATTTTTATGGGCCAAGTGAAAGTTTGAGATATTTTTGTATTAGTTTATAATATATAAAGTTGCATGGTGAAGGTGAGGGATATATGGAAACTGGTGATAGCTAGCTAGCATGCAGATGGAGGGGGAAGGTATTGTTTGTATTATGAAAGGAAACATGCGCGTCGGCGTCGGCGTCGGCGGATAAAAAAGGCAGCCCCAAGAAGACACCAGAACCTAACAAACCTCAAATCTTGGACTGCCCACCTTCTCCATCTACTCTTTAGTTCGCTTTCTCCTCCTCTTTCCAGAATCTCCTCTCCCCCCCCCCCTCTCTAGCTTCTTTTTTCCAGCCTCTTCTGGATATTAATTTTCTTCGTTTTCCCCCATTCTCTTCGTTTTTTCTCCTCTAAAATTCTTCTATTTCGGCCCGGCTTCCTCTCGTCGTCATATAATCTCCAAATCCATGACCAATCTGTAAGTTCCAAAATTTTGCTGATTTATGGACTCTGATTCCGAAATCTAAATATCATCGACAATGATATCCGGGGCGTAGGTGTCTGTCCATTTTCGTTTAATATTCCATTTGTTGTGTATGAACGGTGCATTTCACTTTCTCTATATGGGAAGTTCTTAATGCTTGCCGGAATTCTGTGCAAGGATTAATACCCTCAAAACCAACTCAACATTTAACTTTTAAATCTCTGATTCTGATCATGGAGTCAGATATTGTCGTCTATCCTCGATCCTCGTTCTCTGGAAAGTGTTTTAAGAGGATCAGATGGAAACAACTTAAACTCTTAAAAAAAGTGAAAACACCATTGTTTCGTCATACGGACGGTTCAGGAGTTTCTTTATTAATGCTTCTCATTCTTTTCATATCTTGTGATCGTGGCGTGATGGTCCTAAAATTTCAATGCTCAGGTTCCGTGGCTTGAAATACGTACTCATATAAACGGAAGAAGCACGAGAAGCGTCCCGTTTTGGAACTCGAATGGGAAATTTAACGGGGCTTCTATCCTCGATGTTCAATGGACTGGCAAAATCAATCGCAATAAAGAAAGGAAGAAGTTCTGGGAGCTGTGGGGACAGCAGAGAAGCAGCGGAAGCCATGGCAAAGGAAGCTAAAAGAAGGGACTTGATGCTGTGTTCGTCTGGTACTGTCAACGCGGGTGGTTCAAACAACTTCGCCTCTGTTTTCTCCAGAAGAGGCCAGAAAGGAATCAACCAGGATTGCTGCTTAGTGTGGGAGGTACGCACATAAAACATGGTGAGAATTCCCTTGTATTAAATCTTCCATAAACAATTACAACTCTGACATTAAGGAGTGATGGTGATGGTAGGAATTTGGATGCCAAGAGGACTTGATGTTTTGTGGGATATTTGATGGGCATGGACCATGGGGTCACTTTGTGGCCAAGAGAGTGAGAGAGGCAATGCCCCCTTCTTTGCTTTGTAACTGGCAAGAGACGCTCACCCAAACTTCTTCGCCTGATCCTCATGTTGACATCGACATAGAGGCTGAGAAAGAGCAACACATATTTGATATGTGGAAGCATTCCTATTTGAAGACTTGTGCGGCCATTGATCGCGAACTCGAGCAGCATCGCAAGATCAATTCCTTCTACAGCGGAACCACTGCCCTCTCCATTGTCAGACAGGTACTTAATGATACCCCTCTTTGTTAATGCTATTGACTGAGATTAATTTTAAACTTTGGAATTGTCATGTAATAATAAGCTTCCACTGGTTTGTAAATCGTGCTTCACACTCCGATAATTCCTTTGCTAGAGAACGTTTGAATTAATAAAATTTTTTGAGTGCTGGCGGAATCTCATTGCAAACCAGTAGCAATTTACTACATGACAGATTAATTAATTTGAAGGCAGAGAGCAATGGTGGCTGAAGCAACACAAAAAGATCCAATACTTTTGAGGGATAGTTCTGGTTTGAAGGTTGATGAAGGAGATCTTTGCAGATAATACTTAGTTGATGGAGGATATTCGATTTTTCTATTAATTAATTCATAGTGATTTCTGAATCTTTATATATCCTAAGTCTTAGCTGACATATGGGCAGGGTGAAGTCATAGTGATAGCAAATGTTGGGGACTCTCGTGCTGTGCTAGGAACAACATCAGAAGATGGAAGCTTGGTACCAGTTCAGCTCACAGTTGATTTCAAGCCCAATTTACCTCGTCAGTATCTCGCTCTTCCTCTCTTCCCTCTTCAACGTTGTTTCAATATTCTAAACGCCTCTCGAAAATACTGTGGGCAGAGGAAGCAGAGAGAATAACACAGTGTCAGGGCCGAGTGTTCTGCTTGGAGGACGAGCCAGGGGTTCACAGGGTGTGGCTGCCCCACGAAGAAACGCCAGGACTGGCCATGTCTAGAGCATTTGGCGACCACTGTGTGAAGGAGTATGGCCTAATTTCTGTGCCCGAGGTCACACACAGGAATCTAACCGCTAGTGATCAATTCGTGGTGCTGGCAACCGATGGGGTATATATTTATTTAGTCCATCAATCAATGTGTTTTGTGAATTCCAATAAGGACCCAAGACATGAACAATGAAAATGTTGGGTTTTATGGAATAATAGGTGTGGGATGTAATATCCAATGAAGAAGCAGTAGATATCGTGAATTCAACAGCAGACAGAGCCAAGTCAGCTAAGCGTTTGGTAGAGCGTGCAGTGTTTGCATGGAAACGCAAGAGGCGAGGCATTGCCATCGATGACATCTCAGCTATCTGTCTCTTTTTTCACTCCTCCCCTTCATCCCCCTAAATAGATTCAATTCTAATGCTAGTTGCAGTTGTTCCATGTGATTTTGGGAAGGGGGGGGTGTTATAACTAACTAACCAGGACAAATTAATGAGCAAGTTTTTAACCTTTTTCTAGCCTCTAGATTGCTCAGCTTCCATGAATTGATTCCTGAAGTTCAGGTCAGGAAAAATGACGGTCAACGATGGCAGTTAACAGAATTTGTGGAGAAGGCAAATCAAGAGTGGCATAACAACAATGATGAAGATGATATAGTTTTGCCGTGAGGGCGAGGGAGGTTTTAAATCTTTGATGGCACAATGAGTAGCGGCAGGATCCTAGAATTAGAATTAGAGTGAAGACTCCCGACAATAACCGAGTCAAATATGGCCATGTGGATGTGTTAATGGCCATTTGAAAATTTGACATGGATTTTGACTAAAGCGGCATTTGATTAGATCGCAAGTCTTAATGGAAGGGGGCTTGGTTCTCCGTTATTTGGACACGACACGAGGCGAGCAGGTGAGGAAAGCGGGCTAGATTTTTCTTTTCCGAAACGGCGAGCGGATCATGCGTTGCCATGGCAATTGCATGACGTGACGTGATAATAATAGAATGAGGGGGCAAAGGCTGTCGGCTGTCGGCTCGGACCTATTCTCTTTTAAGGGGTCAAATTTTAATTTTATAAATTATCTATAAAGGAATTTAAAAATACTCAGTAGATTTCCAAGCCATTAAAATTAAAAAAGTATTTGGATGAAAATCAAACCATGATTTTAAAAGTGTTTTTATGGTTTACGAAACATATATATGAAGGAGTTGGTTTCGTTTGACGGAAAAGTGTTTTTAGGAAGTGCTTTTGGTAAGAACCAAACACCCCCTAAATAGGTTTGTTTATCTTAATAGGTTTGTTTTATTGATTTCTTTTTTTAACGACAAGAACAGTAAACACGCTTGAAAAACTTTAAATAGATATTTAAAAAATCAACAAATTAATTTAAATCTATTAGAAAATGGGCTTAACTAACAGGTTAGAGGTTCGTAAAGAGTAGTTGAATAATTAACGGATGTTATGCTTAATTAACAAGCTGAGAAAATTGTATTGCTTTTCAGGGATTTCAGAAATTTTTTGCCAGGGATTTGAGAAATTTTTGCCCAGGGCTTTGGGAATATTTTCATGTCATACTTAAGAATGCTAAAAGCTTCTCGCAAAATACTCCCTGTATGTGCTTTTGCGCCTTAATCTTGATTATTTCATATCTTGACGTGCCAATAAAACGCTAGAGATCCTGAATCTGGTTTGCTCCGCTGAGGTCAATTGCATCGGACTCGACCGTTTATGTGATGTTTTAACTGTTAGTAATTCAAATGGCATTAACTGCAATGCTTCAAAAAAGAGGCCAGAAGGCGCAAAGAAACTCGATCAAAATAATGATGCTCGGGATAACTTTGAGAGTTTGAGTACAGCTTTCAAAAACCATTTTTGTTGTTTTTTTAAATAAGAATAATAAAGGTTGTTTTATTACCCTCTCCCCCTCGCTCCTTTCAGGCAGTAAAACAAGAATTATTTTGGGCCTGTTTGGATTTTTTTTAACACTTTTTATTTTTAAAAATAAAAAAAAGAAAAAACTTATTTAATAATTTGTTTTTAGTTAGTTGTTTTAAAAAATTTTAAAAACTTCTCCTCTATTCACCGATCACTGGCTACCATCTGCCAAATATTATTTTTTTAAAAAATAACTAGCTAAACATTTTTTTTTATTCTCAAAATTTGTTTTGAAAAATAATTTTATAAACTTGTTCTAAAACAGGAAAACAACAAACAGAAACAAGCAAGCCTTTTATTTATTTATTTTTTTTACCTAAGGCATTTCCATCGTTATCATCATGTTTTACTCACCACAATGTACCGCTCAACAATTTGAGTGGGCCAGTTAATTATTAATTAATAACAAGACTATTTCCCCTTGAATCTGCATAGCTAGTTTTTGCTCAGCCTTTCCTGTCTTGGTACAAATGCTCAGCTTTTTAGTTACGTGTAATAAGTATAAAAATGGGAAACACTTGGCCCAAAATAAAAACTAAAATATGCATTGCCATGAAACCCAAGAACTTTTTTGTTCCAGGGCACAAGCACAAAAGGTTAAAATAATGTGTTATGAGTCTCGTATAAGAAAATCCTATAAATATTGTAGGGTTTATAAGTTTAAGAGACTCTCCCTTTTAATAGGCTAGTTTTTTGGGACGGACTCTCTCTCTGGGTTCATGTTCATCACATTAGTGCTTTTATTGAGAATCGACCAATTGAAAAGAGCTACTTGCGGAGGGTTTCTACCGGTAAGAAAACCGAGTGAAGTGCCGTAGAGTGGAGCCGTTGGGAACGTCAGCTCTCGAGAGGGGTGCTCTATTATGAGTCTCACATTGATGAATCCCACAAGTATTGTGGGGTTTATAAGCCCCTCCTAATAGGTTAGTCTTTTGGAACTGGATTCTTCTCTCAGGCTTATACTCACCACATAATGTCAGCCACGCACCCAAATGATTTGTTTTCCAAATTAACATGTGAATAGTGTGAAGTCTTCGAAATAAGTTTCATTCTTCATAAATTATAAATGACATAACTCAAAATTTTTATCTATCGATATATAGATATACTGTAATATAAATTATTTTTAATTAAAATTACTATTTTTATTTGAATTAAAAAAATAAAAATTATTTTTCTGATTTTAAATATAAGACTCATTTTATAATAAATATAATTTGAATCTTATATTTAAGATACAAGAAGTATATTAGTATTTGATGCATGATTCGGGAAAAAATGGTACCCCGCCTCGCTTATCTCTTTTTTCACGTGGTCATTTCGGCCGAAAAAATGAAATTTTCTGTTCGAAGATACTTTTTCTTGGGCCCCTTAAGGGTCATAAGCCCAATTTCATGCCCAAGATAAACCGTGGGTCGCTGCTAGGTTTTACCGGACCTCCTTACGGCGGGGAAGACTAAAACCCTCCTCCTCCTTCTTCCCGGCATTTCGCCATTGCTTCTGCGCCTGTATTCCTAGCTTCTGCTGACAATGAATTCAGTGGTATTGAGACTTGCAAAGCATCTGAGAGGCTCTGCTTCGACGGCCTCTTCTTATGGTCTTCCTTCTTTACTCACTGCTCTCCTTTCCTTCGCATTCTTTTTTGTTTTTATCTATACTTGCCTTGTTTTCTTTTTTCTTTTTAATATTCCCATCTGAACATTTGCGTTTTGGACGATGCATATCGTTAATTTGCTCAAGCACTTCCATAAGACTATAATACTTTATTTCCTGAGTTTAGGATGATACTGTGCTTGGTTGGAGGCGCACTCAACATTGCTAACGATATGAACCTAACTACGTGGTTTGGTCAGACCAATTCCTGGTGTCAAATAGGACTCAGCTACTATTGCGCGCCGTGAGTTTGCGTGCCCTCCTCCCCGGCGACTCCCGTTTTCTCTTTTTTCCGTTATAGATTTCGCTGACATTGATCTAAAATTCCATTCTTTCTTTAATGTCTACTGGTACTGTTTGGGTGGGGAACTTTTGACGATCATTGGCTGGGCAATACAAGATTGCTGTATCTCTCTCTCCCTCTCTCTCTCACACACACAGACACGGACAAAAAGTCTTCTGCATGAGATATTGATGGAACATCGATAACTAATTAGTTTTAAAGTCCATGATCAATTGATCATACGGACGTGAACGCCATAACATACACCATTATTCCAACATAATGTAGCTCCTATGAAACTAACGTCACTTGCTGTATACACTGAAAGGACGTCCACCACAGAGGACAGGTAACTCTAGCATTAGAGAGGCTAGAGTGCCCATCGACTCATCGAGGCCCATACTCCAAATTGGTACACTCGGCCCCTGTCTTCTCCCGCAGTGCTTGAGATTCTCAAAAACTTCCCTGGCCTTCACTCAACCACTACTCTCCCACTACCTCCGCTTGTGTCAATGATAACTGTTTCCTGTTTATAGTCGTCATAATGCCTCTCTTGGAATAAGATTTTTGGGCAGAATTATCATTTGGCCGATTCTAATGGTTATTTAATTCTTGGATTCAGCTGTGGCTATGCAGAGAAGTGGTAGGTTATGGTACTCAACATCTGAAAGTGATAGTGATGAACGTTTAGATGATAATGATAATCCAAAGAACAATGCTTTTGATGAAGAAGTTGATGATTTTCTTGGCAATCAGCGTGATTTGCAGCTACAGGGAGTAGATCCAAAGAGGGGTTGGAACTTCCGAGGTGTGCACAAGGTATTGAGTACTCTAAATTAGCAATCCACTGTTACAATTAGACGCCTCTAAGGATGGGTTTGGATTAGATAACCACAGAGAAGCAAGTTCATTTATTTTATTGGTGCTTGCAAGAGCCATTGTAGGTTTTTGTCATCGTGCTGGTCTAATGAAGTATATATGATTTGAATATAAAACTGGTTTCCTAATCATCATAAAGTGTTTTATGAAGCTTGAATGTTTGAGTAGACAGCCCTGAAACGATTTTGGAAAACAATCACGCTGTAGTCCGCTAAACAGAAATTCTCAGTGATCTGAGCAATAGAAATTGAGTGTCATTCTTCTGAGCATAAAATAATGATCCATTATGTTATTGCATATTTCACTTGAAGAATTATTTAACCTACATGCTGTGATATGATGCAGGCGATTATTTGTGGAAAAGTTGGCCAGTCTCCTGTTCAAAAAATACTGAGGAATGGGAAGAATGTCACAATCTTTACAGTTGGGACAGGGGGGATGTTTGACCAGAGAACTGTGGGAGCAAAGGATTTGCCAAGACCTGCTCAGTGGCATCGGATTGCTGTGCATAATGATCCTCTGGGGGCTTATGCAGTACAACAACTTGTTAAAAAGTAAGTGCAGAGATTCAGAGGGTCAAATTTTGAGATTATCTTGGATAGAATATAAACTATGGTGTGGTTTTCCCCCCCTCATGCTTGAAGCTTTAATGCAGCTCCTCAGTTTATGTTGAGGGCGACATTGAGACAAGAATTTACAATGACAGCATCAACGGTGAAATTAAAAGCATTCCAGAGATATGTGTTCGGCATGATGGTACAGCAATCTGTGTTCGATATTTCCCTTGTATATTCAAAATTTTTTTTATGAAGATGTTATGTTGGCCCCCACTATTTGATTTGTGCCCTTGCTGCTTATCATTTATCTTCATTCTCAACCAGATATTAGGATTACTAATCCCATTGATACATACCACCCCCCCTCCTTTTTTCTTTTCTCGGGTTAGAATGCATGATTTTTTTTTAATGACAGTGCTGATTCAAGGTTTGCACGGAACTAGTATAGCTGAAACTTGTCAATGGAATGACACAACTTACTAGTTTGAAGCTACCCTAACAAAATATATAAAGTACTTTTGTTTAAGGAAAAGGCGAAATTGGAAATTATTGCGATATCACTTGTTAACTGTGGCTGTATCACTGGTTTGCGTCTGCAATAGCAAAGCATATAAAAAATACCCCTGTTTAAGTCCTCAAGCCTTGGGAAATAAACCAAAAGAAATATCGATTTTATCAACTCTGTTTTAGTAGCCTAAGCAAGGGGCATCAGATGTAGAAGCGGAAAATCTCAGCCATGTTGTCCAGGATCGGGATGAAAGCTTTATGGGGCTCTGATAGATGGGAACTGGGGGAATAGGGGATCACGTCTGAAATTCAAAACTTTTGTTGAAATAAAAATTTACTCTTGTATCAATAGTTACAAGTTATCCCGTGGCAGCAATCAATGTCTTCATATATAGATGTAATGCATCATCTGTCAATCATGTAATTAGTGGCTGCTAAAATATGCTTTGGCCTTTTATGTACAGTAACTCCCTGAAGTAGGGTAATACCCGGGTTTATAGGGGATCACGTCTGAAATTCAAAACTTTTGTTGAAATAAAAATTTACTCTTGTATCAATAGTTACAAATTATCCCGTGGCAGCAATCAATGTCTTCATATATAGATGTAATGCATCATCTGTCAATCATGTAATTAGTGGCTGCTAAAATATGCTTTGGCCTTTTATGTACAGTAACTCCCTGAAGTAGGGTAATACCCGGGTTTATAGGATCCTGGACTCCCTGAAGTAGGCAAAATCATTGAATTTTAATGTAGCTAGCATCAATGTTCTAATCTTTGTTTGACTCATAACAAACTGAAAATTTGTCTTCAGCTGCTCTTATCGTTTGTTTCTTCAGGGAAAGTTCGGCTAATAAGGAGCGGGGAAAGCTTGAGCAAAATTTCATTGGATGATCTAGCCAGTTCCCTTTAACCATAGCTGTAAGTGGTGGTATGGTTTAATTAATTGTTTTCAGCATCCTCTTTACCCTGCGGGAATTCCTTTGGGATGCTTTTTAGATACCGTTCACCAGTGTGCTTGTGACAAAAGGGTCGTGTTAGAAGAAATGCGGAAGAATGACTAGCAGAAGCGGCAGTCGCCCCGACTATCTATCTAATTGTTATTCCTCGTATATCCTCTGGCCCCTTGTAGGTTCGATTTGTATCGTTCCCCATTATCAGGCGGGTCAGAGTTGTAAAAGTACATAACCGATTGCCGGTGGTGAAATTTGGATATGATGCTAATGGATATGCGTAGAGGGAGTTACATCAATTCTTGATCGTATTACCTTTCATTATCCGATGCATTTTTGCAGAAGTCAAATTAGTCTACTGAAAGTACCCATTTAACGGAGCAATGTATTCTGGTTGATTGTTATTACCGTATAATATTAAATATGAAATTTATTTCAAATTGTGTTGTCTTATTCAAAATTTGTAGGGCAACTTAAAAATTTACCCATAAAATATAAAATTTATAGTATATCATTTATCAGATATGAATAATTGCCCTGCATAGGAAGTCCGCCGAATTTTGAGATCTATCAAGGAATACTTGATGAAATTCAGAATGTGGAGAAAGCGAGCAATCATTGTATCTTGAATAGCTGCGTATCAATTGGATGCGTGTTCCTCCGATTTTAAATATAAAATTTATTTTATAGTAGAAATAAATTTGTTATTTAGGACTAGAAGTAATATTACTGTAAAAAATAAGATGATATTTAGTATGCAGTAAAGTGTTTTTCAAAAAAGAAATGTGAAATGCTCTTGGAATAAAAATGAGATAGGTGCAAATATTCTTCTGCGCGCCAACTGTAAAATACAATAACAACAAAATATGGTGATTTGCCCTCATCCTTTTTATATCAAAGTGCTCAGGGTATTTGCCTCAGATAATCGTGACTAATGCCCTGGGCATCATAGACTTTTTGAAGAGATTTTAGTATTGGACATTGGTCACAAAATTCTTTCTATACGCACCGTCAGGGATTAAACCCTTAATTAGATGTTTAAGAAATATAGTTAAGTGTCCATTGTGGTTGGAGTACCTTGTCATTTTTATTTGAGGCATGATGCTATGGACTCTAATTAATCAGGCGAAGAATAAACATGGTGCTGAATTTTACCAGAACAACAAATAGGGTTTACACGATTCAATTGAATTACGTATTAAAATTTAATTAAGAAATCATTTTCTAATATAAAAATCTTATTTAGATTTTGTGAAAATTGTGTGAATGTTTTAGCATATACTGGCTGATTAATGGTCGACCGGTCGACCATGATTTTTTTTCAATTGAAAATCATCATTCAAATAATATTTCATCTTTTCATCTTTCCTATTAATATGTACTAAATTTTGTGAATATTAGAAATTGAATAATTTATTTTGAATTTTTTTAAGACAAGTTTTTATTAATAGTATATGTGCTCGAGACATATAAACTACGTGCAGTTGTGTGATATGATTGACAAAAATGTAATGATGGTTGTTGAACTTGATTACGCATTAACAAAGCTTTTGAGTGACTTGGGATGGGCACTACTATAAGTGAATGGCAGTGTCGTATTTAATAGCTTCGGAAAGCCCCGTCACCCACTTTAGAAACCCTAGCTGTTTGTCCATTAATTAGATAATCATTCCATCGAGATATTCAAGAGTTTAACGACCACTTGAGGAAAGCAGAGCAACTATATGAGGCGGAAAGTGGCATTCCATATAGTGCGGCTGGTAGCTATATAAATATATATATATATATATTATCTTTTTAAAATAATAAAAGTGCTTATATATCTATAGTAGTTAAAGCATTTCTTAAATTTCAAATCAAAAGGTAGTTTTAGCAACACTCTTTTAAGCCTTGTTAACACCAGTCGATCGAGGATTCAGTGAAATATTCTTTTGTTAGGGACGATCTGGCCTAGCTGGCAAAGTACTATTTTCTTAATTAAGCGAACTCATCAGCAATCATGGGTTATTTGATAGCATATTCCTTCAATTGAATTGATACAACATATAAAAGACTTGACTGTTTAAGATTTTCATATCTTTAGATCTATCGTTTTAAATTTTCTGATATGGCGGTGTAAATAAAGCACAAGTTTACCAGTCATAGTTGTTGCTGTCTAAGAAGCAAGCTGGAGACTTACCCACAGGATATACAAAAATCTTGCCCCACCTAGATCTCATTTTTAAATAAAAGCTAACTTAAAGCGAGTAACCTTTTGGTGTATAAAAAGGGTGGACTCGTGCACTTCTCAGTAGCAAAGTGATAACCCCACTCTTTCCATCCCTTGACCATGAAGACCATGGTTCTCATTTTACTTGTTCTACTTAGTCTGCTAAACAATACCTCAGCTCTCTTTAGGGCTTGTCCTGACTGTGGCGGCCTTCAAGTTCCATACCCACTAAGCACTAATGAGGATTGTGGAGATTCTAGGTACAGAATCTACTGCAACAGTGGGAGTCTAGAGTTCTTATCAGCCACTGGGGTTTACTATAAGATTCTGAGAATTTACCCAAGTGCTTATAAGCTGGTGATTAAGCCACCGGTGATAGAGAAAGACACATGTTACACATCTGATCTCCCAGAAGGGGGTTTGTTACTTGATGAGAACTTGCCATTTAATATTTCTACCCACAATGTTGTGATGTTGTTTAACTGCTCTGATAATATACTGCGCTCTCCTTTGAATTGTTCATCGAACAGCATATGTAGGGAGTTCGAGCAGAAGGTGGAGGAGGGAAGAGAATGCATGAACACACTTTGCTGTCATTACTTGAAAGACTCAGCCATGAATTCTCATAGGATTAGAGTCAGGCTTGGAGGCTGCACGGCTTACACTTCCTTGGTGGATTCTCAGCCTCGCGACTCTATTGCTTCTTGGAATTATGGCGTTGAGCTTCAGTGGGTGCCTCCTAATTAACTTGTCCTGTGAAAACTACTTGTGTTTCTTCCTTTTTCTTCGTCTTCCTTGGCTTTGTTTTTTGTATTTTACTTGTTCGTGCTTGAATAAATATTGTCTTTCCATTACTTCTTATTATATTAGCAGCATGACGGTTCATTTTAAGAGGATTTTAAATACTAAAAATGCACAAAAATATACGTGCATACCGAACTTTCTTTTCTTTTTTCCATTCTTCATTCGAAATGCAACAAAGAGCATTTTACTGATCCATGCACAACGTAAAATTTAAAGGAAAAAATTAAAAAACAAGAAGAAGAAGAAGTAAAAACCATGCTTCCCTTTGCGTCTAAAATTATAGACCGAGTATTGTTGCATCTGATCAGACTCTCCTAGAGTCTCATCTTTGCCTCAAGAGGACAAGATCACAGGTTTTTAGGTAGATTTCCTTGATGGCGAAGGAATCAATGACAGGATGATGCTCTTGTTTGCAGCACTAACGGCCATGCAAACGATTAAATTTTCAATGCAGCTATTCTTGATCATACTCATAACAAACTAAAAATTTCTCTTCGATATCGTCAAGTCCCTTTAACCATAGTTGTAAGTGGTGGTGCGGCTCCCTTGCAATCAAACTTCAGTTAATTACTGTTAATTAACCAACGTATATATGCATACATGCTGGCGACGGAAGGTTAATTAGAACAAGAAATACGGAGAAAAATGCGTAGTAGAAGCGACCATTACTAGATGCTGTGTTTATTATTCATTTGTTATTCCTTTTATATGTTTTAGCCTTCCGTAGTTTCGATCCATATTATTTACAAAAGTCAAGTGAGAGTCTACTAACAACTCTAGAGGCCCACATCGCTTTGGAGCAATGTGTCGGGGGTGTGTGCTATAAAATTTATAGTAAATCACACTAAATATTTTGTTCAGGTTTAGTGCAATTGTGTCAAAATTTAACTATAAAATATGACATCTATAATTTATCATTCTCAAAATATGAAAAATTCAAAGCCCTATTGAGTTCATTGAAATCTTCCATGAAAACTAAATGAAATTGAAACATAAATTTTCGATAATAATTAACTTGTAGAGTGAAGAGTTGCCGTGTGTTAGAATGCAGGTTTCACTTCAAATAACATATGAGAAGCAAGGGTCATAATAAGTTTATAGGATTTTTTAACCTGATAGATTAGTAATTTCAGATGAACTCTCAATTTCTAATTCCAAGTTAATCATATATATGGAAAAACCTCATACCAGACAATTAAAAAAACTGAGGAATTTTCTATTATACCAACTTTATGTTAAGAAAGGAGACAGGAAAAAAGAATATCTAATGAACATCAGTGTAATGGAATGAATGTAAGGGGGAGGTATAAAGTATGTCCAGTTGCATAATGCCATTGAGGTTGATAATAGTCGGAAATGATTCTGCACTAACAATGCTTTGAATCATTTGTGATGATCACCACTTCATGCGACTCTTCATTCATGCGAATGCCAAAATAATATTTAATTAAAGCACTGGAAAGATCCATCACCATTTTAGAAACTTTAGGTAATCGTTACAATTAAGATATTGAAAAGTTGAAGAATTAACAAACGGCTACTTGGGGAAAGCAGAGCAACTAAGGAGGAAAGTGGCACTCCAAATAGTGGGGCTGGTATGCCGTATCTTTCTAAAATAACCAAATGTTAACATCTGTCCACCAAAGATTCAGGGAATACACTTTTTGGGTCAGTTAATGCACTTCATTCCAGTCAAATTGGTCCACGCGTGCTGCTTCTTGCTTTCCTCAACTCGACCTAATCTCTCTCTCACACGTTTAAAAGAAGAAACGTTGCACACAGAGACTTGCGTGATATTTTTAACCTTTAATTTTGATCAGATTCTGAAAGATAAGTCTTACGCTTTTGATCTCCCTGAAGGGGGTTATGGCTTAATAATGTTTCTTTCTCCGTTGAATTGCTCTTGATCAGCATGTATAGGGAGTTTGAGTGAAGGCGGGGGGGAATCGGCATGCGTGTGCGTGTGTTCCTTCGGCTTTTCTCTTCGTTTTGTTCTTGTTTGAATGTAATATCATAGAATTTCATATACTTTATGATGTTTGTAGTATAAATTTCCAAAGAATCAAATACCAACAATGCACAAAAACACACAAGGGCATACCGTCGACCTTTCCTTTGTTCTTCTTCCTTTATTTTTTTTAAATTCCTTTCCATTTCTTCATTCGGAGTGAGGCAGAGCGCAATGGAGAGGATTAGAGGGCTAGTGAACATAAACAACTTGTTGTTGCCAAATTCTTGAATTTTTGCCTCATCCGTGTACAAAGTAAAATATGAAAATTAAAAAAGGAAAAAATTTCTGTCACTACGCCTAAAATTTTACACAAAGTGTTGTTGTTTTGATCAGACTCTCCTAGCCCTTGTCTTTGCCTTTGGAGGACTAGACCGCTTTTTCAACCGACTTACAGCTTCTTTCCTTGATGGCAAAGGAATCAATGATGGAATCACACTACTATTTGCATTTCTGGTTTTAACAGTTGAGAAGGAAAGACGTCAATCTATGCAGCAATAATAACTATTCAAACTAATGAAATTCAACCGTGATGCATGAAAATGATTACCTTATTTGAGGGTTCTTTATTGGTATTGGTTGACTTAACTTCTTTGCTTGAGAGAACGATCCATTGGACATGCTAGTTGCTTTTGGCATATCAACAAGCCAATTCAAGTCTGATTCTGAAGAATCACTAGTTACAACCTCTTGCTCATCGCCGTCATCTATTACAACCAACTCGCTCAGGTTGCTTTGTAAATCACCATATCCCCTCTTATCCTCTTTTTTAAGTGTGACTTTAATGGAACGATCCGGGGATATTTGAGAAAATTGTTTGCTTTCTGCTTCCCATTGTCCCACCAGGTTATCATCACTGCTTAAGCTGTCCTGCCTCTTCAACGTGAGGTTATCAACCCGATCCCCACAAATTGAGACCTCATCTTCCTCCTTCCCATTCACCCTATGACCACCAACAAGTGGCCATGCGTTTGAATTCATATTCATTTCTTGGAGATCGAGGCTTCGTCTTTTTAGCTTTGACGTAGCCTTCTTCTGGCCCAATAATCATCCCATATATAAATATATATATATATATATATATATCAACAAACGTTAGTTTTTGAAATTTTTCAGAATAGTAACATGTTTTTAAGTATCAAATATCTTTTGACTAACTTCTTGTCAACATGTTATCTCGTTGATGGAACTTACCTCCAGGCTACAAGAATCATGATCATCTCCTGGTTTCGTACGGCCTCCTAAGGTCCAACTTGCCTGTTTAGGAGAAGACCCATAAGATCTGGGTCTTGGTATTTGAGAATGTCGAAGCTGTTCTGCTTCTTTCTCCTTTCTCCACAAGGCTGCCTTTAGACTAGCAATCTGACAAACAACGCAGTGAGAGCACTGATAAAATTGCCCATGGAACTGTTTAAAGTATAAAGTAGAAGGAACTTCATAAGAACCTGCTCTTTGAGCTCTCTCACATCAGTGCTGTCTTTGTTAGGTCGTAAAGCTCCCATTCTAACAGTGGAGACACGTTCGGCAAATTTCAGCGTGCTAATAGTTTCTTCAAGAGCTTCAGGCTCTGGGCTAATGTGAACAAACAAGAGTATCTTCGCTTGTCCTCCTGATGTTAACAGGAACAACATCCGTAACTATCAGAAGAGTCAACAGAGAACTAAGCAAAGAAAATTGATACGGGAATCCTACCCAGAGAATGTTGAAGAAGTTGAGTAAGTTTACTGTTCCTGTAGGGAACATGTGAATTCTTTCGGGACAGCGAAGAAATAACATCTCCAAGGGCAGAAAGTGATTTGTTGATATGCTGAGCCTCCTTAAGCCTGTCTCCTGTGGCCTCAGATTTATCAACTCTCTCACTTCCTGCTAGGTCTACTAGATGCATGCACCCCCGAACTATATTTCCTGATGTTACTTCCCTTCCTTCAGCATAAACTGTCATGCAGCTGCAAATACAATTGAAAATTTTCATGTGCTGATCGTAGTTCGAATCACACATTCTTATTTACTCGCCAGTTTAATTATTTTCCGGTACCTGTGAGAACGACTACTCCGATCATTCGTGGCGGCAGCACCGACAGCCCTATTCTTTTGTCCCATGTTCATCAGATATATAACATCCGAGGTTGACGAAACAGGAACAAGGTTTGCATCCGGCACGTTAGTGCCATTCTGACCACTTTTGCGAATTTCTAATGTATCTAGTTGTTAAGGATACATAAAAGTTGAAAAAATGGCATCCGCATAAACCAAATTGTCAGGGGGGGGGGGGGGACACGGAAATTGTTGGAGTGCCCTAGTTGTCACTATCCAAATATCTTCACTGTTGTCTTACTTCCAGTCAACATCATCATTGAAATTCGCTTACGCTTGAGCCAAAATAAGAAGATTTTCATAGAAACCTTTGACTAGAAATGAAAATTATTTTGCCACAAAAGAAGGGGAGGCCAGAGAAGGATATCTTGTGGTAGCACCGTCAGTGACTAGTAAGTCCCTGACTTTATCATTGTAAATCTCAAGCATCTGAACAGCGATCTCATAGCGAAATGTGTCCTTCCTCTGCCCTGAGAGAATAAAAAGATCTCTGAGTGCTCTGTAGTTAACACCCTCGTTTTCCTCCTTCAGGTCATCTGGTCCAGACTGCATGCCATGCATCAATACAATGAACCCCAACGAAGTGAGAGGCCCAAAAACAGAGGAAAAAGCTTAAGAAAATCGTTTGAATTTCGTCTCTCACTCTCACCATAGTATATGTTTTTCCAGATCCTGTCTGGCCATATGCGAATATGCAGATATTGTAACCATCAAGCACCGAACGGATAAGTGCCTGGGTGTCGGAGAAAACCTCCTCTGCGATAGGAAACAGCACTAATGAACAAACATGCCCATTGGAAAACAATTTAATGAAAATTCAAATGAAGACCAACCTTGTGTCGCAGAAGGTCCAAACACTCTGTGGAAACTGAATATTTTCTGCCCCTTTTTTGGAGGCGTCGTATTAACTGAGACACTTCCTTCTTCTATGTTACTGACTGTGCTAACCTGGTTTGATTGCCCACTCAACAAGGGCCGAACTCGGCAATATACCCTGATATTCCCTGATCCATATAAAAATTGTCCAGTTGAGAATCAGGAAAGCTAGGCTGGATCCAAACGTGATAGCACTTAGTCTTACCTTTCAAATCCTGCAATTGATTGTAGAACTTGCGGTTTTCTTCAACAACTCTATGATATGCTGACGCAGCAGAAGCTAGGCCTTGAAGGTGGTTACCTATATATCATTAAGGATAGTTATCAATTAGATGATGATAGATAGATAAATGATTGATTTCTCTGTCAAGGAATTTAAGCAGCGTACGTACTTAAATTGGTGAGATCCTGACAGTAACGTTGCTTCAAAGAGTATATTCCTGTTTGTGTATGATGGATCAGTTTTTTTAATTCCTGAACATTTGTCAGCTTCAAGTTTGTCATTTCCTGGACAACGTTGTGTCTTCATTGAATTCTAATCATATCATTGGAGCATCTTACCTGAATCTCTCTGTTTTGTTTCTCCACCAACCTTTGTTGCTTCAAAAGCTGCTGCCTGCTTGATTCTTCATTATTAAATTTGAACTTTTCAACATCACATTCTTCTTGTTCAAGCCTTAGATCTTCCATTTCTTCCATCTTAAATAATTTAGCAGAACAAAAAGGTCAAGCGGCTCAAATATGAGACACTAAGATTTTTACATTATACTGATTAAGGTTTCAATAACTGGAATCCAACTTTTACCTCTTTGTCTTCAGCCGCAGTTTCTTGGGTTGAATCCTCTGTTTCAAGTTCTTCCTTATCTCCTGAACCTATTTTCATCTGCAAAGATTTCGAAATCTTGTCAGAAAAATGACAGATTCAAATGATCACAAAGAAAGAGGTTCAGATTGCAGAGACCGCTTCCTGTTGGGTTGCCATGCGTCGTTCCAACTGCTCCATGAATTTGCTAAGCAGGGACTCCACCACCTGTTATATAACCAAAATAAATAAGGCAATCCTTTTAGCGAAGAAGGCATTGGAATGGAGAAGTGACGTGCATGCAAAAGCAAACAAGAACCCTTACAATGGGAACTTCTTCTGGCTTCTTGTCAGATAAATGCTCACGAAGTAAAGAATTCAAGGAATGAGGGGAACCCTGCAGATACCAACCCAATAGTTTTACACGGATCCTCATGCTTATTTCCATATTAGAAAACAGAAAAGAATAAATGATCATGACCGACGAATTTCACCAACCCCTCAATGTAATCACACCCTAGATCACCGCATCCAGAGAGGTCAGTGGCACTTGACGACGAAACGGTCCGCGATAAAGAATTGATGCATGGTTCTGAGTTTTTACGCAGAAATGGTTTGCCAGAGGCAGGTGGCCTTGCATCTCCACCGTACTTCCATGATCCATGCTTGCCTCCTTCTATCCATTCACTGTATGACTTCAATGCTAAAACACAGCTCACTATCCTCCCACAATTCCCTCCCTGTTATCACAGTAACAAGAAGAATAATGCACATGCACTGGTTACGTTAATAGAACTTGCATTTATTGACACGTATAGTGGGTGTGCGTGTGTGTCAATATGCAGTCACTCACCTCTTCCAAATCAGAGGCCTCGAAGGTGTGAAGCCCCATCTCCTGCACAGCCATCAGAAAATTCCTCACATTCTCGAAGTACTGATACGCGGACAGTGCTGCCCCATCAGCCATTACATCAGAATCGCCCGCACCTTCAACCACCTAGCATAGCAACATTCACAAGTATTATGAATTAATGTCGCTTCTTCTGTGGTAAATAGATCCCGGGAACCAGAGTGTACGGATAATTAATAATTTATATGATGATGAGAGTTACAAACCCTGGGGACGGCTCCTGGTTGAAGTTTGTTGAGCACATTACAAAGTATGATCCCACTGCGCAGTCCAATCCTGAATTCATCTTCCGACGGCTCAACTGCCAAGTCTTTTCCTCTTACCACTCCGATCATCTTTCGCAGCCACCCAGCTGCTTCATGCCTTCTTAATGCTGCCATCCACAAGTTAAATAAAGAAACAAATCATTTTTTGAAATTGAAGATGTATATGTGCTAGAGAATCCAGATAGTCATTCTGATTCAACAGGAAATTAACATACAAGCTGCTTCAGCCTTCCTCGACGCTAAGTTGACGTCGTTCAGTCGGGTCCCATGCCGTTGAAGAACATCGTCTTCCACACCGGATGCAAGAGTGTGTCGCCTCGCTTTTTCTGCCGCCATTGTAATGAGTCTCGAGAATTCAGGCTTGCGAAGAAGAATAATAAATCAACGCACTTCTCTGGGCTTTCTGCCTCTGATTTCGTCTCCCTAAATAATGAGTTATTAACCAGAAGAGCAACACCGAAGCTGATTCCGAGCCTCTCGCTGTCTGGCTTAACGGTATGCACTTAACCTTCCCACTTGATCTAACTCTTAGGAACAAATAATGTGCAAAATATAATATAATTAACACGTTATGTTTTATTATTTTATTTCAATTTAGTAAGCAGTTTGTTTGTTTGAGAATCTGAAAGACTATTGGATAATATGACAAGTTAACTAGAATGATGGTTACTAACAAAATGTGTACTTGAAAAACTGCTTCTGATTTCATGGAACGATACAACTGTAGAGATTTTAAATAGCGACGTGCGGTGAACTGCATTCTATATATTTAGCGGTAATTGTTTTCACAACTTTCCTCTTCGGGCGCAATTTGGTACTGAAAGCCAGTCTTCTATTATCACCGCTTCCATTGTTTCTGCCATCCTCTCGTCTCTATAATTTGTTACATCCTCTCGTCCTCTCGGTGATACTGTCTCCGATTCTAATTAAAAGATTTCATTTATAGTCTATAAGTAAGGTTTCATAATTAGAATCGGAGATATAGTAATTAAGTATCAAGAGAGCCTGGTGTCCCATACGGAAGAGGTCGTACTCCTTAGGTATTAGATGGCTGTCACTCAAAGGAAGGTCGCTGCAATGTAGAAGTAAAGCGCACAACTGCGACAATGACACCATACGGAACGGTGTTTCATCAAGACAACCCAATCCATAAAGCGAAGAGAGACTAAAATGGCAGTGCGAATTAATGAAATTAATTATTTAATTAAAGGTAACTATTGCCGCTCCTAAATATAAGTGATTAATGACAATGCCAAGGATTGCTTTAATTTAATTCACACACACACATCTTCAATCTTGCACCCCCCAAGTGATTAAACAAGTCTATCGACCATCATTGCCCTTATTTAACCAGTGTAGTGAACTGAAACAGGCAACCAAAAGCATAAGAGCTACCTTGGTGTGTAATGACTCTAATCTTAAATATAACAGTAATGACTCTAGTCTTAAACATAAGTAGAGATTCAATTTGATTCTAATATAAGATCTCAATCAATATTATCTCTCATATTTGTTTATTTTTGTAAAACAATCTTTATAATAATTATACATAATACTCTTTTCAGTCCTTAACATAAGGCCTATTTAACTAATTTGATTAGATTAAGGAAGTTAGATAGGTTAGTTGATTATAAGAAACATAACATGTTTTTCTTAAAATACTGTAATCATCTTACTTAATATCTTTTCTCTCTCTTTTACTTAATTATGTTTGAAGGAGTATCAATAAGGATAATTTAAGAAAAACTGATAAATATGAGAAATATGTCATATATTTAGGACTAAAATTAACTTAATAATTAGACCTATATTAAGTACTATTGATCATGTATACGGGGTCATTGGACCTCTCTGGCTTCTGGTTTAAAAAAAAAAAAAAAAAGGATCTATCTGGCTAATTAAGCAAGCAGCCTTGCGGCAACAGAAGTACTTAGACAGTACAAGAATAACAATCCAGCGAGCACACAAAGTACGTATAAAACGTGACTAATTGCAGCTTTTGTGGGAGGAGAGGCCCTGTGTTGGGCAAATTGAAAGTTCGGTTTCAATATCATGCTTATAAACAATGATTAGATGGCATATGTCTTTCTCCATATCATGGTGGAGCCTCGTTTCTAAATTGGGCTGGTTAATGTCTATAGTTCATCTTCGCCTGCTTTTGTGCCTTTCAAAAAGCATATGCTTTTCAGCTGACCATATGCTCCTTTCGGTATTTACTACAAAAGCATATTTTGTTTTATAGCACTCTTAACTAACCATAAAAGTTTCTGATTATTAATTTAAAAGCAAGCACGTAAGTATATAAATGCCTTACCCAGTTACACTTGATCATTCTGCATAACATGCTCTCAGTGAAATCCTAGTTATCGAATTTTGTGAAAAGCAGCCAGAACGAGAATGATAGCCTTTGGTCACAAGCCAGAAAGTGTGTTATGGATGGGTTTTTTTGGGTGGGGGGTGGGAATGAGGCTTTTCTTGGGAGCCACTGTTCCTCATCCTACCCAACAATATGGTCCTCCAATTCGTTGTCGCCGCTGCTCATACCCAACCCAATCTTCTGATCCAATCTAATCTCATCACAAGTATAAAGCAAAACTTTTCTAAGTTCAGCTAATAAATCCCATCGCCTGCTTGGAGGAATGGCTTTTGCAGAAGAAGGTCTGAAGTCGGGAGGGTCCATTAATGAAGCCGGTGTTCTGGTAAAGTGAAGCGGGTCCAGCTCCAACAACGTTGCCCATACTTTTCAAAGTACAATACGCAAGCCATGGGGGGTCGATGTGGATGATACAGAATTCGTATTTGGGCAGGGGACGAAAGGCCCCATGTAATTCCTACTCCATGCGGCTTCCCTCCACTGCTCTGTTCTGCACCAATTCGCTTCCCTATCATTTATCGACTACACCTCCTTCTCCTCCGTCTCTCAACCCTTTCATCTATTTCCTCTGTAAACTCTACGCCTTCCCTCTTTTTGACCGACCTCCTTGCTCCAAGACATTTCACAATGTTCAATTTTTTCTACCCGACTCCCCTGCGCAGTTGCTGTCCAATATATTTCTGAGCTAAAACCTAAAATTGTTTATTTAAAAAATAATTTTGCACTTTTGACTTGTAGTTTTTTATTGGAAAACCTGTTTCAAGTTTACAATAACAGACGTGTCTTATTTTTATAATATTTCTATTTAATTATAATAAATTTACTTGAAAAAAATAGCACTGATGGAAGAACCTGAATATAAAAACTTTTGATGAACAGAGGGATGGGAAAATGTAGCGTTAACAGGCCAATCGAACAGTTTCAGCATCCTTTGATGGCAATTTGCAATTTAGTTGCTTGCCTCGTAACCGCCATGGTGAAGGACGTACAGACATTTGTTACGAATCTATACAGCCGTTCCTCTTCAGTGTGAAAGAAAAGGGACACTTCTTGTAGATTCAGTTTTTGTGTCTCTTCCCCGTCATCTGATTGTGAGTGTGCCATTTCCAAAGAAGAGAGAGGCGCTGATGACTTAATGCTGTAGAGGCTTGAGGACTGACCTGAGGGCTTTCGTGTATATTTGGGAACAAGATGAGCAGGTCAGATTTTACAGGGACCCACGTTAGCAAAAGAAACCTCAAGGTCAGAACGGTAATGAGGAAATGATATTGTCCCGTTTGGTACCATTGAACTGGGATGTAAAAGGGTAGAACCGTAGGAGTGAGATTAAGGTGTGTCTGGAAACCAAACCTTGATTTGAAAAAGTGATTCTGGAGAATAGATTCTGGAAAGAATAAATTTTATGAAAAAATGATTTTAAAAAGTGAGAGTATTTGGATAGTTGTTATCAGAAGCACTTTTTATATATACAAATTACTAAAAAAAAGGCATAAGTTAATATGATAATTATAGAAAAAATAGATTTTATGATATATTTTAATTTGAAGGAATAAAATTGTTAATAATATATTTTTTATTAACATAATTAATAATACATAAGATAATATAATTAATAAATAATTAATATGTATATATATTTATAAAATATAAGATTAAATATGTTTATAAAAAAATAACAAGATACATATCCTATAGGTTCTTACACTCTCCTTTTTTTTTCCAAAAGCAAAAAATTTTTGCTTTTTTCAAAACTATGGTTTTGGAGCCAAAACCATATTTTTAGCTCAAAACCATGATCTGTGCAAATTGAGTGAGTGTTTAGGTGACTTATCACCTAAATCATGATTTGGGGTGTCACCCAAACGGATCTGTTTATACGTTGGGGCCCGAGTTCTTTAGTTTTCTTTTCTGCCCAACTCACTTCCATCATAATGGATGAAAGTGGGGTTCCGGAATATATCCACTCCCGAAATAACAATTGTCTGCCCACTTAATTTTTTTGGACGATTCTACTCCTCATATTCTCCGTCGAAATACCCGAACCGTACCCTCCTTCCCGATGATCGCCCTCCATCCCCGTTGCCCCTCACTTCGGTCAACAGTTCCATCACACCATGCACACCACTTTCCTTCGTATTTCTTTAGATTCGCTGGAGACCTAACTTCTTCTGCTGCTAGATCCATTCACCTTCGGTTAGCAGGTGTGCGGAATTTGCCTGTCTGAGGAAGATAAAAGAAGAGTAAGGGGAGCCCTAAATTGTTGCTCTCGCTATTTTTGTTTTGCTTGCATTATGGAGCGGGCCACAACAATCAGTATACGTGCACGATCAACATGTTCGAGAGAAGTAGTGGTACAAGTGCCTCAACGTGATCAGGTATCCGAGACTTTCCTCATCTTGTTTCCGCCCATGGTTTTGTTTTTTGACTGCTTTAGTCGGTTCCTCCTGATGAAATACTTTGTGATTTTTCGTACGCCAGGTCTATCGGCCTTCTCAAGAAGAACTCAGGAGCTATACTGATCCGTATGGGAACGTTATTTGTTCGTAGTGCCATCAAGGCGGAGATGATCACCTGATGTTACTGTGTGACCTCTGTGATTCACCGGCCCACACATATTGTGTTGGTCTGGGGCGGGAAGTTTCTGAAGGTAATTGGTATTGTGGTGGCTGCACACCAGTTGCTTTGGGATCCTCATGTTCCCAAGTTCAAGAACGCGTTGCTGACTCAAGGGTGACATGCCAGAGTATGCCTGCTAGACCGTCACCTGTTGCATATGTACGAGAAAGCATAGACCTTAACTTGCTGTTTTCGGGCAGAAGTGTCGAGGGGACTTCTCCGATATCTGGCGGTGGAGCCACCGACCTTATCAGAGAGACGCTGGATACACCATCAAATTCAACAAATACTTCCAAACTACAGAATTAATTCTACTACTGGCAGAAGAAGAAGTATCTACCAGTTCAACTTGTAATTGTAACTTGCATGGCTTTCAAATTGATCCAAGGAGGGGAATAGCCGCTCAACATACAGGGATGTGAGATGTGGGAACATCATATCACCCATACCTTGAGGAGAGACTAGGCAACAATAGGGTGGGAATCCTTTGCTAATGAGAATAAGCAATGTGAGGAGGTTAGCGGTTCAAGACTCAACGCCAGTTAACAGACCTGTGACTCTGAATGAGGCATTTTTGCCTGAACTATTGGCGACGCCCCCCGTATGGGATTATGAACAAATTCATCAGCCCAATAGCATATCCGACACTATTACCAACCGTATGAATGTTCCTACTGTTGAAGAAGGTAAGTTTCAGAGTGCCAAGGAGCAGTTGCGGTTCATGGTTAAAAGCCACCTGTATAGCTTTCCTAAGATATTGATATAGGCGAAGTATAGCTTTTCTTCTATGAACTTGCGTTTTAGTTTTCTTTTGCTGGTAAAAAACCTATGTATTCGTTTTCTTTTAATCAATTCAGCTGCGTCATATGGGAGGGTTATATTTCCCTTAATTTATTCTCTTCGTCATCTAGCCGATTCGAATTACTTGTTGTGGTGATTCAGGAAATGGTACTTTCAAGAACATTACAAGCAGTTTGTAAACACCGTATTAACTGCTTGCGGTCTTGAGCACAGAAAGAGCGAGGCTATGCACTTTACCTCCACCGTCTATCTGTACCCATATTGAACAAGTGGATGATGGACGAACGAGTCCGATTAAAGGAAGCTGCTCATCTTGCTTTGATTATTTTGTCGGAGATGTGGTGGAGAGGATCATGGATACAACAATTCCCAAATGGTTACGTTTAGGACTTCAGGCGTTATTACAGGGTCTAAAGGCACGTCGTTTTTTGTTAGATGTTAAGAACATTATGTCATATATGCGATAATACATGCATAAACAAGATCCTTTACATTAGTTCCTTGTAACCCACAAGTATATACGTCAGTTCTTGCTTTCATAAACGTTCACTTCGTTAGAATGGAAGGAACAAGTTCTTTCCCATTGAAGCTTTTATGACCTACTATTAAAGGATCACAAGGAAGAGAAAACATCAGTTCACATACAACATAAATTACACTCATATCATTATTCCATCTCATTAAATGCCTTGACAACGTCACCAGACAAACCATAAGTTGCAGGTAAGCCATCTGTTTTAAAGTGCGTTGATCAACCATCATGAAGAACTTCATAAATTGTCATCAAATATGGTGGACAGCAACAGCCCTTGAACAAACTCACATCTTTTTGCCCTCTCTTCCTTATCCTTGACTGACAAGGGAGATGTCTCAACATTTCTGAACAGCAATATCAGACATTTTAGATGCCAAGAGAAAAACATTTTAGGATGGAGGCTAAAAACATTTTAAAAAAAAAAAAATTATAATTAACTTTTTCCTGTCCCAATACATTGCATTTGAGCATTTTACAAATACAAACACTGCAAGGAATCCAGATCCATCACATTTGAGATCCTAGTTTAGACTGACTGCCTAGAGGCACATGGTTACTTGCTGTACACATCAGCAGTTATTTAGACAATTCACAGGCACATACAAATTATACTTGGCGCTAACTCCCACAGGATGTCTTCCTTTTTTCACTTCACTTCCTTTTTCCCAAAAAAGGGTTATTCTGAGCACTCGTACTCTTTGAATAAAAATTAGGAACAATATTATAGTGAATCCTACAAACATGGCTCCTGTAATCCTGACGAAACTACAGCTTTGGTTTTAGCTCTCAAACAGTGCAAGATCTCAAAATCGTTGTTGTGTCCATTTCTTAGGAAAAAGAACCGATTAATGCTAACAACCAAAAGAAAATTTCGATCCTTCACTACTGGAGCAGTTATTGAGAAGTTATTCAAGATTATATATGTTTCCCCAAACATAAAGACAATGCATGCCTGTTTCCTGCAAGTGGAAGCCACTCATCTATCAAAAAAGTTAACTTCAATTTTTTTTTCCTTTCAAAAGCAAGTATTCTACAATCTCCCATGACATTAATACTCCAGCTTCGTCTATTAAACATGGATATAAATTTATAAGCTTCATGAGCATCTAGTAAGGTTCTGGCACCACCTTTACCAAACCCATGCTTCATAGCTTTAAACATTAAAATATAAGCTGGATTATATTTGGTGTAACCACAGAAAGGAATATTAGCATGCAAAGAAGCGGAACTGAAAGAAAAGGAGATACAACTGAGAACATGGCATACCGTCTTGAAACATTTTCATCTGAGATTTTCTTGGTTGACCTTGATTCAGTAGGAAAGCGGGGCTGAGAACTCGCCAGTTCATCAGCTACAGGCAATATAAATGATGCCAACAACGGATCGGCAGCTGCATTAGAAGAGGACACTGTACATGAGGATCCGCCAAAAAGGGATTGTAAATTTCCTTCTCGCAGCTCCTTCCTCAACAGAGATAGTGTTGAATAAGATCCACCTTTTCGTGATTTCCTCTTACGCTGCATGTGGTCATTAGTTAAGGTATTCAATGCATCATAGATCAACATCTTGGTCTTTGATAAAGATGCATGGGATGTGAAAACGAGATTACGCCTACACACGTGCACACCAAGAACAAAACCAGCTATTGAAAAGTTCTGAAATCAGTTTTATGATGTAACTTCTTTTTTTTTTTTAATAGCAGCAGAAGAGTTGAAGTGTGTGCTTATAATTAAGGCTACTGCCATTAAGCATTTCATAATTACTACTACCTCTGGTTCTAATTATAAGACCTCGTTTGTAGTCTACAAACAAGGTCTTATAATTAGGACCCGGAGACAGTAATTATTAGTGTGTGAGTGGGTTTAGCATAGAAAACCATAAACCTCACTATCAAGTAAAAAGGTTCTTTTGAGGTTCATTCGCAATATCTTTCTGTAACCCTAACAAAAGAATGATCTTCAGTTAAACATCACAAAAATATAAAGATACTGAAATAACCCGAACCTTCTGTAACATGTCTCACAATGTAATAAAAACTTACAGAATGCTCAAAAAATGTACTTGCAACAAAATGAACAAAAACATGTTAAAGAAAACTGAACAGTTGGTGCACAAAACTTAAAAGAAAAGGATATCTTGAATATGCTTCCATGTTGTAGCGTTATGTGTGCAACCATATCAAACCCCACCGTCAATGCACAAACTGGACATACCTGCATGCGGAAATACTCAAATCAGCACAAGTCACTAATAACTTTCATACTATACAGGGATTTTTAATTTTTTTTTGGTTCAAGAGAGAAATCAGTAGCTCGGCTTAACCTTTCAATTTCTAAGACTCCGAACTCTTTAACCTCAAAGTCCTTAAATCAACAACATTCTCAAGCATACATCACTAATCCCTGTCTCTAATGAGGAAAAAGGCAGAGAAGCAAAATTCATATCATACTGCTAACCATGATGATAAAAAGAATCACGTGCATGAGTTCCTCTATAATTCCACTACTTGTTTAAACATGATCCACAGTTGACTATGAAAATAACAAGAATCATAGGCTACCTCTGGTCCTTAATATAACATCTAGTCAATTAATTTGAGAAGATTAAAGAAGCTTAATAAATTATTGGTTTGCAAAAATAAGTCTTTGAAGTGGATATTAAAAAAGAAAAAAGCTGCACGGGTATTGCGGTTTTGTTTGAACTTGAAAATGTTTGTATTTGAGAATATGTCCAGTTGATCTAAAATTGAGCTCAAAAAATAATAATCATATGGATAAACTAAAATTCATCAAGCCTCAATTGTTAACAAGTCTCCGTTAGATGCCTGAGACAGATATGATGAAATTATACATGGACTAACTGAGCAATGTGTAGGCAATAAACACTACAAACACCATCAGTTGCTTTGTGGTAAAAACCAAAGAGTGCTAAGTGAAATTATTCATACCCCCTTTTTTGCCTCCATGGGATGTTCCTCGTCAATGTGGCAGCATAATCCAACAATATCAAAATACTCGGAACAAAAAGGGCACAGAAACTCCTCCCTTATATCATCATCTCCGTCATTTTCGTCAAAACCCATGAACATATCTACAGTAACGGAATCTCACGTCAACAACGCCATAAGTGAAAGAGATAGTTACAGATCAGCACCAGAAAATGAAATAATCTAAGAAGGAAATGAGGGAGAAAGGAAAAGAGAACTTTCAAGCTTCGCCAATAGCTTGCTTTCAGTATTCCCACGCCAATTCAAAGTTGCAAGGATGAATTGTAATAACTAGTTCAGCTGAGTTAGATCATAAAATTAACCCACTTCTCTTTACTATGATAACTCTACTCGGCAATAAGAAACCGAATAGCAGTTCAATTTCTTCTTTTAAGTTTCTGAGCTGCAACAGTTATGCTTCTGATAGACAAAATTTCAGAGGCTTGACTTTTAACTTGGTATCTCTTTCTTTTTGTATTCTGATGAGAACATTCTCAATCCCCTTTCGCCCCTCCAAGAGACGGGAAAATTACTAGGCCAATGTCTATCAAGCTAAGCTCTTGCTTTCTCATTTTTGGCTCATGTGCACATAACCTAGGGGTAACGGAGGTTGTCCCGACGTAATAAATAGAAAATGAAAATTGAATTTCCAAGGATATAAATCAGAGACAATTTCGCAAGGAAAGGTGAGTCAAATAACCTGATCGGGATTGAAGAGCGGACTGGTAACGCTTAGAGGCAGATGAAAGACGAGCAGCCCAAGAAGAATCAGCATCCATAGCTTTTGTCAAATGTTTATGAAATGATACAGGTCTGTCGATCAGAGTGATAAGGAACAAAAAATTAAGCAGACCCAGGAAATAATGATGGAAGCAGAGGAGATTTGGAGGCTTCGTAAGGGTAAGGAAGTAAGCGAGTGAGGAGGATGATGTTGATGAGACGCGGTGCTTCTCCGGAATTTCACCGAAAGAAGGGAAAGAGGAAAACAGCCCACTAGTATATATAATTTCTCTAGGAAAACTCTTGCTTCATTTTTGTACCGTACGTAATTATTAACTAGATCTTATTTATAAAGCACTTTTAACATATTTCACACAGATTAAAGAAAATCTTAAACTTTATTAACTCTCATTTAAAATTTAATGACTTTTCAACTTTATCCCTATTTAATATACATTATACCTCATATAAACAAAGTCAACACAATAATAAATGGGGATAAAATTGTACATCTACACAACAAATTTCTCTCGCTACCTTATAAATATAACTAAAAAATATCTTCTCTCTCTACCCTATATAGAACCAAAAGAGTAGCTAGTAATGAACAGCAAAAAAAAAAGTAATTTTCAGGCAGAGATTTGTTTTGCATATAGTTATAATTAAAAAAAATGAATACTTTATACCCTAATTTTTATTTTATATTTATTTGTAATTTTATGTAAATTAATTAAAAACATTATTGTAAGAGAATTAAATATAAAAAGATCCCTTAAAATCATCAAATTAATATGAAATTTCAAAGAATTTTATTGTAAGATATTTCATTTGTTTAATTACCAAATTATTCTTATCTTTTTTTAAAAAAATATGTATTGACAACTGAAAGTGTAGTGGTTAACAACTTAAAGTGTACCGATTAACGGCTATCGCGGTAGATATTCACAACTTATGCATTACATTTTTATGATACACTGTAAAAACATGTTGATAACTGCCGCAATAGTTATTAATCGTTACACTTTAAGTTGTTAATGACTACTCTTTCGATTATCAGTATATACTTTAAAAAAAATAATCTGATAATTAAATAAAATTATCTGTAATAAGATTTATTGAGACTTCAAAATATAAAATAATCTGTAATAAGATTTATTGAGACTTCAAAATAATATGATAATTTTAATTTTAGACAAGATCATATTGCAATTTTCTTTTTTATTATTTGTTCGGTCAATGAATCAACTGAGTCCAGCCCTCAGAGCCAAGCACGAGGCAACAGATATGACAAGGCCTGCGCTCTCCATTATATCTTTTACGTTGGGGAAAATCTCCTGCTGCCTTAGAATGAACGAACCAATATGACCATCAATTTGTGGCCTCCTAGACTCGTAGAGTTAATAGGACTCCTCCAGTGCGGAAGGCATGAATTAATTGAGAATTTGATTGTGACCCTAAGTATAAGATTTGAAGTCATTTTATATCTTATATTTATCATCTTTTTAAAAATTAATTTATCTTGCTTATAAATTGATGTATCATTTTTTATGTCATATTCATCATAATTAAATAACTAATTTATATTTTTTAAAATTTTTCAAGTTAATTAAGTAAATACTACCTTTGATCCTTATAAGACCTTGTTTGATTTTTATTTTGGTCCTAAATATAAGACCCTAATCTACTTTGTCTCTCATTTATTTATTTTTTTCAAAATAGTCCTTCTAATAATGGTAGCTCTAGATAATAAACTTGATTAGTAAGGATATTTTAGGAAAAACAACACATATTCATTACAAATAACTAATTTAACTAAGTTTTTTAATCTCCCCAAATTAGTCAACTGGGTCTTATAATTAAGACCGGAGGTAGTATTATATTAAGAATGTGAGAGGTATTAATTTCTAGATGCTAAATTTAAGTAGTTTTCACATTTGATTTTTTGAACTTTGGCCAGTTGCGTGAGTTTGAACAAGATTATAAACACAGCTCTTGTGTCTTTAACCAAGGAAGAAGGTAAGTTAGTGCGGAGAAGGAATGTGCCATGGGAATGCACATTGGCTAATGGCCACATACAATGTAAAGAGTTCAGAGACAAAACACATGGTTTCAGAAAGGAGCGGCACCTGGAGGCATATTGATGAGATAGGGTATAATGGCAGGCCAGTTCTGATTCACAACAGGAAAGATAAGTGAACCAGATCAGGCATCATGGGAGACAAGCCGCATGTCCAACTGCTAATCATCTCGCAGCAAGGACCCAGTTTCCCATCAGGCACAGTGTTCGTTAGGAAGCCCACCATCCAGTGCATTTTTACCTCACCATGTCAGCACTTGGAGATTTTATCACATTGCCGTCCAAATTTATTTCCTACATTTTCTCTTGCATAGTTCACAGAGGGTGGTCGGAGAACAAGTTTCTGTCTCAGGATATGTGTTTTTTTTTTTTCCTTTCCATTTACTTCTACTAATCTTAAACTAACGTGACCAATTATTTTTTCCCAACCTAACGGGACCGATTATAATTATTAATAAGATGAATATTTAAAAGAATTAACACAAATGAGTAAAAAACACACTGCACAACACAATTTATACCTGTCAAATTTTACTACTATTACTCCCTTTGAACAATTATACAACAATTGAATTGATCAAGCTCTCCCTTCATCAAGTGGCTACCATTATGGATTATTAGCATTTTTTCCTGCACATAGATATTTTTTATTTGAAAGTAATCATATTTAAGACACTATCAGTTACTAAACACAACAACTCTTTTAGTAGAGATTCGAACTTTAACTCGTCATGGTGTAAGAAACAAGCACCTTTTACTATATTCAATGGACTATTGGTGGGTACATATGGGTTGATGGGCAGCCCATTAATGGCCCATACTATGCTGCGGCCCAAATCAGGTGTTCATTTTGCCACCCTACGTAGTATAGGCCTGTAATAGTATAGATCCGATGGCCCAAAAGCGCGGCGCCCCCCCCCACTCCCAGTTGGACTGTCACGTGACCTTCTGTCCGTACAACCTCGATCACGTGATTTCCCTCAGTTCGCTGCCCCTGCCGAAGTGCCTCTTCCACATTTCTCGTTTGACCGGGACAGAGCCTCAGCCTTCCTCCACTTCCTAATTTCTCCGCCATCCAGATCTATGTCTTGACATTGAATCTGAATTTTGAGCTCTTAATGGCGACGAGAAACCGCACTTTGCTCTATAGGAAGTACAGAGATGCATTGAAGAGTGTTCGGGTTCCGTCGAGTTCTGCGGCCTCGACGAGTTCCGGCGGTGCTGGTGGTCCGGTGATTGAATTGGTCAGCACGTCGCTTCTGAATCAGAATCGTTCTTATGCTCCGCTTAGTACCGAGGATCCTGGTCATTCAAGGTACGCCTTTACCTCACAAATATAGATCCTACTGATAATCTAAACGTTAGTTTCCTGGACGTGGACCAAATGCGGAGATGCTTATATTAAGAATGTTCTCTTTGTCTATATTTCGTGAGCACGACAACGAGATATTTAGGATTGGTCTGCTCACGATTTCGTTCCACTTCCAAAAAGAAGGCATCAGAAATAAGGAATTCGTAACAGCTGATCAGAGATCGGTTGCATAGGACACTCTATCATGCAGGATCATCAACAACGAATCTGATCTATGTATAATGATCAATTTCCAGCCCTTGTCGTGGGACATTGCTTCTACATCGAAGCCGGAGTTTTCTTCCGGAGTTGTTGCAAGTTCCTGCCGCGTTTTATTAGTAGCTGGGCTGTAATGCACTAGTTCTGCTCTCCGTAGCTGAAACCTTATTCGGTAGGAGTTTTTGCCTTTTGGCTGAGAAAATTAGTGAAGGAACTGAGTATGACGTAAAGCACTGAAGACTTCTCTTTGTTATAGTTCATACGTGAAGCTTGTGGAAGTTGGACTAATAGATGAATAATCTATCTCACCTCTTGTTTATTGGTAATAAAAAATAAATCGATCAATGCGAAACCCGTAGAATGTGGACTAACAGACATATCATTTGCCTTACCCGTCTTGTTCATCAATGGAAGATTTCTTGTTCATCTGGTGGAGAAATGCCATGAAGACGGATGTACTTCTTCTAATCTGAACACTGTCTTACAAAATTTTACGTGTTTAAACTTTTTTGGGGTAATTTCGTTATGCAACTATGTATCATTTACTTTTGGCTTGCATGGATGTCTAAATTTATAAAAACTTACTTCTTATGGATTCAGTAAGGGTCCACTTACTGTAGGACTGCCTCCAGCCTGGGTGGATGTATCTGAAGAAATATCAGCAAATGTGCAACGTGCACGCACAAAAATGGCAGAGCTGGCCAAAGCTCATGCAAAGGCGTTAATGCCATCATTTGGAGATGGCAAGGAGGAACAACGAACCATTGAAACTCTAACTCATGAGATAACTGACTTGATAAAGCGATCAGAGAGGCGACTGCAGAGACTTTCTGCTACCGGGCCTTCTGAGGATTCCAGTGTGAGGAAGAACGTGCAGGTATAAGCATAATCGTACAGGTGCAGAACTGTCACCGCGTACCACTGTTAGAGTATGACCTTTTTGGGAACAACAAGAAATCCGTTTTTTTCAATTCATTTGAAAATCTACAGTCTCTTTATCAACAACGGATATAAGTATAACTCTGTGGTGTGTTATTCTGTTAATTGAGTCTTTGACCATACCTTCTTTCTGCTGCTATGTTTAAACGTATGCATTTCACAAGCTTCTTGGATGATCTTTCAGTTGCTTTTGTAATTTGTTGAACTTTTTGGTATTTTATCTGTGTATTTCATGCAGCGCTCTCTAGCTACTGACCTTCAGAACCTCTCTGTAGAGCTCCGCAAGAAACAATCAAATTATTTGAAGCGACTTAGACAGCAAAAAGAGGTGAGAAGTTTTCAACAGGAAAAAAAAAAGTTGGAAAATATTTTCTTTCTTTAAATATTTGCTGGCAGAATGACAATTTAACAAATCAATAGCATCATTTATGCAATTCAATTCAATACAAATCAGCGCGTAAAATTCTGTGTGTAGTTTCATGTACAAAATTGCGTCTCCCGTATATTACCATTGTTGTTGATTGTTGGCAATTGAACTTTTATAATTCCATATCATCGGTTAACTCTGAACTGTTGATGAACAGACGAAGTGTATTCGGTATTATATCGTTGGAAAAAATTATAAATCTACCGTTAATGATTGCATTGTCCACCTTTGCTCTTTACTCTCGTCTGGAGTTTATCCTGGTTACTGGGCTACTAGCTTACTGTGATATACGAGCACTATATAACTTGTGGATCATGTTTTATAGCTATTGATTAATATTTTATGATTATGTAGGGACAAGATGGGGTGGATCTAGAGATCAACATAAATGGAAGTAAATCCAGATTTGAAGATGATGCTTTGGACAATATGGTATTTGATTTGTATTTCCTCTATTTTTATTGGTTCATTTCATTCTTTCTTTGGCAGGGAAGATGAGCTCAAGAATATTATTGCTATCATTTTTTTCATTGGGACGATTATTGACAAATTCTTTAATCCATTTTACCGGCTGTATCATTCCTTTTTCTTTTTCTTTTTCTTTTTTAAACAAATTTCAATGTTTTTTGTACATGATTGAATATTAGCAACTCAGTTAACCTGGCACTGTCAAAAAAACATACGTAGGTATTTAACGAGCACCAGATGGCCAAGCTGAAAAAAAGTGAAGCATTCACAGTAGAAAGAGAAAAGGAGATCCAACAGGCGAGCAGAAGTTTCTTATTTGCTGTGCCGGCCTTTGTAGACTTAGTGCTAATTTCTATATGTTGATGGACTAAAAAAGTTCATTATATGATATTATAGGTTGTGGAATCAGTAAACGAGCTTGCTCAAATTATGAAAGATCTGTCTGTACTAGTAATAGACCAGGTCAGCAGATATTCTTTCTCTATGGAGTCTACTACCTTGAGATTTGGAGTCATGATGATAAATTGACATACTCTTTATACAGGGAACCATTGTTGATCGGATAGACTACAACATTCAGAATGTTGCAACTACAGTTGAGGATGGCCTTAAACAGTTGCAGAAGGTCTGTGACTTCTCGTTTGTTATTTTTTGCTGGACTGGACTACTTGTTTCTCAGGCTTCCTTCTTTCTCAATCTCTTTCATTCTCTTTTATCATTTTCCCCCTGATATGATGGTAATCTTATGGTTTCATCGGACATGCAGGCCGAGAGAACACAAAGGAAGGGGGGCATGGTGATGTGTGCGACGGTGCTTATTATCATGTGCTTCGTTATGCTGGTTCTCCTAATCCTCAAGGAAATATTGTTGTGATCCATGGAGACTTGATTCTTTTATTATGATCACTTGTCATTCGTGCGATCCTCTCCACCGACACCACCCACTGCTTGATTGGACCATGATTATGCAGAGTTTGTTAGAGAAAACGAAAGACTATCTCAATTGTTAACCTTTATTGCGGATGGCGGCCGAGGGTGGGAGGAGGCACCGATTACGTTGTTCTAACTTTGGTGGGAATCTTTTTTCTTTTTTTTTTCCCCGCCTGAACTTTGGTGGGATTCATTAGGAGAGGGTACCGATGACCCAAAGATGTATAGAGCGGCTGTATTGATTCTTTTTTTTTTTTAGCAGAATAATTATTTGCTCTTTCAACCTTGTACTGAATTCCATTTTTTTGGTCGATATTTTAATTTTCCTCGGCTGTTCTTTTTGGGTTCCGCACGCATGCTTGCGCTTCAAGGGAATGAGAATTTGTGTTTGTACCAAAATATTGATGGAATAAAACGAGGAACAGAAAGTTTGCGTTCTGGAAGGGACATGCATGCTGGGATTATCGTTGCGCTATTGCATGTATATCCAGTGCGAAGGAAATCTCTAAATTGATAGAGGAAAAGGAATGAAAACGAAGCAACTTGCTTTGGAGTTTGAACGGCATAAAGTTGGAGGGTATTTTTTTTTTTTTTTGGTGTTTGGTTCTATTTAAAAAATTAAATGCATGCAAATATTAATAATTATGCCAAATTATTTTTATCCTTTTTTTTTTGTCTGAAAAAGTAATACTACCTCCGGTCTTTAATATAAGACTCTATTTGACTTTTTGTTTGGTCCTAATTATAAGACTCCAATCCATTTTGTCTCTCATATTTATGCATTTTTTTCCAAGATAGTCCTTCTAATAATGATAGTTATAACCAATACACTTAATTAGCAAGGATATTTTAGGAATGACAACATTTATTTATTACAAATAACTAACTTAACTTACTTCCTTAATCTCCTCAAATAAGTCAACTGAGTCTTATAATTAGGACCGGTAGTATAAACTCTACATTTGTTTATCTTGATTTTTTTGTTTATAATGTTAATGTGAAGCGGTTTGAGATATTTTTTCAGCACAGCGGCGGAGGCTTTGGCGATTCTGACGGGACTGCAAGCCAGTAAACAGCAGATCTTCTGATTTTCAAGGATGTACTTTCAGAATGTCACAAGAGACCTGGTGCGCTTTTGGTTGTCTGTCTCTGTTTGTTTCAAGCTTGGCAAATCTGATAGGATAAAGCTTTATGATTCAGCAAATAAATTCCTGAACTTATTGAGAAGAAATTAATTAAAAAATACAGCGTTTCTTTTCTCCTTCAGTTACAAATATAACGTTACATCATCTGCATTATCACCTGTCAAATAATTGTAAGGAATTGACGGAATGCCGCCTATCTATGGGTAGTTTCAGACCATTGAGGACCTAATTTCTTTTTCCTGGACTACAATGTGCTAGTCCTCTCGATGCAACTACCATCGATTCCCACATATCAATATTCGGATACAATGAAGAACATCAATGATAATATTGTCAGGCAACTAGCCTGAATTCTTCTTTCTCTTAGAGTTGGCCAGATCTGATTCCGTAAATGATCTTTTGACAAGGCCAGATAAGGTTAATTTGAGGTCAAAGGTCAATCTAGGAAGTATCCTTGACAAAGTATTCACATCTACCATGGCCCTATGAGCTGATCCATCCACCTGAATTTTATAGAGCTCACGAAGGGCCTCAAGTGTTGTCGAAGAAAGTTTTGTTCCTGTCAACAACACTGTGTCAGTTACTTCAAACCTGAGCTCCGCATGCGTAATGTGAGGAGGGAGGGAGGGGGGGGGGGCAGAGAGAGACAGAGAGAAAGAAAGAGACCTATAGACTTCTTTAATTCACGTGCCAACGGAAGGGTATCTGCAAATAGCCAGTTAGGAGGAATTTCTACGGAACATCGTCTAAATTCATTAATGATGAAGGGTACATCAAAACAGCGAGCATTGTGACCAACCCATAATACATAGCCACCAGGCTTCTGACGGCTTTGAATATACTGTAATAAGATGGGAATCAGGTCCTCCATCCTACAGAAAATCGAAAAACACAAATAAACGCTCCATGGTTTCCCTTGCCAAATTACGTGAATTAACTATAAGTACAAAATCAATAAAAAACACCATAACAATACTCTTAGCTTTGTCAATCAGCAATTCTCACGCTAAAATGATAGAGAACATTTGAAGCCAATAGATTTGCCTGTTTCTATTGCTCTTTCACTGAGAGCGTACCATGGTCAGACAATCTTCTTCAAACCAACTTTTAGGTGCTGTGTCAACCTAAACCTCGGTGTCCTACCCATATAATGTGAAATGATTTGATCTGTTTATCCAGTCTAAACAAGCATAATTTTAAGTTGTTCTTGGTAGTAGTGCAGTAATTTTGACCTTTCTACAAAATTGCCATAGGTACAGAATCTGGAAAGCGTAAACGGATGGTGAGACCAGAAAAAAAAAAAATTCCACAGAAGATTACCTTGGAACATCGGGCCTGTTTACCATCTTTGTGGTAATGCCATGAATATAAGAATTACTAACATCACGTTCAGGTTTACGAGAGTTTGGAAGGTGCTATTCTCACCGCCTTGAAGATCTCGGAGTGCAATCTCAATGATCCGTCCATCTACTCTGCTAAGCCCAGTAGTCTCAATATCAAAAACAATAGTAGTGACTTTGCTAGATAAATCTTTATTCTGAGCGATCTCTTGCTGTATGTCGCAGGATTGAAAATCCTGGAAATGAACTAGCTGTGCTTTATTTACATTTAATGCAGAACTTGCCAATACCGTTTCACTTGAAATTTCAGGCTTGATGATTCCTGTCCTGGTGCTCCAGGTGGCTTGTTTATTTCCTTTTCCCTCTGTTTTTGTAGTTACAGGTCTTCTATTACTCCACTTCTTACTGTGCCCTCCATTCTGCCCATAAATTCTAGAACAAAGTACCCTAACACTAGAATTATTACCATAAATCTTTCTTGAGCTGTGGAAGGTTTCATCCCAATAATTAGCTATGCTGTGTATTCTGCATCTGGGTACTTGTAATAATGAAAAAAACATGGTTCCTATCTTCATCTGAATCCAATACAACTAAGCAATATTGTATGACCAATAACTCATCACTTTATAGGCCAGCAGCTACAACCTGCAACACCGCATAAATAGTAATGATTGGGCTAAGAAATTACCACACCAGCATAAATTATTGTGCAAGACTTACCTGCCATTAGATGCTTAACCAACACAAAAGCAAGACATAAACTTTGAGTTATAGATTCATGAAGAAAAGAGAGTTTTCACGGAGAAAAGAATCAGTCATGGTTCAAAGGTTATGAATACATGGATTTATCTGACATATCTTAATACTTTTGTAATTATTAAACCTGGGGCAACATTTTACTTATCAAACCTCAAGTTCTTTTGTAAAGTAAAAGAAGGCATCGTTAAGGCAAATTGTCCAAACACCCACAATGAAGTAATTCCTGAATCAAAGAAAGAGAAATTGGATTTTGCCATGCTAGACCAACAACAAAAACCTACAGAAAAGTAAAGGGACAAGTTCAGATCCAAATTTTCGTCAGACTCAGGAAACAGAAGGTCGGTAACATTCAGTTTCATTATATCATATATATGATAATGTCTGCAACAATAGTTTATTGTGCAACAAAAATTGCTCCATAATCAATTAAAGCATATTATTCAATTAAATCAAACCTTTAAAAAGATGTTGATGTGTTTTGTCACGCTAATTACATCAAATTGCCTTGTGTAACTTCAAACAATTATAGACCAGCATTCCCTTTCTGAAAATATCCCACAACTCCCCCACAAACAAGAAATCGAAGAAATCTGCTGGAGTTCATTATGCCAATTGATAATGTGATAGCAGCATGAACAGCATATTATAAGCAAGAAGGCGTGAATTAATTGATAAGGCAGGAATTTCAATAAGACATGGATTTTACAAACAGATACACTAAGAGCACTTCCATAAAATCTACATCAGCAATATCAAGAGGCATATTAAGATGAACACTAGAAAAAGATTTATAGATGGATGAAGAAAAGGAAAGCAAAAAAAATCATCGCAATATAAAAGCTATTGGTAAGTCGCTCAACCAGGACAAGGACCTTAACTACTAGTTGAAATTAAAACAAGAAAATCAATCATACTTTGTACTAAACACCAAGGACGTTAATTCCTGACATATATGCTCGCAACATTTTCTTATTGAACTCAACCCGTTGAATATGACTGGGGAAACAGAAGCTCGACTTCAACTTTAGAAGAAAATAAAATCATAAGAAGCTTAGATTCAACATCGAGTCCGCCAGAAGTCGCCCATTTTGAAAATGTCCCACGCAAGCAGGCAGAAAAGAACAGAGTTGAATGGAAAGTAGAGAGTAAACAAGAAAACTTGCCTGATGGTGGCGGTAGGTCCAGAAGACAAACAAAAGCATTAAGCTTGAAATCAGAATGAAAGTCAATCTACTTAAAGGCGAGAGAGAGGAGCGGAGAAGAAGAAGGAACGTGAGATCATGTGGAGCGAGCGAGAAGAAACATCGGAAAACAGCGCAACTATGCCCACCCCCAATGACAACGTAACTTGCGGATCGCCTTGTTAGATGTGCGTTCTTTTCTACTCCACTCAACCCCTTCTTCGTTTTGCCAAATAATCTTGTTCACGGATTAGATTATCGTGACAGGTTTTTAGCTCATAAAATTCAAACGAGTTATTACGCTATGTGAAAATATTTAGATGTGTTAGGTTCGGAAAATATTAATTATTTTCAACACACGCTTTGAATGGGTTAAATCTATTTTCTTCCAAAGAAAAACACAAAAAAGGAAAAAGAAAGACTTCTTTTGGTCCTGAAAGTTAATTTATATTTATACATCTATCCTTGAGTGATTCACGAGTTCATAAATGATTGATTTTAAAATTTCGGGTTAACAAGTTGAATTACTCCAAGCACATGCTCCGTTTTGATGTTGGTGACGAGTGCAAATCTCATCTAATTCAACAATTATTATTATTATGGTCGAAAAGAGCAAAGTATCGTGTGCGATTATGCGTTGCTTGAGATGGTAGGCTACGTTAAAGATGTTTCTTGCTTCACAACTTTTCCCAGCTTCAGGGTCTTCTGAAAATTAGGAAATGAGTTTTCTTTTCCTTTACCAAAAAAAAAAAAAACAATTTAACCATCTTATATATGGGAGTAAACCAATTCACCCACCAAGTACCAACAAACACGCATCCCCTTTTTTTGTCATTTTAATAAATATCTTTCACTAAAAAGGGTGCGGAATGTGATTAAATCAAGACATCCTTACTCTGGGTCCCTATAATTTATTTCACTAGGAACCAATATAGCTTCATTGTGTAGAAGAGTTGATCTTTTTGTTTGTTGATCAGTGTTTACGTGATTTTAACGGTGTAAATTAACTAAAAGCCATGTAATCATCCAGGGAGTAAATGCGAAATTTCCAGAAAACACCGTTATTGCCTTCCTTTTTTTTGTGGGAAATATCCCGTTATTGTTGAGAGTTCAGAAGACGTATTGTAAGGCCATCCGAAAAGAACGGCTCAAATATGTAAGTTCATGAACGACAACGTGTGTCCTTTTTTTAATTTTAAAAAAAAAAGGGCACCTCATAGCATCCATAGAATTAGGCAGGGATCAGGGACTCGGGTTTTTGATCTGCTTTACTTCTTTTTCATTTTTATTTTTGGGGGGCCGGAATCAAACGGGAATATGCCCAGTAGCCAAAGCAAAGCTAGACAAGCTTGGGAGATTCGTTGTATTCCCACAGGAAGAAGAGGGAATAACTGAATTCTTGGGGGAAAAAAGAAAGCTTATTTAAATATCACAAAATTAACATTTTAGAAGACACTGCATTTTTCTTTCCAGTCAGTCAACACGTTTTAATTTAATAGCTTGTTTCCCTTGGCACCTTGGCAATGCCCTGGACCCTGGACCCTGGACCCTGGACGACAAGAGAGGGGATCGGCGATTGAAAAATCAGACTCAAAGCTTCAGTTGAAAGTAAGGTTCAAACTTCAAACCTGGAGTGGCTTCTAATCCAACAAGTTTAGAAAAGAAACAACGAGAAGCCCAAAATGGATCCAATTCACGTGCCTCACATGGACACCAACCCTCCCATAGATTTTGGGCCATTGGAAATAACGACAGAGCAAAGCCTTGCGGTGCGAGTGACCCAACAGAATACAGAAAGCCCACAATCGCTGGCCAGTGGCCAGGCACCTGTTTAGGTATGCATGCAACCTTGATACCTTTAGCTGACACTGTTATGCTACGTACACACGCTCTTCTTTGGCCATCACTCTAATGAGTTTACCTAAAGGTCACCAATGGCGTAACCGAAACACCATGCTTCGAATATGATTCAGGGCAACACTTAATATAATATGTACAGTGAAATATTTACATCAATTGAGCATATTCCCACCACCAAAAAAAAAAGAAGAGGAAAGTAGTCGCTATTCCTAATTCCTATGACAAATGTCTCCTTTGCCTTCGACTTTCTATCCCCGAAACACACTCCAAACTTTGTTTCATTCCCCTGTAAGATGAACCCAGGGAATTTCGCTTCATCAATGCAAAGAACAACTATACACGCCTACAGAAACTAAGAAGTTAGCCACCGTATGAAACCAAAAAGGGTCACGTTGACTGGGGTTATCTTAAAATTGTTAACCCCACTCCCTCGAGATTTGTTTCCCTCTAAGCGAAAATAAAGCCACAGGATAATGCCATCAAACAGAAAGCCGCTTCCTCCACTTCCCCTAACTTCCTTTTCCTCTGGCATCTCTGTTTCTTCAAAACCGCCGGCACGCTCTGCAATGAAACCTCCTCACTCCATCCTATCGTGTTCCTTTCCACCGATTCCCTCACCTGATTGTCATTAGTGGCTGTAGCAGCGGTGGAGATGACGGTGACGGTGACAGCATCAGCAGCGTCACCGCTAGAATTATGAGCTCTATCTCTTTTCCCATCCAGCCCTCTGTTGAATCTGACCGCAGACGTCCTTCTCTTCCTGTATCTAATCCCACAAGCGTTGCATAGCGTCTGCATCACAAAATACTGGTTTCTCAGATTCTCTTTCCCAAAACCAAAATTCGAGGGCCAAGGCTATCTTCATAGTAATTGCGACAAGGTACGACATACATGAAGAAAAAGTTGAGCCATGTGTGGCACGGCCGGTGAGAGAAGTCGAACTTCAGTAGGGGGAAAAAGGTTGTAATAAATAATATGGCCTACAACTAGGGACCCCTAAATCAACATAAATATGTAATAAAAACACAAAAAAAGCAACAGGTGACCACAAAAGTGGATCGTATTCAAATATGAAACTGAGTGAAAAGAAAAGTTGACGGCACGAGAAAAGATTACTATCCCAAATAAAGTTCAATTTGCAAAAAAGCCACGCCAAACCATATGAACCAGGGGAGGACGAGGTGAAATTGGAGGAGTCGTAGTTATTTCCATGAAGAATCAAAAGTGAACAGAGATGGATTGGATAATAACACACCACCAACCTAAAATTGACCCCTGACCGACCGGATTAAAATAAAGATGATAGTCGAGAGTTCACTTGAAGACAAACAAAGAAAACCCATGAGCTGCTAGAAAGTGGGGGGGGAGTAATGTCAAGCGAGAATGAAATCATAATGAGTTGCAGTGGTGGGCATTACCTTGGGCCCAGCTGGCCCTCCTCTCCAGAGTGGGGTTTTCGTGGTTCTGCAATCAGTGCAGCACTTATTGACGTCACCCGATTCATCCGATGAAGATTCCTGCGTTGTAAGCAACACATATTAGAATTATTAAGAGGAGACGACCCCGATTAATGCAACAGTGGAAACTCATAATTCACTCAGGAGCCCACCTTCACCTTTATATCCATCATTACCATCGACCTACCGCAGCAAGAATTCAAATCAAGCAGATCTTACAATCACCAGAGGAAGAAAAACGCATGGGCTAGGGAAAAACGCATAGGTTTATATGGCCAAACAAAATTGAGGAAACCTCGGGGAGAAACCAGAAGCAGAGCAAGCGTGAGAAAGGTTGAAAATGACAATGGAGAAAGTAAGAATTGTAGTGAGGAAAGGCAGGAAGGAAAATGGGATGATGGAAGAGATGCAGAGAAAGAACCGACAGGGTGAATATACGCAAAACCCTAGCGCGGGGCAATAAAATGACAGGAATGCCCCCAGTGTTGCGCAAAATTCAACGGGGGCAACCCGCCAAATTTCACAAAATGGCGCGACCACGTGTGCGGCTGCCGTCTGGCGTCTGCGCGCGAAAGAAACAGAAAATTCAGGAGCCCTCTGGTCTGTGCAGCCTCCACTACAAAGCCCCGGATCCCAGTTCCACGTCCCCCATGTGGTACAAACTACAAGGAAATGATCCCTTTGAAAAAGAACTGGAAGCTTTGGATTTCTGAGAAGGGTTTATTTCATTACTTTGATGGAAACAACGTTCTAATGGAATTTGTGGATTATCCTTAATAAATTATGATAACAACATTTCCGGCCCCAATAGCCTTGGGGGTCGATGGTGGAGCGAGGAGCATTGATGATACGGGCCCTGTGGACAGCGGCGGTGAGCGGAGGGTGAAGGGTGGCTAACGACCACATAAGCCATTCCGCCAGCAGCAATAACAGAACCCACTTGCGGTGGAGCATCCGACTGCCACCATTTGAATGCCCAATCAATCAAGACACCACCCTTGCTCCGGGTTTTTATTTATTTCTTTGAATATTAAATCATCCAAAATTATTTTTCGGAGTCCGAATAACTTTAATCTAAAAAATTCTTCTTTCTTTTTTTTGGGCCAACAATCTTAAAAATTCTATCGCATCATACAAATATCCAAGTATAACAAACAAACAACAAGCCTTATCCCACTAGGTGGGGTCGGCTACATGAATCACACGACGCCATCGTGCTCTGTTAACAACCTAATCCTTAGATATGTTGTTGATTAGGAGGTCTCGTTCAATGACCTCATTCAGCGTTCTTCTCGGTCTTCCCCTGCCTCTTTTTATGGGACTCCATCTTGTTTGATCCACCCTCCTTACCGGGGCCTCCAAAGGCCTTCTCTGCACATGTCCAAACCATCTTAAGCGATTTTCAACCATTTTCTCTTAGATAGGTGCCACACTGACTCTTGTCCTGATCTTTTCATTTCGAATCCTATCTTTTCTTGTATGACCATACATCCATCTCAACATCCTCATTTCTGCTACTCCGACTTTGTGCTCTTGTTTTCCCTTTATTGCCCAACATTCACTACCATACATCATAGCTGGTCTTATAGCAGTCCGATAAAATTTTCCTTTAAGTTTCTCAGGTACCTTCTTATCGTAAATAACTCCGATAGCTTTCCTCCACTTTAACCAGCCAGCTTGTATTCTATGAGAAATGTCTCCATCAATTTCCCCATCCTCCTGTATAATAGATCCTAAGTATTTAAACTTTGATACTTGAGGAACAAATATCCAAGTATTTAAACCTAAATATATTTTTTAAACTTCCTATTTCTGATCAAATTAAGATAATATATACCTTTTATTCGTAATTTATCTTTATAACCAATCCATATTATTAACTTATTTTGAAAAAAAATTAACCACTAATCCGCTAATTCTAATTCAATCGGAAGTACATCGAGTATCTAAAATTAATACCCAATGTTCCATTCTGCAGTTTAAAATTTAAATTTAATTTAAATATGCTGGATGATTGAATTAAAAAACCTCGGTAATTTAAAATGTCGCGTTAACGGTAAATGCTGAATCAGCAGGACACCAGTCAGATAGAAGAGTCGGCCTGCCTTCAAAGCAACTATATATGTAACGTTTGAGAATACATCGTTTTCTAAATAAATTTCACATAGCAAAATAATACGACTCTAAAAGGACGGAATGAAAAACAAAAGCTAGAAAATAAATTTCATCCACAAAAAGGCTTACGAGAGACGCGTAGGAAAGCAAAAAATCCATCACTGCCCTGGCCAGACAACGGCTTTTGGAATTTGACAAAAACACCCAAACTAGCAAAGGGAATTTAGCGACTCAATGTATAGCAATAGGAGGAAAAATCATGACTCCACTAAGTTTATAACGCCAGAACACTGGGAATAATGACCTGGCAAAAGAACTCGAGTATATAATTCTGGAGCGGCAAGAAACCAAGCCACCCATCTAACTCCCCATGACATGTAAAAAACCAGCTGTTGCAAAAACCCGAGCCGGCCCAGCAACCTTCTATTTACCAAGGCTGGATCCCCCATAAGGATCCAGAGCGCAATGACGACATGGACTTGATTCCAAACTGTTGTCCCGTCTTACAGGGGGAATATTCACCGATACATCAGCCAAGAATCTAGCAGTCAACCGAGTTCCAAATAATGTCAATACAACACGAAAAACATGCAGGGTGGCAAAACTTAATTTACAATTTCTACTCAAGAATTAAGAGACAACTAATTATGCCAAGCCAAATTTATGAAGGATGACATTCCAGAAACGTATAGATACCTTCAATTAAAGTTGAATCCCCCGGACGGCACAGCAGGAACTTCAGGGCCACCAAAGTTGAACCCTGACTGGGAAGTGTCCCCTGGAGGCATAGTCTCATCTTCTTCCTCCAACCAATATGTCTCCAGAATTTTCACTGCCTTCTCATAAATCTCAGCGTTATCATGAGTCTGTAGATTCTCAATTTTCTCCAGACCCTCAGCATCATCAATCAATTGGGCATATAGATTCACACCCCCTGTATTACCCATATTTTTATCAGCTTCTCCCACCTTCAAGATGTTTTCAAGCCCCTCAAGACAAACAGTCACAATTCTGGGATCTGGGCATATGAGAAGATCACACAAGGGCTTAATACACCCCTGACCTACGAGGTACCTGTCAATCAAAGAAATACAATCAACATCTGACAAAATTGCAACACCACTAAATCCCAGGGAAAATTACAAGAAGCAGCCTCTTCCCATACTTGATTTGATCATGAGATCCACCAGATGTAGCATTAGAGATAGCCCAAGCTGCCTCTTTCTTGATATCAAACTCAGCATTTTGAAGAAGGTGAACAAGAGGACCAATTATATTAGCCTCCATTACAGCCTATTTAAGAGAGAGAAAAAAGTATATATTTCTGTCAACATGAGACCGGAAAAATGACAATTTTCAAGCATCCCAAAATGTCATTACAGCAAAACTGAACACAAGAAACTTAAAAACAAACCTGAATCTGTTGTTTATTCCCAGCTGTGATATTTGATATGGTCCAACAGGCTTCCTTCTTTATGCTTTTTTTATAGTTGTTCGTCAATAAGTTCAAAAGACAAGGAAGTGCTTGATGGTTGATTATAACCTATACATGAACAGAAGCACATTCAGACAAAAATAAACAAAAAATTTAACAGTGGACAAGGTCAAGTCTCTTTCAAGAAGTAACATATCGAGTAAATCGTTTAGGAGTAGGGAGGAAATCTCAAAGGAGTCCAACATTTTTTTTTTTTTTGGGAAGGTGGGGAATGGGGAGGAAGCTAGTAACAAGCTAAGAAAGAATTGGCTGTGAGCAGACAGATACAAGTCATTAACGTTCACTGTGAACTGGAACCAGCATAGCTAGAGAGACCCAAGGAAGGTTCAGACACCAGCTGAAAATATTTCTTCCATATGCTCAACATTAACAAAAATCACTTAAAAAATATGAACAAGTGAAGCAACGACTAGCAGACAATTCTTCAACGAAATAACAAATGAACAAGGCATGCTATCACTTATTATCTTGAAATTAAAATAAAATGAACACTATGAACAACAAGACACATTCCTGAACAATACCTGAGTCTGCATATCATCTCCAGTGACAATATTTCCAACTGTACGAAGAGCAGGTATAAGCACAGAAGGAGATGGATGCCTGTATAAGAGCAGACGATTATGAGTTCCTTGCCAACCCAGGATGTAATGCATTACTGAACAATCATAAAAGACAAGCAGAGTACTCACAACAAAAGCTCAACAAGCCGATGACATACACCAGCTTCAATTACAGCTTGAATTTTGTCATTTGTGCCATCAGATAGATATGAAAGTGCCCAGCAGGCATCAGTCAAGACTTCTTCATCATTTGAGTGGATAAGACGCGCAAGAGCAGGGAGTGCAGGTTTTACCTGTGTAAACCGATCAATGAATGAACGGATGAACGCGTTTAATGAAAGAAAAACTTGTGAAGCCATCAGTGACTGATAGACATTGAAAATATTTCAAACACAAGTGATGAGGCCTTCAGTGAAGAAATGAAAGTGAATTACATTAGGCTGCTTATATGCCAACCTGAACATCTTGGGGGGAAAATCAGAAAGAGAGAGAGGGAGACAAATAGAGAAGCCAAAATCCATATTTTTCTACCTGTTCAAAGGGAGGTTGTGGCTTGCCCCTGCAGAAATTTGAAAGCGTCCAGGTAGCATTTCTAAGCATAGAAAGCTTAGCTTGTTCATTCAACTGTGTCAACAGAGGAAGCAAGGCCCCGTGACTAAGAACAAGATCACGGCACCTGGGAGAATCCCCAGCAACATTTCCTAATGCCCACACAGCCTGTAAGGCCCAACAACAAAGGGGGAATAGAGGAGGGTCAAATCATCTGAAGTCATGCAAAGATGGCACAACAAGGTATTCTCGTGCTAATTGTCAACTACACATTAATAACACTCAGAACACCAGGCAGGTATAGAATGAAAGACAACATACGCTCCTATTCCAAAATCATGACGAATTAAAATACTTGCCAGTCAACAGCTGCTCTTCTAATTTCAAACCAGCAAAACGAAATAAAATCAAAATTAAATATATTCTTCCAATTTTCTCCCATTTCTCATTTATACAATCATGGATGGCAGGTGTTCCAGCTGCAGCAAGATAGCAGCCATCAATGACATTGGATCATAATTCTTATAACTGTAGAAAATAACAGTTAAACCTAAAGGCAACAAAAAGTGAGAACAACATCAACGGACTTCAAATTATGAAGAAAGTAAAGGTAAATGATTCAAGCCCATTTTTCCACACTCATTAGCCCACTACAATATTGTACGTCGACATTCGCATAAAATCCCCCTCCCAGACCTCTAATACCACATTCCAATAAACCTACGTCAAATATTGGCAACGACCAATATTGAAGTGCATAGTCCACAGGCAACTTATAATATCAACAACCAGAATTCTAATTAGAAAATTTACCTAATCGCCTATTTCACTTAGGCTAAAGAGTGTTCATGCAATTCCAGCTAGAACCACACTGAAAATTGACTAGAATATGAATATGAAGAAGAGAAGCATATGGGACAACATAATCAACTAGTCTCTGCTGACTAAAGGCGCAAAGAGCCAACTCCGATGATCATCGGCGATGCCCAGCTCACAGAGAACGACTAATTTTTGAATTAAACAAAGATCATCGGTGACTCCAACGATCATCAGTAACCATAGAATACAAAATTAGGAATCAAACAAGCTTCAGAAATAAAATGAATAGGGATTAACGAATTTCACCTTCTTCTCTACGGCAGTAGAGTGTATTGAAGCAGGCATCTGCTGAGATTGAAGGCCCTCGCGCCTCTTCTTCTGCAAGCTCTCTTCTCTGCGGTTCTTTCGGATCTCGACCATGGTATCCTCTCGCCGTCTACGACCTTCCTCGGCATCTACGGCAACCTTGTATCGATTCCGACGGACCTCGGTCCTGGAGTTACCGGTAGGGCGATACGACATGGTGATGGAATCGAAAAGAAGCAATTAACAAAAACTTGTAAAAGCGAGCGAGAGTAAGAAGCTATTTTGCACGTTCGTGGAACCGTAGGGTTTCGGATATATTGAGAAGGATGGGGGGCAAGAGGGAAGAAAGGAGGGGTTTAGTTTATCCCAGGGCTTGAAACGCAAGAAAAGCAAGAGAGGGCCTTATAAAAGAAAGGGGAACGACAGGTGGCGAGGAAACAGGACCTGGATCGGCTCACATTTGCGGAAGTGCCACCAGTTTGAATTTTTTTTTTTTTTTTGAAAGTAAATGCCACCAGTTTGAATTTGAAGATGAGGCAGGAACTCACTTTGATTGGATGAAACAACTGGAAAAGGGTCCTACTCCTACGCCGCTAAACGCCGTCAACTGGAAAATTTGGGCTAGGGCTTCACCCGTAATTGTAAGGCCCAAACCCTCGGACGTTTGCGCTCCAAATTTTTCTTTTTAATATATATTCGTATCAACATTTGCCCTGCAAATTTTAATTTTTTTGTGTCTGTTCGGGGTGAAATGAGAGGTTTAAAATATGTGTTTTCTTTTTATTTTTATGGCCACAAAAAAATGTTTCAAAACCTGAAATAACCCAAAAAGAAATTTAAATATAAAAATTAAAGCTTTGAATTTATGCAACATGCCAATGTATATTACATCGTTGCAATTTGACGGCAAACGAATGAAAAAAAAAAAAAAAAGGAGCGATGAAGAAGAGCGTGGGGTTGTGATGAAGAGATGAAGAGATGAAGAAGATACAAGAGAATAAAATAATGAAAAACCTCACGGGGAAATGTGCAAGAATGCCGTTGAGATTATTCCGTGTGTTTGTTGCGGCACAGAATGAGGTGTCAAAACAAACATGACCGTTGCAGATTTGAATTTTAAAAACAGAGCTGCCGAGTCACACTCACGGAGGCATATATGTGGAGACCCCCCCGGGGGGGGGGGGATGGGGAAGGGCGGTTTGGGGGGGAAGCAGGGGGTGATGCTGCTAAGGCCGAGGAGGAGAATGGCCGATGGATCTTTGTAACAAACTACCATAGCGGAAGCCAACCCCCTCAATTGTCATTATATTGCACCACTGACAGTGTTGAAGGATGCAACTTGCTGGCCTGAGAGGCCAGTCATCACCGTCCTTATTTCCATGCGGTGAACGAAGCTGGAATCTGTCTCACCTAAAGGTTGGGATGTGTTCTTAAATTTTACTTGTGGAGATATATATGGCGCATTATTTAAATACTGTTTTGATTATCTGTTTCACTCCTCCGTGCATTTACATTTCAACATGGCATAATATCCCATTAGGGGGGGGGGGTGGCTCTCCACTTTGCACCACCCGAATCCTCCTCGATCCAGTCCACACTACCTATTACTCCATAACTTATCAGACGGGCAGCACAATATGCGATGAATTTTCTCTACCATCATCTCTGTGGTTGCAGCGTCCCCCCAGGTCTTCTTCGCCCACGCAACGTTACTCCGTTGGTATTATTTACCTTCACAGCGCCGAGGTTGGCAGCACTTCCACGCATATCAGACATTCTAAGTGCCGTCTGATTAGTTATTCCCGCGCCACCTCATTTCAATACCATCTCTCCGCAAGTATATCAAATGCGTATCCTGTGCTCCATGCACTCTCCTCCCCCCGCCCACCCGATGCAGTCACTGTGCATATCACTTTATGGGTAACACATTTTAACAACTACTCCACATTATTGACACCTTTCTTTAAAATTCAGAGATTTTGTAGTATCCCAAGAGGCTAACTGAAACGCCTAAAAAAAAGAAAATGTTTGAGTGACCACGCAGCCCCATCCTGATCCGCAGGACTCATTTATTTCATTCCTCTTTAAAATGCCCCCGACCCACGCCCGATTACCCGTATCATAAAAGGGAAAATTAGAGAGAGGGACCAGGTAGAAATGATATTTATTGGAAAAGATCTTAAAAACCTTAGAAGGACCCGATATTAAAATATAAACTTCAAAAGACTGAAATCACCCCTCTTCCCTCACCACCTCCTATCATTTTTATATCATTTAGCAGAATAATTACGATTTTTTGAATTAATTCAAGCTGATTTAGATTTCAAAGTCAGACACTGATTATAGTTAATTAAATTAATACCCAACACTAGTTAATTTTTTTTCTATTTTTTAATTAGTAATTTTTTGTAACCTTTGTGAAAAATGAACAGAGCAGTTAAGTTCTCCCATTCATCCCAAGAGGCTAACTGAAACGCCTAAAAAAAAGAAAATGTTTGAGTGACCACGCAGCCCCATCCTGATCCGCAGGACTCATTTATTTCATTCCTCTTTAAAATGCCCCCGACCCACGCCCGATTACCCGTATCATAAAAAGGGAAAATTAGAGAGAGGGACCAGGTAGAAATGATATTTATTGGAAAAGATCTTAAAAACCTTAGAAGGACCCGATATTAAAATATAAACTTCAAAAGACTGAAATCACCCCTCTTCCCTCACCACCTCCTATCATTTTTATATCATTTAGCAGAATAATTACGATTTATTTGAATTAATTCAAGCTGATTTAGATTTCAAAGTCAGACACTGATTATAGTTAATTAAATTAATACCCAACACTAGTTAATTTTTTTGTAACCTTTGTGAAAAAATTTTTTGTAACCTTTGTGAAAAATGAACAGAGCAGTTAAGTTCTCCCATTCACCAAAAAAAAAAATGTTCCATATTTTTGCTTTACCATTCACAGAAAAAAAAAATTGTTTCATGTTTTTGCTTATCCATTTCATACTATTATTTTATTATTTTATTTGAATAAGTTGAACCCTCTTACTTAATAAAATTAAAAATTTAAAATAAAAAATGACATAAGAAATTCATTATATCAACAATTATTTGTCATAATAGAAGTAATTGTAAAAGTTTGGGTGAGAAAATTCAAGTTAGACCTACATTGACATTTTTTATTCTTGTTAATTATGGATTAAGTTACAATTATTATTATTATATTTTTTTTTAATTTTTAATTCAACTATTATGATTTTGATCGGCTGATTATTCACGAAGCCCTAAAAAAGAGTTTCATTTTTTTAAATAATGGACGAATAAATTAATTAGTTACTTATCATTTTTTTAAAAAAAATTTTAAAAAAAATGGACGAATAAAGTAATTAGTTACTTATTAATTGAGTTTAATTTAATTAGTGAGAATTATTTCATAACTTTGTAATTCCATTTAGTTTGAATTAATTTAAATAAAGTGTAATTATTTTGTCAAAAAAATTATAAGACGTGATGAGAGATAAAATACGGGATCTTATTAAAAACAAATTGGTAATTTTAAATTTATATTTTAGCATTTAGTCTTTTTAAATAAATACAAATTTTAAAATTTTTTTTATAAATATTGTTGTCCTTATGTCTCTCTCCTCAATTTTCCTATCATAAAATTATAGAATTATTGGCATTCAACTGGTCACGTTAAACCCATCATACGAACGGACGGCTTCCACCTGTTTATCCCTCACAGTTAATGCAAACCTTTCAGCCGCCCTCGCCCATGCCTTGCACATTCGGGCAAGTAACAAAGCCACCACGATCTCCAAACGAATGACGCCGTCAGACCCCAGAAAATCCCGGATGAAGTTAAATAGAACAATCACACGGGGAAAAGAAAGCGGTGGGTGGACCCTGAAACCAGCCAGGACCTCTCTGTTACACCGACGGAAATATTCTATATCCATACGGGGCCCACGAACTGGATCCAACCCTTCAACCTCCATCTCATCTTACTACGAAGTATAAACATGAATTTGCTCTGGTACATTCTGCCCCCACAATTTTTGCATGCTCCACGTGTCTCCAAACGTGGCCATTTGATCCACGCGACCCCAAGACTTACTATGAAAACACTTATTTTATTCTCACTTAAATATTTTTTTAGTAATGGTCTGTCTGGGTAAATAAAAAACTCAGAACACAACGCGCGTGCAAAGAAACAGGAAGAGGCGGATTTATTTGGTGCAATTGTTCCAGAACCAAACCCAATTTCTCCCAGCTTCCCCATTCGTAATTAAATGCTACACTCCATTTCTGCTGGGGAAATTTTTAACCATTACAAAAGAAGGTGAAAATTACACAACACCACGAATTCAATGCTAGCGGCGAGAGTTGCTGCGTTTAGCTGCGCTGCCCCTTGGCGCACTGACACGTCCCCTCTTGCCGCTCGTTTGCTCATCCTTCGACTCGAAGCTCATCTCATCTCCGCCAACCATTTCTACGAACATCCTTTGTAGATCTTCCAAACTGTTCCCCTATACATGATATAATAACCATTAAATCACACGCACCTTCACCAATTCATTCTATCATGCCATTCTTCTAATCAAGAAAATTGCTATAATCAATTAGGCAACAGTACCTCATCCTTCACATTGTTCATCATCGAGATCATTTCGTTCATGAAGTCACAGAATTCCTGATCCCGTGGTTAAACAAGCAAAACAATGATTATTAATTAGTTAAAATATTCTTTTCAACTTTAATTTTAAAAACGCATGCCCTGTTATGTTCCACTTAATTAACCGCATCGTACCCGAGGTCAGGATGTGTAATTGTGTGTAAATTAACGCAGCAAAAAAACAGGGAATATAAAAATCTATTACCGAGCACAAGGCGAGACAAACGATATCGTCGTTTCAGCGTACGCCCAAACGACGCAAGTTTTGCCTCGCCCTGTTTACGGCACAGCGTTTTCCTGAGCTATATCAAGGAAACTATACGAACTTCGTCTTCTTCTTCTAAAGGATCGTAGAATCCGGCGTCGTACATTGACCTTTTAGACTTATCGGAAAGAACTGCAACAGGAACACAACAGTAACTAAGTTTTAATGTTGATCCAAAGCGTAACTTTGGATTCACAACAATGAAGCGATGTTAATGTTCTATAACCTGAGTAAGCTTCTTGAATTTGCTGGAATCGCCGCTTGGCTTCTCCGATTATTGCAATGTTTCCAGCCCATCTGTCCGGGTGCCACTTCTGCTCAACCACAACACAAGATAAAATTAGAAAGATTCAAACTTCAAATTTTCTCCACCGCCCGTTACAAGTAAACTCCAAAATTGACAAACGCGGGCATGGAAAACACGGCAAAACGAGTATAAGTTTGAAGAACCTACAAATCTCTGTCAAAAAACTAATCCACAGAATATTTCCAAGTCCTCAGAAACAAAAAAGGCGCCGAATTATATAGTTTGACGAACGAGAAAAACAATTGACAGACTAAGGAAGAAGAGCCGAGAGCAGCAAAACCAAGGCGTATCGTTACCAAAGCGAGGTTCCGATAGGCGGTACGGACATCAGAGAAGGAGGCGTCCCTGGGAATCCCGAGGATGGCGTAGTAGCTAGATCCGTCATGGGATCCTCCCTCCGGATCCATGGAAGAACAGGTCCAAAGAAATGCAGCTCCAACGGGCTCGATCAGAAGACAACCGGAGATCAAGCGGCTCGAAACAGGTCCAATCAAAAAATTAAAAAGATACGATGAAAGAATGCAGAAAAAGAGAAGCGCAAAATTTCATGGGATGAAAAAGAGGATGGGGGAGGAGAGAGAAAGACAGTTGAGAAAGGGAGAGAGAAAAAATATCTTCTCCGCCAGATTAGACCGGAGGAAGATATTAGGGAAGAAAGTTCCAGATATCTCACCCTGCAAAGACAGATATTTTTGTGACGAGGAGCCACTTCATCCCTTTAAAAGCTACGTCACTCTGTTCCGGCCGCAGCCCGTTCAATTAGATAAATCTGATTCTAATTATAAAAAGCGGCTGACTAATCAATGAATAGTAAGTAAATAAGTTAAACTAGTTATTTGTACTAAATAGGTGTTGTTTCTTATAAAATATTCATACTAATCAAATTTATTAGTTAAAACTAATATTATTAGAAGAACTATCATAAAACAATATATAAATATAAGAAATAAAATGCATCAGCTTTTTATAACCATAACCAAAATAAAAATTGAGATCTTGTCTTTCGACAGGAGGTAGTATAAATCGGATTCGGACTTCAAAGACAACGAGAAGAAGATCACAACCGAGGTCTTTTTAATACGGGGAAGGCCCATTGTCATTACAGCCCAGATATGTTACAGACTCGAACCAAGCTAGTTTAATTTAATTAATCAAAATTAAAAAACAACCCGGCAGCAAATTAGATCCAATTATTAGAAGGGATGGCGCTGGCGGGAAAGAGATGTGCGTGCGGGAGACATGAGCCATAACGCAGCAGCCCGAATCTTACTCCATCTGCTTCTGCGTCCGTCGTGGGTGGAAGGAGGCGCATCAGAATGAAGGAGACAATGGAGAGGACTGCTAGAGCCTGCTTCCAACACCAAGGGGTTGGAAAGAAAATGATCTAGAGATGAATATGGAGAGTAGAGCAGATCCCACTCATATTCTTGCCCTGCAGCATATTAAATCACTGAATCAGCATTATGTCCATGTGATTTGAATTTAAATGTTTGCATGGCTATTACTACCTTGTTGGGTGGCTGGGAGGTCAACTTGCTGGGGAGCCCCTCCATCTGGTGGCATGCCATTACTGGACTCCCCAGTTTGTACAGTTCCTAGCTCCTCCAGATTCACTGGCAGTGCCACAAAATCTTTCTCATTTTCATATGCTTCCTTCTTGGCCACCTCCACCAAACGCTGCCACCACACCGCACCGATTAAACTCTATACCTTCTAACCTTAAACTAGCTGAGAATTTAATTAATTGAAGGCGGAATACTACAGTAAGTGTTGATTTGTGGGTAATGAATGGGCTTGTTTGTAACTGGGCTGGGAATGGAAAATGGGCCTGTTGCTTCTTCAAGTGGGCCCGTGACAGGTGGTTTCCGTTAAGATGAACCCCGGGGGCGATCTGTGTAGAGGGTGTGTGAATGAATTGAGTCAAGCTTCCCCCCCACGTCATGATCCTCGTTCTCCCACCGTCTTGTTTCTGTAATGTTCTATTTCTCAATAGTCTGGTTTTATCTTTCCTTTCTTTATATTGTTGCTATTCTGTTGCCTAAATATATTGGGTATCTCTGGAGTTTCTGGATAGATACTTTACCCCGTCAAGCTGATCTCCCTCCGTTCACAGTTTAAGAGTATCCATGACAATATCTAAGTCATAGGATGAATTGTAAAAGACGTCGACATGCAACCAAACCAAATGAATCCTACGATAACCTAAGATGTAATGAAGTTAATAAGTTGAAAAGTGAACAGCCTACGCAAACTTGGCGTTCAAAATGCCAAACTACAAAGAAACTAAATAACGCTCGATCAAACTATTATCAAGCTGGAAGAAAGTAAAAAAATCCCCCCCCCCCCCGCGGCCCAAATAAAGAGAATTTCAACTGTGAATCACATCTTCCCCGAAAATTGATTAAAGATAACTTTGAACCAGAAATTTTAAGAATGCATACCTTCTCCACCGAGGTGAAGGTTTCCGGTGAACGATAAGTCTGACCATTATCGAAGCTCACCCTTACGACCTCATAGATGGAATTAAAGACGAAGTCTAGTTGTCTTTCTGCTGTGTGATAGCCGTAATGCACGTTATCGTCAATAACACAAGCTGTAGCATGTTCCATTATGGCCTCCCATCTGCCGCTCGGAATGTTGCCGAATTTCTAGGTTATTGAGAGGAAATAAGTAAAAACATGTTAGTCACAATGACATGTCAATTTCTAGAATTTCGGTCAGGTACTGATAACTAGGATAAAGTTGACAGATGATGCCACCTCTTTTAACGAAGACGGGTTGATCGTGTGAAGTCGCATAAAATCCTTAACTGTTTCTATTCCATTCTGTAACAATCGTTTGTGAAGTTCTCCGCCTCTCCCTATTTTTTTCAAGCGCCAAATCTCACTCTTCAAGGATGGTATGGCGTGTTTCATAATCGCTGAAATATATAGCGAACCACAAGGTCCATGAATACTACTAAATAGACCCAAAAAAATAGATTAAATTAAGGTTATATAAATCGAGACTCACACGCTCCTCTTTTATCTTTGACGACGAAAGGTTGGCTTATAGCTTCCTTAACGTCTGCTTCTTTGGATCTGGCTGCTAATCTGAAGGTTCCGGTTCTGACCCAGCGTGAGATATCAGTAAACTCAATCTTAGGAATAAAAGCAGCTCCATCTTTTAGGGTGACTCTAGTATCTTTTCCCTTAAGTAGCGCCTCCCTTCCTTCTCTCGGTCGTACGATGATGTTGTCGTTGAATTCCTCCCTGCTCCAGTTTTGATGGTCACCACTTCCGAAATCCCCTGGCACCACACAGATCTCTATCTCTGTTGAAGACATGGGACCCTCCGTTACTATGGAACGAGATCCAACGTTGAGGAGAACAATTTGAGGAGGTGCGTTGTCCTCAGCCAATATCTTAGTTTGTGTATAATATTCTTGTCTTAGTTTTCTGCTGAATTCCAGCTGAAAGTTTTGTCTGGCTTCGGATACCTCACCACTCAGATTACTATTAGGCGTCAATCTGCAATAATGAAATCAGAAAGTTATTTATTGAAAGAGAAAACAACTAAATATACCAGATTGATTGTGCATGGGCAAGGAACGTGACGATTTTTACGGAGGCATGCTTCACAGAAAAAACCAGGAATACGTGTCGTCTTACAATTATACATCTCCATTATTTGTTTCCTTTCTATTAGCACTTTACAAAGAACACATGGTAATTAAAAAATACTATTCCTCCGGTCCTTAATATAAAACCTAATTGTTGAGTTGGTTTTGATCCTAAATATAAGACCTATTTCTCATATTTATCAGTTTTCTCTAAATTACCCCTATGAATACTCCCTCAACCATAATCAGATAAAAGGGAGAGATGGGGTATTAAGAAAGATGATTATGGTATTTTAGGAAAAACGTGTCATATTTTTTATAATTAACTAATTTATCTAACTTTCTTAATCTAATCAAATTAGTTAAATGGGTCATATATTAAGGATCGGAGAAGTACTATGGAATTGATTAAAATCAAGTAAAATTAGAAGAAAATCATGCAAAAAATTACATAAAAGTGATTAAAATAAGATAAAATTATAAGAACTTATAGTTCAGGCCTTGGAGATTGGTGTTGTGCTGCCGCAACCTCCTCTCGGACCTGGTAGCGAAAGAAACAAATATGAATCAATCAAAGGTAATCAAGAATGGAACTAGTTTTAGTACTCATCACTTTGACAAGCACCATAAACTCATTAGATCTGGACTTCCTATATCTGGCTTGAATGATCCAAATTTAAAATCTTTAATTAATTATTTTTAAATAAAAAGTATTTTTTGAAAAAATGATGGCTAAGAGTTTCTACTTATTTTAGATTCTATACATATTAGAATAACTATTTTGAACAAGTAAAAATAAAAAAGAAATTAAATATGGGCCATCCAAATAGGATATGAATGATATAGATCTGATAAGCTTACAGTGCTTATCAAAGTGATGAGCATCGAAATTAGTTCTGTCAGAAATAAAGCAAGAGCAGTTCATGTAGAAAATATATCTCAAACTGTTGGTAGAAAAAAGAAGAATATATCTAGCTCATGCTATTTAAAAATTGTTAAACAAATCAATGATGTCAATATATATAGGTGTCCCTAACAAAACTGGAGCTGGTTTTGTCAGGGTATAAGAGAATCGATCATCGACCATTAATAAATTCAAGATATTAGTCAGAATTATTAGATACATATATATAGAAAGGACCAAAATTCGAAAACGTTTGCCCTTTATGAAGTGCATGCTTATTCCTATATATCCGATGTATAATTGCTGCCGCTGATGGAAGCTACTTGAAATTGCAGAAAGCTAGCTATATATAAACACACCAATAGACAGATGAACAGATCAGTAATAACAGGGACTAGACGTGTCAAACATACATACATACATATATGTGTGTGTGTGTGTCTGTGTGTGTTACCGTTTGTCGGATCACAGCTTCAAGGCGTGCCTGATAAACGATGCAGCCACACTTGCAGTTGCAGGGCACGGATGTGTTACCTCCATCGCTCCTGCAAGGCAACCACAAAAGTTATATGTATATTTATAAAATTACTCCATAAATCTGAAGACGTTCACTAAATGGAAACTAGATTAATACAGAGAAATCTGTTCCTCTGCAGTCTGTTCGAATTCGAATCTCCGCTTTGGCTTTTCAGCCGGAATGTCACAATTATTGGCTTTTCTTTTCGATGCCATTATCTTTGCACCAGACACTGAAACACCTGCGCCTTTAAATAGGGACAATGGGGACTACGTCGCATTACGTAGAAGTTGCGACGGTATTTACTGGAAATTACCTCTACTTCATGGCCACGAAAACCGTCAGAAATTTAATCTCCAAAAGCCCTCTCGCCAGTAAACACTAAGTGTGACATGAATGACCCGCTAGTCTATCCCAATACGCGTTAGATAATTGTTCATAGATCAGACACAAGAGAGCTTATCCTCCCCTACCCCTACTTCTCAGTATAATTAGATACTTTTAAGTGCTTCGCTATAATCAGGAAAGCCAGTTACATGTAGCTCATGTCATTAAAATGGTAAAAATTTGTGAATACTTTCCAACCTCACTCAAGTTAAAATGAATCCATTTTAATATGACGTTTAATTTTTTCCTCATATGTATATGACCTCTATGCAATATGCTCTAATGAAGTTATTTATGAAAAACAAAAATTAAATAATATTGACTTGTGCAGAGTGGTTTATATATTTTTTATTATAGAAACCTTTTGGGAGATAAGGAGCGGAGAGTTATTAGAGGATAGGACAGAAAATTTGGGCACTGGTTGATAAGAGGCTCAAGGTAAGTCATGTTGTGGAACGGCCTGCATTAATTTAATTTCCACTAAAGTTTCGTCTTGACCTGCCAGTCGCTGTGAAGTCATCAGATCATCACAAGAACGCGGATGGATATACGCGTACTCTGGGCATTATATTATCATCCTTTATAAATCCAATCCGTCAAAGTTCCAATAATTAATTAAGCTAAACTCAGAACTCATTAATTGCAATAACACCCGACATAATCTATCTAGTACAACTATCGTTCTGATATTCAGTAGCAGTGTATGGTTCGCTCTTAATTACTACCTCCGGTCCTGATTATAAGAACTAACTGACTAATTTGAAGAAATTAAAAAAAGAAGTTAAGTTAGTTATTTGTAATAAATAAGTATTGTTTTTTCTAAAATATCCGTGCTAATCAAGTGTATTGGTTAGAACTACTATTGTTAGAAGGATTACCTTTAAAAAAATATGTAAATATGAGAGATAAAGTAGATTATGGTCTTAAATTTAGGATCAAAATAAAAGTCAAACAAAGTCTTATATTAAGAATAGGAGGTAGTAGTATATATCTGAGGGCATTCGTCACTATAATGGACCTGTATATATTTTCTTCTTTCGGCCATGGTCACATAAGGGGCATTTCAACATCGTTCTGATGCAGCTAAAATGGAATAAAACGAGTCAATATATGGGGATTAGGACTTCAAAATCTCCCACAGCCGCGTGCATGGATATAGCGCTGCCAAAACATTTTCCCACAAATGATTTGTTAAAAAAAAAAAAATCCCACATATATATACACTTCTCATCAACACATAATTAATCAAGGCTCCAACACATCTAGAGAAGGGATGCCTAAAATGTAAACCTTAACAAGTGATGATTTTATATCAAGCAAGATAATTATTTCACCGGGGACGGCTCGATTTCTTCACTCTACAATACATCAACTGGCAAATTAATTACATACCTTGCAAAAACTTCCAACCATTCTTCCCATCTTATATATAAGATGCAAATAATTCAATTCACGGATTAAAAAAAAGTTAATCAAAATTTGTTAAAAATAATAAATATGTACAAAAATGTATTTTATTTTCCAGAAATGTTCTTATTTATTTGTGGACGGGAGAGAATGAATGTGGTAGAGAATATAATAAGCAGGAAAAATATATGCATGAAATTAAAGATAATTAATAAATTGATACGACATGTACTTAAGGGGAGAAAATAAAAAAAAAAGGCTAAAATTTCAAACGTTCTTTGAAATAATCATGCCATCCAAATATTGTGTCTTATAAATGGAAGGGGAGGTACTGCAATACCGTTCTTTTGAATGATTAAAAACGATGCCTGTGAAAACTAATCGAGAGTTTGATTTGATCTTAAATATATATGATATTTTACTGAATTTTTTTATATATTTATTATTTTGCTTCAGATTAATTTAGTTAACTTATATGTTACTGATGTATAGTCTAATTTTAGATATACATATTTTAGATGTATCATACTGTGCTTATTATAATTAATTAATTTAAATTTATTAATATACTCAAGTCGAAATTTGTAGAGATTTTACGAGAACATACATAATCTTTCATAACTAAGCATGGCATAATAATTATCTCACAAGATAGTATGCGTTGACGCGGTCTGTACTAAGGGATCACAAATTCTACAGATCCAAAACCAAAACGAGGACGCAAAATTGAAAATGGGTTGAAGTCTTGAAGATTCGCTGCTGCAATAAGAAGAAGATGAGAAGGTAGGTTGACGAGTCGACTGACCTGGAGGCGATTTATTCGCCGAAAACGGCAGTAAGGAGAGGAGTTCAATCCGTGATCGAAGAGCTTCACCCTCTCCTACACATTCCTCAGACATTCTTCCATTTACCAGAAACTGGGATGAATCTGTAGACGGCGTCATGGCTTTTCCTCTGCAAACTTCAAACTGCAAGCTACCTAATGCGTCGAATTCGAGGGGCGAGAAGAACAAGATCTCGACATTGCCGCACAACCGCGGATTTTTTTATTAATACCAGGTTTTTCTTTTTCTTTAACCTGAGAATAATACCAGGTTGGATCTATAAAACTTAAATTACTGCATTGACTTAGACTTTGTTGGCGCGCATCAATCACCACCACATGTTGTGGTCGTCACGTGCCGGTCAAGCTAGGCGGCCACACTGCAGTTTGACTCATTTTACAATTTTTCGTAACAATTGTTTTTTCATAAAATAACTATTTTTTGTTCACTCTCGCATAAGAAATAAAAATACTTTTACCTCCACTTTCGGAACCACTTGTTAATGCTAGGCAGTTTTGAAATTGGTGTTTAGCTGTCTGAAAAATCGCCGTAAAAATTCCTTATTTTTCTATTTATATATAGTCCCCTTTCTACCAATTATTGCCCTCCTGAATTATTTTACTTACATAGGCGACATCAATCTTTCACTTTACCCGCGAATACACACAATCCGATGCTCACTCATTCACACATCTATTAAGAACTAGCAGGCCTCAACAGATATGGCATAAACATCCGAATGAACGGGCAAGGCCACAATTAAGTGTAACATGCATAGAACCACCAATATCCATTGTCATCCCATTGGCTGGTACAACGATCGTCTGTGGCTAAAACAGGTAGGGAGGAATAAACGATAGCAAAAGTCTGCGTATTTTAAATTGAAAACAACGATGAAGAGGAACATATAACTTGTGGGGAGACAGGAAAAGAGAAACCAACAAACAGCCGGCTATAGAGCAGTGGCTAGTTAGCCACAGGGAATTGAAAGCTTTGCCTTCCTCCGAGCCACAAAGGGCATCACCAATCTGAAAGCGTGTCGAATCTTATTCCACACAGTTTTGCGTTTCCCTGTGCCTGAAGTTGAAGCCAAATCTGGCAAATAATTATAGGCCGGTTCAAAGTGATTTCCGCCTAGCCCCAGCGGCAATGGCGACAGGCAGTTCCATAATTCCAGACCATCAACCAAATCTCCCCCACAAGTATTGTGAATTTCCATTTGGTCAGTGCCTACCTGTTCATCTTGTATTAATTCACCGAATGCTGCCGACGTGGAAGGCTCGCCTGCATCTCATGAAATCAAACTCATATTGAAAGCATATATATGTGTGTGTGTGTGTGCGCGCGCGCGCGCGCACATCAATATATAAAAACGACTGGTGACCTAGACATGCAATTTCACCTGCCAATGTCTTCATCGACGACTCATATATTGTCTCCATGGTCTCGTAGGCATTCCGCTTAGCTGTTTCCACTACGCACTGCCGATGAAACGAAAAAGAATTTGATCACATCTTCATAGGCAATTTTTTCTACGTTGATATAAATAGATCATCATGCTCGCAGCATGCTCTCATTTGCGAATCACATCGCTATTTAATTTAGAATTAGATCGATGAAGGCGCGAGTATACCTTCTCTTCCGAGTTCAGCGACTCCAGAAAACGATAATTATGCCCATCAAAACTCACTCCCACGAGCTCATAGATGGAATTGAAGACAAGGACTATTGGTTGTTGTGCTGTGGTAAGACACTGGTAAAAGTAACGCTCACCATCGTCTTCTCGCTCGCAAGACTTGGCGTGTTCAATGATTGTGTTCCACGACTTCTTTGCAATTTTGCCCGTTTTCTACTTGTCCGAACCAAAAAGTCACATCACATGGTTTATATCATCAGCTCAAATACCCCCGAGGGCTAAACATTTAGAAAAATCTTAATCCGCATATTTTTACCTCTTGTAGTGAACGAGGGTTCATTACGTATAACCGCAGCAGATCCCTGACAGTTTTTATGTTATACAACGACAGCCGCCTGTGAATTTGACCATTTTGGGCTATCTTTTTCAACCTCCATACTGCGTCATCCAGTAATGGGCGGTCGTGTTTCTCGTACGCTGAAATGACACGTCACAATCATTGTATATATTGTAAAAGCACGGCCTAAAGATACCAAAACAAGAAACCAGAACAGTCGATCGTTAAAGGTGAAGTCACAAGGGTCCGCAGACTTACGCTGTCCGCGTTTATCTTTGACAACAAAAGCTTCACTCCTGCCTTCTCTTATGTTTGCTTCGTGCTCAACAGCTCTGGCTCCTAACCTGAACCTGCGGCTTCTTGTCCAGCTAGAGTTATCACTAAAATGAATGTCGTCAGGGACAACACCGACTCCATTTTCCAACGTAATGAACTTTTCCCCATTTAGTAACTCGCCCTTGTTCTCTCTTCGAGGGGAGATATTGGCGTTGAATTCTGCTTCACTCCAATCCTCGCTCCCGTTGGAGCCAAACTCACCTTTGAGCGCACACATCATTATCCTGCTGCGGGACAGAGGACCTTCTTGCACTATGCAGTTCTGAGATCTAGCGTCACACAGAACAATTCCAATGGGATTACCATCCTCAGAGGTTATTCTAGTGTGTGTAAAAATTGTTGCTGGCAATCTGTTAGTAAAACACAAACGTAAAGTTCTGCCTCCAGATGTTCCAGCCCAATGAAGGGTTTCTTCGCCGCTATTAAGGTGCCGATGAATTATAGGTGGAACCTCCTCTCGTACCTAGATGAGGAAGACACGCAGCGCAACGAAATTTGAAGAGAAACAAAAAATAATGAGACACCTCATAATAGCTACCAAGGAACATTATTGTCAATGAGGTTGGAAGATGACAAATAATGCGTATGAGACGAATAAAAGTACAAAGGACTATATATATATATATGTATATATTCTTCAATTCGACTCTATATTCAAGAACATTGTTAAAGATTTGATTTGGTGCATACCACTTTTCGAAGTACAGGTTCCAAGTACAAACCCCAGTCATGCACAGTTGGCCGTCCTCTCATAATATTCCTAATAGCACTGCACAGGCATCACGAAGCATAAGTTATTGATGGGCTAAACGCAGGACGCTTGGATCAATAAACATACTAGACCAAAATGGTACCCACGGGATGTCTGCTTGTCTTAAGCTCCCATGTCTTCGCTTTGAACCCTCTTTACCAGGAACCTGATGATTCTTGTCATTACCCTCCTCCCGGTGAGACTCCCTTCCCGATGATGCCATTCAAAAACACAGTTATTCTCTGAATGAACTCGATTAGCTGCAAGCCAGAATAAAAGTGTGCAGTGCTCTCTGTCTCTCTGTCTCTCTATCTCTCTCTATACAAACACACACACATATATATATTCAGGCGGAAAGAACTTACGAGGAAGCCTCAGTAATTAAAGTCAAGATCAACGTTTCTCAGTTTTTTTTTAATTAGTTAAGAGGAAACGACATCAGAATTTCCTGACATTGAGACAAAATAACAAACCGTGTTGGAGAATGACCCCACAAGGAGCTGACGGACATTTTGAGTGCGACCAGTTTCTACTTTCTACGGAATGTTAACACAAAGGCGGGGAGAGAGAGAGAGGATTTTCGGGAACGTGATCTGAGGTGTGACGAATAAAATTGCGGACGCGTATGGATGGTGAAAATTGGGTTACGTACGCAAACGGAGAAATTCATCGGAGTTTTAGCATGCTATACACTAGTGAAGAGGTGATGTTCGTAATAGGAAAGTTCAGGTTAGGATGCAACGGATTGCGAAAGGAGGGAGGGAAGGAGTCAATCGTCTGTGCCGTTCAGCTTTTGATCTTCCCCAGGAAAATTCCTTACTGAGTATTAATCATTGTTAACAAATTTAAAACATTATAATATCTATTAAAAACAATTATTAAATTATTGATAATGAACAAGAGTTTTCCTTGATTTGCTGAGTCTTGCGGGATAGCGGGAAATGCCCAGTTTAGTTTGGTCTCGTTTAATAATATGCATGAACAACCGCCACAACTGTCCAGTTTCGAATGCAGAGGTTGAAATGGGTGCCCAGGCGCCTGGTGCGTTCGCAGGCGCTTGAAAGTTTCCTCCCATTCTTATCCCATAACACTACGTACGTAATTAAGAAGAAGGAACAGAGAAAGTTACACCCTGTTTCATATCTTCCTCGACAACATCATGAGACTGCGACATGTCCCGATGAAAACGTAACGATTTCCCTATGATGAGTTTGGAATAAGCAATTGGCAGAGGAAACGTGAATTCTTTTATCTCTTAGTTGGGGGTAAACAATGGCATGTGCGACTGTGCCCTTCAATCATTGTCGATAATATTATTGGTGCTCGCATAAGAACAACCAGTACTTTTTTAATCTCAGCTACGGAACGCATGGACAAACTCTGGAGTACAAGTCTCGATCCGTGCATAGACAGTAATTGCATGTAATTTATTTAGGGAAAGAAGGATGATCGGCATAAAGACGAAGTACTTTCCTGAACCCTGCCAACCGTATCATGTTATTTTTAGCTAAGATTTCGTCCAGAGTCGGTCAAAGTTAAACGACAAGGAAATGTAGCCTCCAGGAACTACAACGGTCCATCTACTGGCTTGAGTTCCTTTTAAAAAGGGAAAATGACCTTTTCCGCCATGTAAGATCATTAATTACAATTGTGACCTATCTATAATTGTAAATTGTGATTACTAATTAATAACTTCGGTGGTCCGTAAACGTCATTTCCCCTTTTCAAAAACCGGGGAGATGGGTCAAGTTGGCGGGCTAGCCCACTACTCGTGGACTTCTTCCAAGTATTTAGCTCTGAGAAGGCTCCATGGGGATGAAACGTGTTGCTTGGGACCCGCTAAATTGGATCCTATTTTTAACACGTGTACTGATGCTCTCTAGACCCCATATCATGGCGATACCGCTAGAGTCCCAGAACGCGTTCTCTGTGCTCGTAGTCGTAGTTGACCAAAGAAGGATCGGCGCAAGTAAGCATTCCTTCCCACTTGCACGGAGGGAAAATATCTGGTTCGCGCCAAGGCCCAATAAGCTTTTCGTTGTAGCAGCAGGAACGGGAGAGTGTAGAGAGGGGGATTTCTGGTCCGACCGGAACAGAAAGTCAGAAACCCGGTCCTATAAACTTCTCGATCAAATTGGTTCCGACCGGGTAATTTGTTTATTCCCGGAACCTTGATTTCATATTCTCTACTCTATTTTGTCCAAAAGGTATCTTCCATCATCCTAAATGCAAGATTTTCTAGCTTTGTCTTTTAACTTTCAAGTGCGTTCCTGCAGCACTTGTCGCATTGAGTTAGTAACCAAAAAAGTGCTACTTTGGACTGGATCCATCTTTAAATTTGATAACACACATGTGTCTTCTTTAATTACAGTTTCCACCGGGAATGGACTTGGATGAGAATGTTGCAGAAATAGAAGAAGACAAGGGCCATGCTTGGACATTATGTGTGCATGCTTTCAATGATTTAACCCATGTCACTCCGGTGGTATTTGTATACCTGTTGAAAGAATCTTATTTCTATGGTATAATTTCTCCTCCTAGCACTGCTAATATCTGTTTTATGCGAGAGGATACGAAGATGAATGCTAACTGTTTGCTCTAATGTTTCGACGCACTTTTCCTAGAACTCTAAAGCTGACGAGATTAACATGAAAATATGGAGCTAAAGACAAGAATTATTATCATTCCTCTACTTTATTGGCCGACATCTGTACTCGAGAGACTAGCATTGTACCTATGACACCTAGGTGGAGTTTTGAGAAGTCTATAACTGATAATTTTTTTTATTTAAGCGTTCCCTCGGAAATGCGGGAATCCCTGACAAAGTTAGTAACCTAATTTTTAAGTTAATTTAAAAACGTCTTTCTAGGTTATCTTTTACAGCGAATAATGCCTTGCTACATTTTTTGCTGTTTTACAGATGCTCTTTTGCAAATAAACTGAAAATACTTATTACAACTCGTGGCTCGGTCTCACAATAATGCATCTTTTTTCTTACTCCTTTCTATGCTGTTTTTGTTTAAATGGCATTGCATAGGCACAGTTAAGGCGACAACAAAGTTCCAAGCCCTTCAACATCAAGTCTATCTTGTGTTGCACAATGACCCACAACCTGGACCAGCTGCTTTTGTTGTACAGTGCTTATACGTGTCACCTCTATATAATGATTGTAGCAGCGGCTTTAGTCATTTGATTATATCTGCCCTAGGTCGTTTCCTGAAAAAAGCAACCACTTCAGAAAACTCTTTGGAAGCAAAAGACTTGGCTACCCATCTATTCATTGACATTGTTGTGGGGCAGGTCTTTCATGATGAAAGGATTATTGTTAAAATATTAGAAACTTTTGATATTAAACTAAAAGATGTTGAGAAAATCATGGTCCAAATGAAAGCAAAGGATGGTTCAAGTCATGTAACTGCACAAGATTTAATGGAGAAGTATATTTTTGAATTGGCAGAATCCCAACTGTATATGACAGCTGTCACTCTAATGGAGCGCTTCTCTATCTTTTGTTTTGGCAAGTCTTTTCTCCTTAGCATGGTACAGAGCCATCAGTTTAAGGCAGCAGAGAAATGGGCAACATTTATGGGGAAGCCAATGTTATGCACTCTTGTTGAGGAGTACTGTGAGAGGAACTTGCTAAAGAATGCCTATGAGATTATAAAGATGAACAATCTACAGCAAGATTTCCCAGACGCCTATCGAAAGTGTAAAGAAAGGCAAGTAAATTACAGCTGCCAATATGTGGTGGATTTGTGTATTCTCATTCTTCTTCTATTTCTTAATTACTCGATTACTTTATCGATTTGCAGTTCAATAAAGAAGCTAGCAGAAAAAGGATGCTGGGATGTGGCTGAGGCGAGAACAAATGGTGATAGACAGCTTGTTGAATATTTGGTTTGTGATTCTTTTCATGATGGCTAGCATTCTGTGCATTCTATGAGATGCATAAAATCACAATGCCGTGGAGGCGCGGATTTGTGGAGCTATTCTTTTTAAACTATTTTCTTCATAGTAATGTTTTAATGCATGTTATTCATTAGCAATCATGTGAAGCTGTATTTGATTTACATTAATATGTTGATTTTGCTAATGCTTATGCGGCATACTTCTTATTTCCCCTTAGGCTCTTAGCTTCCTTTTTCTTTTTCTTTTTATTTTTATTAATGCCCTTCTTGTTGGCCAAAAGCTTCGAGAAAGAGTTGAGAGAAAATATTTTACCTCGCAAAATCCTATATAACTATATCACCCTCTCCTTGGAAACCAGATTGGAATTGACAAGTGGGTATCATTAATGCGTCAAATAATCACCGTAAAAATGTGGCATATCTACTGAAAGAATCAAGGATAAATGCATAAGCTTTTGAGGTGAAGAAAGTAGTCTTTCAGTTATTTACTGTTTTGAAATGACAATGTTGTAAGGCTTATCATTGATTATCCAGAGTAGTTAAGTGTTGTCATTTTTGACAGCTTGATAGCCCCCCTTTTGTCCAACTAAACCTTAGTATATGTATGCTATATGATCTTTACTTCTGTGTTTAAGGTTTATTTGGCAATGGAAGCTGGATACACAGAGAAGATTGATGAACTGTGTGATCGGTACTCCCTTGATGGGATTTTGCAGAAAGGTATGCCAATAGTCAAATTGATGGGGAAAAGCTGTGGTCTCTGACTGACTGCTGTCTAATGTCACAAGATTAGTTGTTGCTTGACCTTCATAAAAGTTTCTAATCATCCTGGTTTTATCATTTCTTCGGTCTAGTCAGCTGTTATGTTGAAATATCTGCACTATTATTCTTCTATGACAAACAGACTAATTTTCATATGCCTTGTAGTACCTGATGAAAGTATTCAACACAGGCGTTATTTGCATCTTGATGAACTGTTTGTCGAAGACATTATTTGGGTTGATGAATATAAAGGTTTGCTTGATGCAACTACCCATATTGAGGATTGTAAAGTTATAGGCGTCGATAGTGAATGGAAACCTAATCATGTAAAAGGCAGCAAACCAAATAAGGTAATATACAATGAATCCCCTGATAGATTAGTGTTTATGCTTCCATTTTTTTCACTGTTGGATTTACTTGTATGAAGTTTTATGATATGATTTTCCTGAGCAGAAGTTTAGCTCTCCATTCTCCTGTTACCCCTTTTGTTCCACCCGCAACTTTTCCCCCTTTTGAATGAGAAAATGACAGATTTTTCCATGTCTCAGGCTTCTATCTTTCAAATTGCTTCCAAAAGTGTGGTTTTCATCTTTGATCTGATAAAGTTGCACCAAGAGGTACCTGACATTTTAGACGACTGTCTGACCCGCATTTTGCAGTCACCAATAATATTAAAACTTGGTATGAATAATTCAAATTCATCAAGCATATTTATCTCCACTTCTTTGGATGGGCTCAGCAAAATACTTACGCTGAATAAAGGCAACTCTGTATATTTTGTGGGATGACTGTTTTAACTTGACTGTGAAATGAGAATGCTCATATTGAGATAAAATAGATAGTACCTTCTTGCCTTCCATTGGAAGAGCATCGGATTGGATAGAGGCTCATTTGATGCATCTCATGAGCAAAATTGTGATGATTGCTCCTTCTGGTTTGTGCTTTCAGGGTACAATTTACAATGTGATATAAAGCAGCTTGCTCATTCATATGAAGAGTTAAAGTGCTTCAGGCACTTTGAATCGTTGCTGGACATTCAAAAGGTTTTTAAAAACCATCGTGGTGGTTTGTCTGGCCTTGCAGAGGTATCTTATGCGCACACATCCTTTTAGCATCTCTGTTCTCTTAAGGTGTATGCTACTCAGGATTCATAAGGAGTTGTAACAAATTGGACAAAAAACTTTGGTTTTACTGTCTTAGCTGATTTTACAAAACTATTTTGTGGTTGCTGATAAATCAGAAAGTACTGGGAGCCGGTCTAAACAAGACAAGACGGAACAGTGATTGGGAGCAGCGACCTCTAAGCCAATATCAAGTAATCTCCCTCTCACTCTCTGCACACGCGCTAATGCAGGATGAGGAGATAACTTTTTTTTAATTATTTGATGAAATGCATTTATTTCTGCTTTGCTATTAGTTATCAGTTGTGGCTTGAGTCAAATATTCTGAGAATTTTTTCTTGATTAATAATATTGAAATTAGGATAGGATTAATATTTCTTATTTTTTTAATTCATAAATAAGTGCATAGTTAGTCATTATCACGTGCGCCCTTTCGTATTGATTACTATGAGATTTCTGCTATACTGATACAGCAGTGAGGCCGCAAAAAGCTCAAAAGAGGAAAACTAGTTCCTAGTTCCATTAATGCATGCCTCCTGATCTGACAAAGGAGTGAATTGTTTCTATTTAATATTTATAAACAATGATGCTTAAGAGTGATTTTGTGAAACTGATCATGGAGCGCAGAATGAAGTATTTTTTTATGATAATTTGTGCATCTGCCAATAATTTTTAGTCTGTCAACAATCTAAAGCAATGCTAAATGTGCAGCTAGAATATGCTGCCCTTGATGCTGCTGTGCTTATTCGCATATTCAGCCGCGTTTCTGGTGAAGCAGATGACAAGTTTGAGTGGAAGTCGTATATTGTAAGTGACTGTACCTGTATTTTGATTTGCCAATAATTCGGCCACCCGGTTACCTTTTCCTGATTTTAACTTTGCTAGCGCTTTATAGCTTCTTTTTTTTTTTTTTGGGAGTACATACTCGGCATTTTCATTATGCTTGCAGTGGTTAATAACCTTTGCTGCTTTCTCCCGCCATGCAGGAGTCCCATACCAGAAGCACCAGGAACTCCAAGTAACAGAAGGTAAACTGAAGAAGTTTTGATTCTTAGCTTCGAGGCTAACCATATTGTTTCTTTCCCCACTCAATAGATTCGATCATGTGATGAGCACAGATTTACATCGAAATGTAATTTTTAGAAGTTATAAAGGAGCTTCGAGATATAGATCTGTTTCTCCAAAAAGACTGGCAGTGGTGAATATATTTGTTAAATTTTCTAGGTTCGTGTTTTAAAACCAATGTTTGAAATAGTTGCTAAAAATATAATGCTCAGATAACGCCAGCGACTGAGGTGAGGGTGAGAGAGATGATTCTGAGCGACTGACCCATTAGTAAAATTAGGTTTTTTTCCCACAAATAATTGTAGATGGATTTTTTTTAAAAGAAGATAATATTCTTCGTTTTAATATTTAAAACCTACCGAAATATACTGAAAAATATTACGACAATGAAAATCCGTTTGTCGTGCACGTGCATTTGTGAGGGGATTGGTGTGATGATCTTGTAAGCCGAATCCGCCAAAGGAATATAAACTCGGTTTGTGTCCCGGTTTGACTTATGGCATTGGATGAAGTCCAAATAAAGAAAGCGGCTGTGGTTAAGCATTAACTTCTATATTTAGTGGAAGAATCAGAAATTGATGGCAGGCAGCCAACACGGGTAAATAGGTTGAATCCCATCAGCAGAACACACACCATCTTCAACGTAATCGGTGGTGATTGATAAACGTTGTCAGTTTCCCATGTATAAACTACAAAACATATTTCCTCGCATTTCGCCGTACCGGATCCCTCCAGACAATAACCTCCCCCTGTCCTCTCGTCTCTGATCGGGGATGGACGAGATCCGGCCCCACTCCGGCGGCAGCACCGTGCGTTATTCATCTCACGACGACGCATATTGCCGGAGAGAGGTAAATAACCAAAGCTCATCCCAGGGGAATTGGTGGAATGACCCTGACACCAAGAGAATGCGAAGATTGGCCAAGTACAAGCTTTACGCGACTGAAGGCAAGCTTAAGACTTCTTTCAAAAGGGGTCTTCGCTGGCTCAAGATCAGATGCGTCGCAATTATAACCACCTTGTAAACAGAACACACGCAGTAGTGCATATGGGCTCCGACTTCATTTTCTCCTTCCTCTGTGATCCACCTGATTTAGAGGTCCTTCCGTTTAGGATTGGCACGGCATGACCTTCGTCTAACCAATACTTGGCTTTCGATCTCGGGACCTTCAAGCATATCCATCACATGTGTTTGAATAATCCTTTTCTGAGCCGCACAAGATGGAATTGTACCTGAATGCTGTATCGGGTGAAGGTTTTTCCTTTGGCCAGTGGGAAGAAGTCAAGCATTATTGGGTGCTCATTTCTTAGATACTAATGTCAGGTTGCTGGTTAGGCAGAGCAGGAATAAAGGCGCGAAACAACCATTCTGCTCTTCTACGTTGTGATTTCGGTCGAATAAGAAATCTCATTGATTCTCAAATAATGATCTCATTGATTCTCAAATAATGTGTTTAAATTAACTGTCATAAAAAAAAAACAAAAAAAAAACACCAAAACGGTGCAGTCACATCCAAGGATTGAATGTTAAGCAGATTCAATTTAGGACTTATTTTGAAATAGTTTATAAGTAGCTTTTCAATCGTGATTTGCAAAATACGAGATAAGTATATGAGAGACGTTTTGTCTCAGTTTATATAAAATGTGTTTATAAATAATTTTAATCGTAATAGCAAACATGGCCTTAATGCGACGTCAGAAGCGGCGACATTGAAGCAATGAAATTAATCGCCACTGTCAATGATGAGCAGAGACACATGTGGAGCTCAGTTGTTTCAGGCCCGACATTTTGGCAAACAATAACATAAGCATATTTGATCTACATAGTACTACTTCTTATGTTTTAATATAAAACATATTTAACTAATTTATAAAACATAAAAAAAAAATAGTTAATTTAGTTTTTTTATAATAAATATGTATTTTTTTTAAATATTCCTACTAATTATGCGTACTAGCTAAAACTATTATTTGATGTAACTTTTAACATGTATAGTTACTATAAGGACTGTTTTAAAAAAATGAATAAATATGAAAAACAAAGTAGATTAGAACTTTATATTTATGACTAAATTAAAATTTAAATTAGCTCTTATATTTATGATCAGAAGTAGTATCGAGTTATCCCGGATTTTTTGTACCAAAAAAAAGTAATGCCGGACTCGAGGTTAATATCTAGTTATGGGGCATGTTCAAATACGTTTTTCCTCTTTATTTTTTAATTTTTTTTTTGGTATGCACCAGGATATCCATCGGAACGAGCCCAATGACTAATCCCTCGGGTACTGTCGGGCCCATGATAGGGGTGACCCTCCCAGACACGCTTGCTCCATTCCCATCCCTCCAGGAATCGAACCCCAGAGACGATGGTTAAAGGAACACGACTCCCTTACCAGTAAAAAGAGGAATGATATTTCGGCCTTTCGGGGGCTCGATCCTTGTAACTCTCTGGGTCTATTTGGGCTTAGCCCACTTATTCTCGCCCCAAAAGAAAATTCATATCCTGCGTCTCAGGCAGACTTCAAAGCGGCAAAGCGCGGGAGAGCGGACCGTGGAATCGGAATGGGAAGCGGGAAGAAACACGATCTGGAGCTTGAGAAAGTTCGTTTAGTGAGCTTGGCTCTTGATTTTGGCTTCGACGAAGACTCCGCCAAAAAATGCTTGGATCGCCTTGTCGCCCTATACGGTACTCATGTTTCCACCCACCATTTCAACACCCTCTCTCCTTTTTCTAATTTTCTGTAAAGTATTGCTTCTCCATGCACTGGCTTCGATTTCCTTACTTGTATCGTAATTCAATTTCTGAGCTCATCTTTTCCCCTTTTTAACCAGTGGCATGCTTTTTATTTTTTCCTTAAGGGCGAATTACGGGTTATGTTATAACTATGGATCTCTCTTTTTCTCCATTCGTTACTTGAACTTTAAGGGTAGTTATTGAAACGGAATGTAGAGGTGTGTACTTTTGAACATCTTTGCATTTGGTATACGTAATTTGTTCATAACCTGCTAAGAATGTGCTGCACCTGGTAGTTGTTCATGGACGCTCTTATGCATGAATTCGTCTTAATCTACTGTTTGTGTCTTTGAAAAGAAAGGAAGGGGGGGTTTAGCAGGGGATAAGTCTGAGGACTATACAAAACAAAAGGGGGACGATCTTTACGTCAAAAAGCCATATATTCCTATTGATACTAGAAGACATGTCCATGTCTAATGACATTTCGCTCTTCCATGAGAAATGGTTTTCCTCCCCATTGCAGTTATTAATATAACCAGCTATAGTACTTCTCTGTCCATTAACAACATTGTCACGCTTATATGCATTTTTGCTTTCAATTTTTAGGTGATGACGGCCGGGATTTTATCACTGTGGAGTACTGCGGTGATGATTTTCTAGCAGCTTTAGCTGATTCAATGCAAGATACTGAGGAATGGGATGATTTACAGGCAATAGAATCAGAAGCTTGTGGAACTCTGACGAACCTGCTTGATAAAAATGTTGTCGGGTGTAAGTATGAAGATAATGGCATTTCAGGAGGTTGCATCAATATTACCGAAGATTCTCCGGAACCTCAGAAGAACCAGAAAGTGGTGGAGTTGGTTTCAAGTGACGAGGAGATGGACTTCAGTATTTCAAGGGAAAAATGTACACCTCCAGGGTCTTATTTGAATGGTAATATATTTGCAGATCATCAGTCTCCAGTATCAGGGGTAAGAAATAATTTGATGAAGTATTCGATGTTATTTATGTTTTATGGTCCTAAAGTCTCTGAATCGCTTCTCATTGCTCATTTGATGTTGCTACATCGTGTATTCAATCAAAAGCCTAGTGTGTCAGACAGTTTTTCGTCAATCAATGTTGGCCTGGCCTTGTCATACTCAAACAAGAATTTTCCCTGTTTTCACAATGAGAACTGGTATTAAGATAATTTGGATTGGTGGGCGGCGTTAACAAAAGAGAAATAACAAGCCATTAAATCATGATCATTGACATATAATACAATAGAAGACAAATACAAAGTAGCTTGTTGGGAAAGTGTGAATGTTGCGTGCAAGAGATTTAAAAATAGAGATAGGATGAAACGCCGTTAAATTATTGAAGTACATAGGATAGCTCCATGGATGAGGAAAGACTAAGTGGCAAATGTGGAAAAAAGGCACATGGTCATGTTTCTAAACCTACATCAAAACGTGAGATATGATAGACCTGCACATGTAACACTGAACGAATCAAATTTTTATGTAGTTGTTAATATCTGTACACGTGCAAATGACACATGCATACGTAGTTGGAAAACTATGATGGATTTGAAAGCATGCACACGCATATTCTAATACTTTAATGTTAGACTTCTATAAAACCATGCAAGATATTTTTGTTTTCGGAGCTGAAATAAAACCATGCATGATGATTGAAGGAACTTTAATATAATAAAATTCAATACTAGAAACGAATTGGACTGAAAATGTAACTCAATCGATATGGCAGTGATCAAAATTCATAATTCCCCTGATAAATTGGGAGCCATGAATTATCTCCAAAACATCTAGATAGGATTTTCGCCTGCTCTTTTTTGTTGGATCACCAACTGAATAACTTGTTATCATCTACTAAAATGGTTATGGTATATTGAAGGACTGCACAAGTAGCATCACTCAGGGCTCAATTTCTTCAACTGCCAGCAAAATAAGGTTGTCAGAACCTAAGGATGAAAACCGTACTCTCACTTATGAAGAATTACGGGATCTGGATAACATTGAAATGGCAAATGTTGTTATATTCGGTAATAGGACATTTCGACCATTGCAGCATCAAGCTTGTAAAGTAGCTTTGGCAAAGCAAGATTGTTTTATTCTTATGCCTACGGGGGGTGGTAAATCTCTTTGCTATCAGGTCCTTTCTTTCTCCTAAACATTCGATATAAAATCTTCTTCGTATTTTTTGTGCCGTATGCTTCTATCCTCATAAACTGTTGAGACTTAGCTATAGCAAATAGATATGTTATAACTCCTTTTTCAAAGACATAGAAAAGGGTAAACAAAATACATTTTCTTCGTTGAAGTTTGTGAGTCTTGAGCACATATTCTTACAAACTTTTCGCTAAACCTGCCTCTGGTTTGCAACAAGTTAGTATCGTTAATTTTGTTAATATTTCTATTTAATTTAGATGGAAAAAGCGT